TAATTCTTTTAATATATTAATTTAAATATATGACAACTTTTTCTATTCTTAATTTATTTAATTTATTAAATTTCCTTTTTCCTTATCCTTTTCCTCTAATTTTACTTCTTACTTATTTTATTTATTTTAATATATTAATAATTGTTTAACATCTTCTTCTACCTAATTTCCTTTAATTTCTTCTTGATTTTCTTTATTTTAGTTTTTTTCCTATATTATTTCTGTTAATTCATTATCTTTTTCTATTAAGATATTTTTCCCCAATTATTCTTATTATTATTATTATAAATTAGATCTTATTAATTTATTTAACTTATAATTAATGTATTCTACAACATTATTATTTATTTAGTGTTTTTATATTTCCTTAATTTTTATAATTAAATCTTATATTTTTTCATCTTATTCAAATTGAATTTCTATTTTGTTTCTTTCTTCAAGATCTATTAAAAAATTATTCACGAAATTTTATTTCTCATTAATTAAGATTTCTAATTATAATTATTCGCTTTTATTCATAGATTAATTTATTTCGTTGAATGTTTAGTTAACACCATTATATTTTTCTTATTCTGTATCTAGCATATTAACTTCTTTTTATTGAATTATATTTTCTTTTTGATTATTGAATTAGTCTGAAATTGATTTTCTATGTTTTTGATTAATTATAAGTCCTTCCCCTTACTAAATATTTTATTATTAAAGACTGGCTATAGAATTTAAAAAGTTTTAAATATTATTATCTTTTTCATCATTTTATGAGAGAGATTAATCATTTATTTTGTGTATAGATTTATTTACAATATCACTAATATTACTATTCTAATCCCAATTATTACTTGGTTCGTATTTAATCTGAGCATCATTCTTTTAACTTGACTCTTCCAGTTCATATTATAATTCATACTATTTTACCTTATATTCTTCAATCTGTTAATAATTAATAGATCCCTTTCTAACAACCAAATTATCTATTAAGTCTTCATCTTTGCTCTAATGGTTAATTCTGAAAATTTAGCGTACCATTGCCATAATTTAATCAATTTTTTCTGACATTATAATTTGCAATTACATTTCCAATTTTTTAAGTTGTTAACCTTATTTTTAAGACATTTTATTGAATTGAACATTTAATTTTTCTATTTCATTTTCCACTATGTTTTATAAGATATTTTCTTGAATTAGCTCCTTGTTTAACAGTTTAATTATTTTTTAGTCTTTATCCTATAATAACTTTGTTATTTTAAGAAGAAAATTCTAAAGTTTATTCTCCTATCCTTGGTTTTCCTTTCTTATATTTTATTAAATTATATCAACTTACCTTTAATTAAGCTAAACTTAATTTTGTATCTCATCAGTTTAATTATTCTGATTGTCGATTTCTCTGCATTCTTGGCTCAGTTATTTTTCATCACTTTATGGTTTACTTTCTTCTTGATAAATTAAAATTTCATTGAACTCTTCCAAATTTTCATATTAATTTTAAAAGCTCAATTCATTCAACTAAATTTCTGCCTTAAAGAATTCTTTACCCTCATTATTTTAATTTTATTATAAATATGTATGCTAGACTTTATCTTGATGTGAATTTTAACAATTAATTTCTTATTTTTATTCAGAGTATGGTTTTTAACCTACAACAAAAAACTACTCTTCATTATTGCTCATAACATTCAATTATTAATCCTAATTTTCTTTTTAATCAAATATTTGCCCGCAATCAGTTTTCTTAAAAATACAATCTGGAAGAAATAAATTCAGCTATGAATCTTCCTTTTCATCTTCTAGCTCAGAAATTTGATTAGAATTTTAATCTACTTGAAAGCTTTGAGAATCATTTAATTTTTTTAGCATGTTTTTTAGTTTTCTTTCAAAATCATTAATTCTATGGGACTAGCTTATTGCCAATTCATTAAGTTGCTATATTTATTTTTTATTATCATTTAAATTTTGATAGCGCGGAGAATGGCGACTTGCTCTGTTCATATAATATTTATTATTAATATATTAATTAATTTATGCCAAATGTATGATATGGATAATTTTACTCATTTTTGATGCTTTAGTTCTTAATCAAATAAAAAATATTAGAATCACTAATCTACTTAGCTTTTAATACATCATCCTTGTAATTTTTTAATAGAATCTCTTCTTTATTTTGTTATTTTGTTTAAACAAATAATAAATTATAACACAATTTTCTTTTAGGTAGGAAAGTTCAATAAGATTCTACAATCTTCCTTTAAGTCTTATTTAAAAATGAAGAAAAAATAATGAAAAAAGCTCCTGCTTTATTCGATTTTGATATTTTAAATAAAATTGAAACTGAAAATGTTAAGAATTTTTCAAAGTGCCAACTAAAGTAATGGTTAAGTTAGGAGTCTGTATTACTTCAAAAGATTACTAAAATGTAGAAATCGTCAAAAATCATTTACATTATAATAAATATTATGGGATTAACTATTTTAATTTTTTTTGGACTCATTTTGTTTTTGGCTCTGATTGGAATAATTCTGAAAAAATTCTTCTTTAATAAAAAAACTCAAGTTCAAATTAAAAGTCAAGAAGCAATTTAAAATAATTAGCATATCAATTTGGGTGATTAAGAAGCAATACCAGACTCTCACTAATCTCAAATACATAAACAATAAAGTTAAGTTAAAACATAGAAATAATCCAATACTCCAAATAGAAAGAACAAACAAAAAAAAGAAAAATATTTGATCGATGAAATTGCATTTTAGTTTAATGATGACAGTGATAACGAAAATGATAAAAATTCATCAGGAGCTGACTAACAGCAGTCCATTAATATGAGAGAGTAAGCAGGATTTAATTTTTAATAATCTGAGCATAATTTAGAGGAGTTAGTAACACCAACTTAAGTCAATAGTTAAGAAATTTGAGCTAATTATATATATTTTTTGAAATTGCTACATATTTGCCTAAATATTTTCCCCCTTTTGATTAATAATATGAAATAAGGATCTAGAATGAATTGTATTTTCAATATTGATAAATAATGAAAGCGTGAAAACAATAACAATATACTGAGCAATTGTATTAGTAATTGAGAATCATCTAATTTATTGGATTTTTCAGACAGAACTCTAAGTCTAAGTAATAAGTGATATATCTTTTATGAAGACTTATTTCAAGAATCTACTATTTAGGTTTAGGTATTTTATTACTTATTAAAACTTTAGGAAATAAAAGAGTGTTATATGTATAAAATTTGAAGGTTCATTTGGGATAATTATGGACGATGTAATTTATTTTATAGAATACATAGATATGGAAAGAAATAAATTGGATTTAAAGATTTCTCTATGATAATATTATTTTAGTTATAATTATACAAAATATTTCTTAATATCTAATTGTTCATAGTTCCTGGTTGATGAATTTATTGACAAAAAATAGCTCTTCAAAAACTATTTTAGATTGAAAATTGAAATAGATTTAACGATTAATGTAAAATTCAATAATATAAGGGTAAATAATTTACGTACAATTAACCAGTTGATTTTTAGTTTGTATAAAATTAAACTAATTTAAATATTTAAATTATAAAATATCTTATTATATAAATAATATTCTAGTCATTAAAGAAAAACAATAAGAGAATAAAATAAATTATTTAAATTTCAAGAGATAATAAGTGTAATTTTAGTCATTCATTCGCAGCAAATTTTAGAATGATCCTTAGACTATTTAACTATGTAATCTCCTTTCTTTCTATTTGATTAGATTGAGGGAAACATATTGAATCCTTCATTCTTAGAAGGTGTTTATGAATTCACATTAAGCTGGTCAAGTTTATTTGTTTCTTAATTAACTCGACATATTATGGATGATTTAAAAATCGTAGTGTTTGAGTTAATCAAAACTTACATTTCCATGAGATTCTCTTATAATTTGATTGTATTTATTAAACCATCTAAAGGCCCAAAAATTGGTAAAGGTTCATTTAATGAACATAATAATGTATTTCCAGATAAAACTTAAAAAGTTTAATCCAAAAACAAATATCTGATTTCAATTATATTTTGGGAGACATTTTTTACGCTTGCTTGTTAAAATTGTAATTTCTTGTAAAAAAGATAATATGAGGACTTGGATTTTAGAAAAAGAAATTTCTATTATGTATTAACATTTAAAGGTTTGCTAAGCTTTGTTTGTGTATGAGTAATGGTTTTTTTTTGATTTACTATTTGATACTAATTTTTATTGGTTAATACTAATCCTTCGAAATTCTCATCGTTTTTTATTTCAACATGAAATCCAATTAATTAATAGGTGCTCTTGAAATCAGAAATCAGATAAATTTAATGAATAGGAACTTGATGTAATATATCATCTGAGGAATCTTTAATATCTGAAAAATGTATATGGTGACTAATAATTATATAATTTAGTACCATTCATAAATTCTTAATTGACAGTCATTCAATGTTATCTATTTTCTAATTAAATATATTTTAGAGAATGCCCAGTCTTAATAGATAAGTTCTTAGTAATCTCTAAAATCATCATTATCTTATGTCTTAAGATCATAAAATACAAATCTTTTAAACACTACATTTTTAGTTTCATCAATATAGCACAAGAGATATTAATGATCATATTCTTTGTAATGGAAGATGAAGGTATTTTTTAAATTTTCTATAGACTAAATTTTTCAAAATTTTTACATTTTAATATAACTCTTATCTTTCTTCCCTTTATAAATCTTGTATTGATTTCAGAAAGGAATGAGAATTCACTTAAAATTATTTGCAGTCTATATGAATTTCATTTCTTAATGAAAAAAATGATACTGTTAAAATAAAGTATCTCCTTAGAGTAATTTTGTTTTCAATAAGTTACGATTGTTTTAGATGAGACTATTCTTCTATGAGTATTCTAAAACGTGACAAATTTTCGACTTACAGGTCTCCTTAACACATTCTTATGTTTATATGATTAGAGGATAAATACTGATGGAGCTGTAAAAACCAATGTTAAGTTTTAGAATCTTTAAAGTTAATTTTGTTATTTTGAATTAAATGTTACCTGGATTTCCAAAAACATAATTTTACTATAGAAGGATTATTGTTGTTGACATTGAAGCTTCCATTTTTTTCAAAATACAAAACAAAAGCATCGTTCAGTCTAATTAGTAATGGGTTGGGACATTCTTTATAAAATTTATCAATTTTTGATTTCTCAACGATATTAGTAGAATAAACTTTTTATTTAAATTCAATAACTACTTCCTATATGATGCAGCCATAATTGTACTTATCACTATAATAAGTACCCCCTATGCAAACATAAGAATTGCTTTCCATACAATTGTAGCCGTCAATTCTATTTTTAGTAACAGAGAATTATGATCTGCATTTAATAAGGTTGATAATTTATTAAGGGTTAGAATAGGAACCATCATCTACTCTTTTTTATTATGGTTAATATTTCACTATATGCCATTCAGCCATTTAATTTGAAATCTCAAGAAATTAAATTTCACTACTAAATTCAGCTGTTTCAGTGTAACCAAAGAAATAAATTAATACTTTTTATTCTGAATCATAGAAATAGACACCGTTTAAATTTTGGGGTAATGGAAATTGATAAATTTTGAGAATTGATAGTTTTGAGTTTTTAGATTGACTTTGTTCTGAAAAATATACTACTTAAACTCTTTTGCTTTGTATAAAAATTATATATCCGTCATATTCTCCATTGTTGTTATCATCATATTCTACAAAATACTAAGTATGAGTAAAATCAAATTCTTAACCCAACTCCAAAAGGACTAAATTTCCTTCTTTGTCAATAAGAGGAAACTCCTTTTGTAGGTTTTATCTAGATTGTTTTTCATTTATTTATTATCTCTGAATTTAGAGTGATTTTAATTAATTTCGATAATATTATTATTTTTTTTAGTTATTTGCTTCAACAAAATAAGGGTACAATTGCTCATAATATTGTATGATGCTATTTTAATCTAATTTTTGCGTATTTTAATTTCTTAAACATCCTAAAAAACAATTATTAGTGCAATTAATGTACAACTAAATTATCTCACTTTTGTTAAATTAAAATTATGGATCTATCTAAGGAACAATTATTAATCTTCCTTAGGTTATTTTATGAAAGGATTTAACCAATTTATAAAATACTTAAGGATCTTTGATTAGGGTATTAGAAATTTCAAAAAAAAAAATTATGATATGTGGTTTGAATTCTTTCAGTTTTTCTTTTACAAAAAACTTCAATGCTACTTTCAATGATTCCAAAGAATTTTCAATCGGAATGTTATAATTTATATTGCTTGTATTTATTACTTTGCGTTCTTGATCTTAGCAGTCAGCTAAATAAAAGTTAAAAAGTTATAGATTTTCTTTCTTTAGAGGTTCAAAATCCAATTTTTTTTTTTGAATAGAGATTAAACTTATTTTATAAGAATCGCTTTTTAATTTAGAAACACTTGTACACCCCGAAGTTCCTTCCAAATACTCAATTTCTCTTTAGTTTGCTCTTTGTAAAAACTAAATAGATTTTTAAATTGAACAATCGAGTCCTTATTTAAAAAAAAAAAAAAAAAAAGTTTCTTCCCCATCCAGAATCTAATTTATTTTTACAATTATACCTAATCTATCTATTCTTATAGCGAAATGGCAAATCTTATAAAACAATTATTCTTAAAATCTTAAGGAGAGTCCTTTAATTCTGCTGCAAGTTTGGGATAACTTTCTTCTATTGGTTCTTGATCTTGGAATTAGTCATCTAATTCTAAGGCTTTATTGATTAATTTAAGTTTCAGGTTCAACTCAGCATTTTAATCTTTGATCGAATTAAAATCTCGTATGCAATGAATTATTTTTTTATAAGCTATAGCTTCAATACTAGAGGGGCTATTGCTTATATCGTTAAAAAATTTGTATAAAGTGAGGTCCAACAATTGATTTTCTTCATTTGCCAAAATATATTTACATTTTCCCATACTTTGACATTATTTTGATTTTTGACCTTTTGAAAGTTGGCAATAGCAATTTGATAATCCTTTCTAAGTAAGATCAAATAAATATTTAATACATTAGGTATTTAATCAATAGTTATTCTATTTTGAGTTTTCTCTTTTTTTTCAGTATTTAGCCCAATACCTTTACAATCTGTACTACATTCAATTTCTTATTAACTCATTGAAGAAATTAATTTAAAAAAAAAATAATGAAATCAATAGGTGAATAAATTATCGAATTGTTTTCAATAATCTATCTGATTATGTCGATAATATTTCAAAAGAAATTAAGAATATGACAAGAAAGATACAATTATAAATAGAATTTACACTGTTTTTGCCTTTTTATGATATAAGCTAAGAGGAATAGCTGACAAACGACAAATGGAGCAATTATTTCATAATAATAAATAAATGACTAAATAAATTAAAGATTTTGCAAAGAAGGGGATTAGCATTATAAAACACATCTAATTTTGAGAGTACTCTAAAAATATAAATTTATTCTCTTTTCAGATTTGTTAATGGTAGAGGGACTTTTTATGGATATTTATTAAATCAATAGTGATTGTGATAAATAGGGGCTTATTAATAAAATTCAAATTTAGGAACATAAAATACATGTAAAAACTAAAATTCAAATTCAATTTACAATATTTTTTGAAGAAAAGTAAAGATTTTTATTTCTTTATTATAAAAAACTAAGTAAACTAATCAAATAGAATAAGCAATTTACAAAATCTTTAATAATTAATACAGATTAAAATTTTTGAATATTAAATAATAAGTAGAAGAATATGAATTAATGATATGAATTTTTATTTAAAATATTTAAAAAGAGATTATATAAGATAGCTTATAGTTTTATATTGAGTAGAAAAATAAGGATAAATTAACACCTATCAATAAAATAATGTCTAGAAGCATAATAAAATGCTTTTTATGATTATGTCTCATAGACTTCCTTTTATGGAAAGTTTCCATCGTCATAAAAAAAGAAATATTGAATTCCTGAATCGAAACTCTGAAGAAGGACAGGCTACATTATTCATCAATAATAAGGTCCTAATATTAAAAGATCTGCAAAAATTATGAAAAGGAGAATAAGCTTGGGAAATATATATAACATAAATTCTATATAGAAAGCTTAAACTATTTGATAAAAATAGTAGGTTGGATCAGAAGTAGTAAATGCTTTTTATTGAAGAGATTGTAAAAAAATGACACATAGATAATATTTAATAATAAATTATATATCTGTTGAATATTTATGGATTTATTTCATTATGGTGAGATTACTTCTTCTACTTATTTTGTTTTTGCTTTTTCTAATTTTTCCTTTTCTATGATATAAAATCTCATTACTTAATCTGTTCTATGTTTATTGGTATTCGAATTCTTCTTTTGAAATAAATGGGATTTTCTTCTATTTTAACCTGCTTTGAACAATTATATCTTACAATTCCTTTTCAGCATTAACTTAATTAAAACAAGTCATTTACTTCTTTTAAATTTAGAATGAGAAATATCAAAATGAATCAGACTTGTGTTTTTTGTTAAACCAGTCTTGAGTTTTTCAAAGATATTTTTGTCTTTAATATCATTATTTTCGCTAAAATTATTATTGCTAATATTCAAAGATTAAAGAGTGCATGAAGAATCTGATAAATAGATTTCAAGCATCTCAGCAGTTAAACTCCCCAATTAATTTGCAGATAAATTCAAATGCTGGATGCTTTTATTTTAACTAAGTTTGCTAAAGAAGTTGGCTCCAGCAATATCATTAAAAGAATTTAATGATAGATTCAAATGTTCAAGTGATTTATTGAATAAAAGAGCATATGCTAAATTTTTAGATCCAACTAATCCAATAGCATTGTTAGATAAATCCAATTTGAGCAAGATTTCTGATCTCATCAAATACTTTGCAATTCTTATTACCCTTGAAGATATTAAATCAATATACCCTGAGTCTCCAATTTTATTATGAGATAAATTCAACTCTATGATAGAGATATCTAGATTTATTCCTGTCATTAACAATCTCAAAAGATCATCATCAATTAAATTAGAGGGTAAAGATAAAGATTACTAATATAAATGAAAGTGTATACAAGATTTCTACAATGCTTAGAGATTGCTTCTCCTAATTCAGCTGCTTAACTTAATTTCATGCCCAAGATTTCTTTTCTTGTTTGATCTATTCCAGTGGTCTAAATTGAATATTTGTATAAATTTACTTTAACTCCATATATAACTGTCAAATTCTATAGGCATGGCAAGTATTAGCATAAAAACCCGATATCAATATTGCATTAAGTTTATGATATATTAAGGGAGTAAACCCAATTATTGACTGCTTTTAATATTGCTTATAATTCATCTTTTTCTTCTTAAGAATCTAAACTCTATATTTGAATTCAAGTGTTACTTTTATGGATTTTAAGTATTCTTCAAGGAAATTTTCCATATAAGCGATTTTAAAACTGTAACTATGTTTGCAGATATTAATTGTTCTGTGAGTGCCTTTCCATTTTGTTTCGCATGCTTATTTCCAATAATTTTCATCTTCAATACTATTGTAAGTGATTGTTACAGGCAAAGTTTTCGGTGCTTTTGATATAATCTATTGATTATTAAGATGGAATACTTGATATCTTATTTTTTCTGGTATACCAGGCAACTAAGAATAGAGATCAAAACTTAGGGCCACTTACTCTATTGCCAAATCTAAAAGAGTGGGGAATTCAATTTTCCCTGTTTATTGAGGTTTATTTTATGCCCTTGCTAAGAATATTTGTTTGGCCAACATTATATATAAAATATTGTAATCAGCAATAATATGAAAATTATTAACTATCATGTTTGATTCCTTCAGATAGTTTGACTAGTAATTCTTTTAAATTATTTTTGAGGATTGGTTTAAGAATACAACCAAGAATTCCTGATTATTTACATTGTTCTAATTAATGTTAATCGGATGCATCACCCGAACAAGCAATTAATATAATAAGAGGATCAATTTAAATTAATTTTTTGGCCAACTCATACCCATCCATGACAGGCATATTGATATCCAAAAACACCAATTGATAGGAGATACCATCATTCTATCTCTCTACGAATTTCTACAAACATGTCATTCCATTCATTGCTGAATCCGAACTTATATCCATTTATTCTAATAAGTACTATAAAACGAGAATATTGATTTCATCATCATCTACAATTAAAACGGGAGGTTTATAATTAGTACTTACATACCATTTCTAAATTAACATCTCTACTTGTTTGGCAGATAATGAAGATTTTCTTGCAATGCTTTTTTCATCGTTTTTTCCTTTGTGTTTTGTTAGGTTGTGGACAGAATTATTCATCAGAGTAATAGTTTTCTAGGACTTTTTTAAAATGATTTTCTTGCTACTTTCAATCTGAGGCAAAGCTAATGAAATGGTTGGAGATTTTTGTGAGTTAAGCCCAGTAAAAAAATGTACATCCAAAGAAGGTAAACCATTTTGATGATTTATTAACAGCTAAGATTCTGAAATATCCTCAGGAGGAAGTTATTTGTTTTCTATTTCAAAATAAAATTTGGAGCCTATTCCAAATTCTGATTAAACTTAAATTCCGTTATTAGATAATAGTTTAGCTAATTCGTTACTGATCATCAATCCTAAGCCTACTCCGAAAGGATTTAAATTTTAATTTTCACCATCCTCAATTTTAGAATACTCTTTAAATAAATATTATAAATTTTCTGGCTTGATTCCGTAACCTGTGTCTTAGATACTAATTCTTATGAAATTCTTTCTCTGGGAACTTTCGGAACAATCAATATAGACTTCTCCACTTGGTCTTGTGTATTTAATCGCATTACTAAGTAAATTCATAATGATTTATCTGATTCGAAACTTATCAGAATTTACTAAGATTGGTAATTTAGAGTCATAGTTAAATGTTATGTTAATATCTTTCTTATCCTTTAGCGAATCAAATATTGAAATAGTTTTGCAGATTAACTTTTCCAAATTGAATTTTTTATAAACCAACTTTAACTTTTTATTCTCAACTTAAGCTTAATCTAAGATGTCATTAATTAGATTAAGTAATAAATGGCAAGAATTAAGAGAAGGTTTAAGATATTTTAAAACTAATTCTTAGTCAATATAATCTTTTAAACACATTTACATATTAATTATTGCATTCAAAGGATTTCTCATATCATGAGAAACCTTTCGAACAGTTTTAATCATAAAATTGATTTTATTGCTGGATTGCGAATTTTCAAATTGTTTATTTTTTTAAATCATAACAATTGAGTTATAATCATCCAAAAGAATATTCTCTATGGAGATATTATAATTTGAGTTGTTCAATTGATAATACAACTTTTTCTTCAAATGCACTTTACTCTTTTTAACATGATATAGAATCTCTTAAATGGACAAGGTTTGTTTCATTTCATCTTCAAAATTTGATGGCATATCCCTGATTAAATTGGTAGTGTTATCTCTAGGAGTTATTATTCTTGTCTAATTATAGAATTCCTATCCGCCAACTACCTGTTCTCCTTTTAATTCATTAAAAAATTATAATTAAAATATTGGATTGAAATTGCTATCTAGCAAACAAAATTCATTATGTTATATATGTTTGAGAAGGTTTTCTAATTAAATTAATTTATTTTGCTTTTCAATCCTAAAAATTTGACTTATAAACAAATAATTAAATACAGTTCTAATAACCCCTATTATAATGAAATCTTTTTTGCTAAAGGCTACGCAAAATATTTAAGTGATGAAAAAAATAGAAGAAACATAATTTACATGTAGGACATCCTATTTTAAAAGGCAAACTAATTATATTCCAGCAAAAATTAACCAATTTTACTCCAATAAATAATGAACAATGATTTGAGCTACTCCTTTAAATGCGTTAAAAAGTGAATTAAATAATTTATTTTTGCCCTTTAAAAAATGTTCAAATGTTAGAACTATTCCATGAAAGCATGTTAGTGATAGTGCTATTATCAAATAATTATAATTTGAAATTAAATAGGATTGTATATGAATAAGTAAGCTATCAGCAATTAACATTATCTGAAGTATTTTTGCATTGCCTATTGATTTAATACATGAATTCATTAAAATATTAAATAAGACACATATTATTAAATATATAAATTATTCGTAAAATATTGTTCAAAGCAAGAAAAAAAATGTACAGAAGAGGCGATGTGATGAAATGAAAAATGTAAATAATTCTGATTACTTAGAATTGTTTCTACAAATAATATTTTAGACATCTATTTAAAAAATAATCTATAAAACTCCTATTAGAAGTATAAAATAAGGAACATAAGACTAAATTCATTAATTAGGAAAAGGGGTCTATTTTTGAATGATATTCTCTTGATTTAATTGAACAAATTTGTACTTACATGAAATGAAAGAAAATCTATTTATTTCATTTATAATTTCGACTCTTCTTGATAAGTTAAATCATTCTAGATTGTAAATTTTTCATCGCATCTACAAATAGAGAATCACTCAATGAATACAGTTTTTAAGATATTATTATTTAAGTTTTCTTCATCGTCTGCTTTGTAATAGAGTTTTTTGATCAAAAGAAATTTATATGATTTCTCTTTAAGCTTCTTATTTTAAAGTAATAGTCACAATATTTTTAAAACAAGAATCCAATATAATAAGATTTCAAAAATCAAACTAATCATAAAACTAAAATTATAAAATAAAGCCGTTAATATTATTAGTAATGAGACTATATGTATGAGAATGAAAGCATGTTTAAAATTCTTCAGAAAATAAAAAAATGACAATTGAAATAAACAAACTCATTCATGAATGATTGCATAAGAGAATTACTTAACATATTCTATAATTTATTACAAATCCTATTTATTAAATAGATCAACAATAGTCATCATCTTAATTTGTTAGATTTTTTTGTTGTTTTTTATTGACAAACTCTAACAATTTTTTATAAAATCTGTCCTGCTAAAACATGATATCAGGTTCTTGTTCCTGTTGAATCAATAAAAGACTTTTTAATTTATCCAATTTACCTACTAAAAATGCATTGATCAAGATTTTCAATCTCTTAAACGTCCAATTGATATCAGTCACTGCTTTGATATCTGAAAAAATATTAATCACAATCAATTGAATCTTAAGTAACTAAATTATTTACATGCTAAAATTATTTTAACTTCTCTTCTACTAAATGTAGTTTCTATGTACCATTTCTAAACATATATGGGACAGCCACAATTATTGTAGAAAAGTCCTTATCTGGAATGAAATCTTTCTTCAATAAATCGTTTAAATGATAACACTTGACTTAATCAAATGTTTATTTATTTTATGCTAAACATTTTTCGAACATAATGAAGGTTTATTTAAAACAGAGTTTAATCATTTTATAAATAGCTTTCTTTGTCTATAATTATCCCCCTAAGAAATTTTAGGTTATGTAAAGCAATTCATTTTTAAATTGTTCTTCAGGGAAAAATAATTATTTATAATTTGAATCATATTTTGTGAAATCCATTTAAGTTCTATTGCGCATGAAACCATCAACTGAATATAAAATATCCCCAAAATAAAGTTAAGTATTTAACTTCTCTCTTAGCAATCCATTCTATTTTGCCATATTTTTGAGATGGTTCACAATAAAAGCCACTGATACATGATTTGATCTATGACCTGGAATAATAAGATCAGCCTAGCTCATAAATGGTTAAATGAAATTTTCAAAGGAGCGTTTAACAAATTAACTATATTAAAATAGGACGCTTGTTACGTTTCTTCCTCTCTCATTAACATCTCTAATGATTCTTCTACACAGCCTGATATCATCTATATTATTTAGAGCTTAAAAGTACCATCACAATGTATGAATATTTTATATGACATACAATTTCTAATTCTTTCATCATACAACGCTAAAATGCCTTCAAATACAATAACTTGAGCAGGTATAATGATTCCATCTTCATTCTCTCTTTTATAGGTAACAAATGAGTAATTAGGTATTTTCGATGGTTTACCAGATAATAAAGTAGAAATTACTTGAAATGCATAATCCCAATCAATGGAGTCTGGATGATCAAAATTATATTGAGTTATATCGATTTTGGTTTTGTCAACTTCCTTGTAAAAAGAATCACAGGATAAAATTGTCATATCGACATCAGAATCAAATTGTATCTCTCTTTTTATAGTCTCACATAAAGTGGTCTTGCCAGCCGCTGAACCACCTGTAACTCCAACTAGAATTCTTTAAGGCTCATATTCAGAATTCTATGTTACAAAAATTAACTACTTTTCTGAAATTCAGAGGAGATTTTAGTATCATTAAGTCATCAGTCATACTTAAATATAATAATCATTTAATTTAGTCATGTTATTTAGGAATTAGTTTTAAATTATTAGCGCGAATAGTTTATAATTTAATTTCTTCCAATCTCAAATAATCTCGAACCTTCCTTTAAAATGTCAAACCTTTGTTGTTGTTGATTTTCTATTATAAGGTATTAGCTCCCGAATACAGTTGGTCCAATAGGGCTTCTGTGATAGAAGCATTTGATATGTTATCTTAGAAATCATCGATTTAATCGCTATTGGAATTAGTAGGATAGGATAGAAATCTATTATGCTTAATTACACCCTCAGGATTCTTCTTTTTGTTACTCTTTTGTAATAATTATTTTAATTGACTTTTCGAGTCTTAATCTATTTATTCAATATCATTGACTTATTCTATCAATTTGTTTTGATAATCCTTAAATCTTTATGTTTGTTAAAATGGATTTTCTACTCTCTGCATAGGTTTGTGTTTATTTAAGCCTAATGAATTTGATGTACTTGTTTGTATATCATTTGAATATTATTATTTACTTTATTTCCTATTGATTATTTTCCTTTCTTTTTACTCTTTTACCCATTGCAGATAAATCTCCTTTTTATTTAGATAGAGATTTAGTACTCTATCATAAATTTAATCATTATTTTTCATAAGGTTTTAGAGATGTTCAGAAATTGTTGTGAAACGATTAAATAAAAAATCATCGGAGTTTTCTTTAAATTATAAACTTAACAAAAAATGATAATGTCTTGGACTTAAATTTTAGTTATTGGAATTCGAAAGCTTTTTTTCCTTGAGTACTGTCATGGTACGTAATTAATGAAATCTTAAATTCTGAATGTAGAAATCAGAGGATTTATGAAAAGCAATTTCTAAGTTATCTAAAAATTTGGTTTACTTTCTTTTTTCATCTATAATCATTCTTCTGAGTTGTATATTATTTTGTATTACCTATCTTATATATATTTACTAACATCTTTAATTTTCTTCCATTTTAATAGAGCCTTCTCCTATTTAGACAACTTTTTTTTGTCCTTCTTTACTTGCAATGATAATTCATAAAGTCTTTCTCTCTTATTTTCAGCCTAGGTTTTATTGTTGGTATTCTTCAATTTGGCTAATTTATCCTCCAATAAGTTAATTTGTAAATGTTCTTTATTGACTACTGAATCTTTGAAAGAACAAACAGATTCCTTATGTGATTTGACATACTCAAATTTGTCATTCATGTTTTCTATTGTTGTTGGAAAATTGCTATGATCAATCAATTGTTTTGTATCTATATTTCCAGCCAGAAATTTACAAAATGAAGCCTTGAATTTCTTACCTCTTGGAGCAGAGAAAGATGTTATTGGAGAAGCAATTAACAAGTCATCTACTTCTTTTTAAGTATGAGCCAATTGGAAGTTAGAATTCTTTATGAGGTTTCTATATTTATTAATCCTTGGATTGTTAGATTATGAATGCTTGGGACTGCTACCTGGTGATTTATTCATAACTACAATAAAAATTATGATATAATATTTATAACAATGAGATTCTCCAAACACAGGTTCAATAACATATTTTGAAGCTCATAAAAATTTACTCATTTCTAAGCATAATTATTTAAATGAAACTTCTTCCTCTTGGTCTTCCTTCTCAAAATAAAACTATTTGTAATCCTATCCCAATTTCTTTTGACTTACATTCTAATTTTCATTCTTTAAGCACTCCTGACTATTATTAAAAAAATTATTGGAGGTTCTTTGTATCTTATGTTTGTTTTAAAATTGATTATGATTGCTGATTCGAAAGTTGTTCTAAAATTATATAAATATTTCTATAAACTTAAGGTGTAATTGGTTTTATGAGAGGCTAGCTTTTTTGTCTTGAAAATTATCGAGAATTGATTGGCGGCTTGTCCATATTACTAAAGAAATAATATTAGATTAATCTAATAAAACTTTCTAATAAAATTAATATTATAAATAAATAAAATCAGAAGATTAAAGTGATGTATAATGTATAAAAGCAAGTCATCTTTGCTCTTTCGTTACAATTCTGTACTAGAAATAGAGGATAAATTTATAGTATAATTATAATATATTACCTTAATATTATTTTATTAGTATTTTTTTAAAATTTGGAAAAGATGAATTATTTGTATTAAATATATTAAATAGTATATTTGTCGATTCGATCCAAGTAATATTCAATTATTTTTACATAATTTCCAATCTTTATTACGATTAATACTATAAAAATTTTGTTAGGTATCGTATTTCTAGTCAAATTTAGATTTTTCTGTACAAAAAACTTTTAAAGTTCACAAAATTGAATATAATTTATGATTATATAGTCAAAAATATAAATTACAATTTTAGATGCTTTGGATGCTTTTTTGTTTTTTAAGTTTCATTCATGCAATTTTATTGTAAACTCTCTTTCATTTTCTGTAATAATCTTTGACTAATAGTTATTATGAGAAAATAGCAAGAGGACTTTATGGAAATATAAAAATGCCGTTTATTTGTTTCTAATTTTACAATTATGATCGTTATAAAGATCTGCCCTCGAAGAATCAGAAGAAATTAAGTATTATTGAATAAAATAGATTTATAAAGATTGCCAAGATGTAACATGCATAATTTAATCAAGCACTGGTTTTCCTTTTTGATTCCCTTCTCTAAACTATGGGATTCTTTGTGATGGCATATGGAACTTCAGAAGTACTGCCTAAATTTTATTCTTCTAATTAGGTTGGTAATTTGATTTAGGTTTGGCGTGAATTGATTTATGGATTATTTGATTACATGCAAATTTAATTAAAAATAATAATGATTTCGTGAATGTAATTATCATTGTCTATAATATACCATATATACATTTTTAAATTTAATACACAGAAAATTGACTTTGCAAAAAAAACTCCATTCTGTATTTTAAATAAAATAGATAAAATAACTACTAAGGCTATTTTCTTTTCTGTTGTAAAATAATTGTTTAATTTGAGCTATTAGGTTAAATTGAATTGCATTTTAATTGTAAATTTTATATGATATTAAAGTCAAAATTATCTTGACTAATCTTAATAAAAATATAATAGTAAAATTATGATTCAATATCAGCATCTAAATTTTAAGAAATCTGAAGACTATTTGTATAAAGCTTGTTGGACTTAGCATTTATCTCTTTTCTCATATGGACTCGAACTTAATTTGGAAGTCATACTACATTTTCTTTCACTTGGTTGATTCCAAAAGGATTGTGTGTCTCTTTTCATTGGCATCACTAAATTAAGTTTCATATTCGAATTGGTGATTCTGTTAGTAAATGGTTATTTTTTTTCAAGGGACCCTTATCTAGAGAAGAGTTTGTTTAATTAAGCGAGAGGAGATCTTGAGGTTTGGGAATCATACTATTAATCTTACAGAGTAAAAGTTTCTTAATAGATTTTTGCTGTTTTAATATTGTGTAATAATTTTACTAAACTATTTTTAATTTCTTTATTAAATTTCTAGTATTACTATAAATTTGGGTTCATTTGATACAAAAATGAATGTGATTGTTAAGGAGATTAAACTGATAATTTTTGTCTCTTCTATTGGATTAAATTCAATTGATATTCTTATTGTTTATAATACAACTTATTCTAATCAAAAACCTTTTGCATTACAAAGTTTATTTCTTAGATAAATTAGCGTTGTATATGTTCTAATTCGGCCTAAAAATTCTGTTACTCTAATCTTAATTCACCAATCAGATAATTTAGGTCTCTATTTTCTTAGGATTCATATTCTTTTATTTAACAGTTTTTCCCTTTCCTTTATTCAAGCATTTAATTTAGGTTGAACTATTAAGGTTTTTTGTTCTTTTGATTAGTTTGTTCTAATTCAAAATCAGATTCATCAAGAAGTTCTGAATTTAGGAATTTTTTAATAATAGATATGCTGGATGCATCGAGCTAATTGTCATCGCAACTCATAACGACAATTAAATAATAAAATTAACATTAAAATTATTAGAGCCAAAAATAACTATATATAAAGAAATATGAATAATTCATTTGATTTCATTTGTATCCTTTGATTAATTTGGTTGTGTAATGATTTCCAAATTCGAAAAGATTGAAACTTAAAATAATTAAATTTATTAATGGGATGCCATATACAAACAGGCAGACAAGTGTAGTTAAATGACCATAATCCTTCCTTCGAATAATAATTATTAGAGATTGATAAAATGGAATTCTTCAAGAATAGGAGTGGTTTCAAAATAGTTCTTCAACCTATACTATTTACTTTTTCTTAAGAAAAAGGAGAAACTCATTCTTAAGATGAAAATGATTGAAAGTCATAAATGAGAATTGATATTTTATTAAAAGAATAAATTAAAAATCTATACGAATTCACATAGATAGTTCTGAGATAATTCATAGAATGAATTAAAAATAGCCATTATATCTTCATATAAGAGTTCACATTAATGTTCTAAAACGTATGAGTTGTATTTCAATTGATGAATCACTGTCTTCTAACTCAAATAGCTGAGTATATCAGAATAATTTTAGTAAAAGGAATTTGTTCTGGAACAATAATAATTTCTGCAATTATTTCATAAAGATATATTCGTTTAGTTTGTATTTTGAAATAGGAATCTTAAGATTTCAAATAAACTTATTGTCTAAGCATGGTACCAAGTTATTAAAAAACGAATTTATGAATTATTTATCGTATTTTTAACAAATAATTAAACCATATTTTGTAATTGAATAACTAAAACTAGATAAGTAAGGATGGAAAAGAGTTATAGGTTTAGAAAAAAAGGATAAAATGATTTTATTAAATGTATTAGATTTTATTGATAACAATGAATTTTATAATCGTTAATTTTATAAATATATTGCAAATAATTATAATTTTGAATGAGAAAAAAGGTTGAAAAAATTAAAAAAAGTACATGATTTTTTAGATCTAGAACCATGGAGTGATTATGAGGATGCTTAGGTTATGCAATTAGTTGAATAATATGGGCCACATAAATGGACATTTATAGCATCTAAGTTATAAGGTAGAATTGGAAAACAATGTAGGGAACGGTATGCAATGCTGAGTAATATAGTTGGCATAATCATTTGAATCCTTTGATAAAAAAGTCACCTTGGGAATATGAGGAAGAATGGATTTTATATTTGTATCATGAAGCTATTAGTAATGAATGGGCAGAAATTGCTAAGCATTTAGAAGGAAGAACTGATAATGCAATAAAGAATCATTGGAACTCTGGAATGAAGAAGAGAATGAGTGAATTTAGAGAAAAGTTATAGAAAATAAGATAACAATTTTAATAAAAAGGGTTTTAAATTTGAATTAAAGAAGGTAGGCATACTTTTTTAGATTAATTTGTGAACCCTTATGAAAGGAAAGCAATTGAAATAATATTTTTAAATAAAAAGTATGTAAGCTTGATCACAGACACAGATGATGAGGAAGATGAGATTGATGAGCCAGCAATAAAACCAAGTCAAAACACATCCCTCAGAACTCGAAGCAATTTGAATAATAATGTATATTAAGAATATATGAAGTTTGAAATCAGAAGCAAGTATATTAGCAAACATCCGAGAAGAAATAGAATGCATAGAAAATATTTGATATATAAGAAAAATCAAATGAAAGAAATCGAAAAAGAGAAGGATAAGGAGAACAAAAATTTGAATAATGTGCAACCAGTCCAAATAGAATCAAGACAAATGTTTTCAATGCAATAGTTAGATCAGACTCCTTCAAAAGTATATAAGTAGAAGTGAATTTGATATATTTAGTGATGACTACTATTAAACCCCAGCAGCATTCAATCGAATACAAAGATTAGCCATCAGTAGTTCAAAGTTTAGTTAATTTAAATGTGCAGTCTAAGTAAGATGATAGATGTATTTATCAAATAGAATGAAACATTCCAAAATTAGTTGTAAGAAGAACTAAAGTAAAACTTATTTTTATGATATATTTTATAAATTATCAAATCTATCATTCAACTCAATATACTTTGAACAATAAAAATAATATGTTAACAATATAATTTATATTGACTAATAATTATTATTAAATAAAGTTATGAAACTTGGAACTTGTACTGAGTGGCTCTTCTTCCATCTTTGGAAAAAGAACCCAAATTCTGGTCACAGTTGTAACGGAGTCTTTCTAGCAGACACTGTCATATACAGATGGGCACAACCTTACTTTAGTAATCAACAATCTATACAATAGGGTATTTTACTGCTTAGAATGGTCAAATCATAAGGAAAACAAAGGAAAGAGTGTTTATTGAACAAGTTGAGTAAGCATTTTTATAAGATAATACCGTTGCTGTTCTATTAACTAGTCAAGTAATATTGATTAACAACTTTTTAGGCTCAATCAAAATAATAAGAAATAATCAACTTCGAATATTTTGACAAAGAGAACTTTGGTAAATTCTTATATTAGAGGGAAAAGGAACTAAATTCAATCCTTCAGAAGTAGAAATTTCAGCTGATATTTTTAGATTTATATATCCAAAGAGTGATCACAATTCAATGATTAAGGTAACATGGTCTCCTCAATTCTGCTTAATTAATAGGAAAACAAACATCAACAACATGAATGATTTAAAAAAACCATTGTATGAAAGAGTTAGTACTTTTGATGGTCCTGAATACTTATCTGTTTCAGATTCTATAAGTTCACCATTATTAAGTTCTGACTTAGAATAATTATGTGTGAATATTGTCAAGCATGTACAAGAAGTCTCAGGAGGAAACATATAAATTATTAGAATGGTGTTATACTTCAAAGTAGATCAAGAGAATAGAATTTGGTTGATGTTTTGCACTGGCATCAAAGTTAAAGATAAGTTTTCAACACATCCAGACAAACATAGAACAGACTCTCCTCTTTTTAAAATAATAAGGAGAGATCTTGAACCTGTCATTACAGGAACAGAGAATGTTTAAAAAGTCGTTAAATACAATAGTGAAGGACAAATTGAAGAATTATTGTATTAATTAGAAAGCGTTTGTTCAAATTGTGATTTATTTTCATAAGAACTCTACTAATTATAATTCGAATAGATAATTGAAAGTTTTGAAAGAGTAACATTAATTTATTTATATTATTAGTCATTAGTAAGCAATGAATTCACAAGACTACCGGAAGATTTGTAAAAGATTAAATTGAAAAATGATAAAAAAAGCGAATTACTCAAGTTAAACTAACATATTAAGACTAGATCAAAATAATTTATCCATAAAGGTATTTCAGATATAAAAGTATAATTAGATTATTAATTGTCCAATTATTTTGAATAACAATCGAATTAATAAATTTCTGGTACTTAAAGTCAATAGGAAATATTGGTTGAGAAATATAAACTTGTAAATAATTAGAAGACTTCTGATTAAGTTCATGCTGAAATTTAAGAGTTGTGTCGATATTTAGATGAAGAATAAGAAGATTGCAAATTGAATTTTAAAAGTGTCCCCGCTTTGATTCTGAAAGTATGGGGAAAGCTATCTGAAGATAAATACAAACAATTAAAATTTAATCCCAGTTGGAGGCAACTCAAAACTTAAGTTTGTTTGGATTGCTATCTCAAGTATACTGAGTGTTGCAATCTTACTCAATTTGAAAGAAAAGTGTATAAATATTCAATCTAATTGCATTAGTAAGACAGCTGCTCAAAATTTAAAAAAAAAAGTAGAAGATCAATAAGCCAATAATATTCTGTTGTAAAATACCTTGCTTGATATCAATAAAAGCAATTTTACATAAAACTTTCATTCATCCTTGCCTCCAGTAATGGAATAAAGAACAATCACAGTTGGTGGCAAAGCCAGTGTTGCAAAAACTGCCAACACCTAGTAAAGATCAACTGCATTAAATACGCCACCTTAGCCACATCAGACTACCTTAGAAGCCATGCCCTAGTTCTTTAATAAATTTATGAAAAAGGAAGCCAAACCAAAAAAGGCTCCAACCACTCAAAAGGTATAATCCAATTATATTTCAGATTTATCAAAATCGATAAGGATTGCATATGTCTTTGAACCATTCAACTTAATCAAGATCCTCTCGTTCTACCTAGGATTAATCAAAAATATCATTTGATTATATGATAAGTACTGTTTCCTAGCTGAAAAAGAAACTGTAAGAATTGGAAGACGAAGAATAATCTTAAAAAAACTAGCAAAATTAAAAGCCATAAACTTTATAGAATTAATCAGAACTAAACTCCTTATTACAAAGTAGCAAATTACTTCAGACTAAATCCCAACCGCATCAATGATCAATATTTTTGGAAATAATAATATATTTTTTATTACTCTTTGGGTTATTTAAAATATAAACATAAGAGATTTATATTCTGTAATTTTTAATCGTTAAATTATTTAAAATGGACTCACTCTTTGCTTTATTTGATTAATTCTTTAGAATAAATCTGGCACAATATCCATAGAATTAATAAGCCTATTTGTCTGAAAGTTGGGAATAATTTTTATGCTTGTTATAAACATAACCATTAGATTATGGAAAGATTTATACATTGATAAATAGGATAAATTATGAGGATTTGAAAGTAGAAAAGAATGAAAGATAGAGTTCAAGTTAAAGATATATTGCTAGAAATATTACAGCAGCCTCCTCTCCTAGGATTGTCTCCTCATCAGTATCAAAAAATAGTAAAGACTTAAATCAATCATTAATAAGGCACCAATGTTTTATCCAAAATAGCTTAGTTAGATAGTGTTGCCAGTCCAAAAATAGCAGTTTCAAATCTTGCTAGTTAACAATCCTTAACAAATAAAACATCTTTGTAATAAAATGTTAAATAACAAGTAAGACATTAACTCATTTTAGTAAATGACAGACGAATTTAATAGGCATTTATTGCTCAGCAAAATTAAAGAACTTTAGTTTAACTATTCTGTCTCTACAGATAAATTATATGCCATTGCTAGAATATCACATTCAAGAGGGGAAAATTAGCCTACATCTAAATCCCCTATCAAATATCCATTATCTTAGTACATAAATAAATCAAGAGGAAGCAATCATTCAGCAGAACATTATAAAATTGTAGTTTGATTACATTTAGTTCTTTTTATTATACCTTAAGATAATTTATAATATTTATCTATTTTGAATTAATCGTATCAATCTCTAGTTAATTTATTGTGTTCAAATAAAACAATCAAATTAGAACAAATATTATAAATTATAGCAATTACTTTATATAATATCAATTCTATTTATTCAAGTGCATATAATATGATACCTATTAAATTAGAAGATTTAGTTTAGTCTAAAAGAATAGATATTTATTGGATATGATTAATCGAATACTTAGAACAAGGAATTTTAGAAGAAAATTATTCTAAAAATAAATATTTTAGAATTCCATTCTTTTATCAAATTTCATATTATTTAAATAAATAATTTATGAATTTAGTTATCAAAGGCAAGGAACTCTAATTATATTTTTCCAAAGAACAACTCAATCATATGGTTGTAAAAATTGCAAATTAGATCTCTGCTGACTATTAAGAAAGACATCCAATTTTTATTGGAGTTTTAAATGGGGCATTCATGTTTATGGCAGATTTAATTAGAGCTGTTGATCCTTAACTTAAATTTTAAATTGATTTTATTAAATTATCTAGTTATGAAGGTATATTATGATTTTAATGTCTAGGTAAAGAGTCAACTGGAATTGTGAAGGCTTTAAGTGGATTGAAAAATGATATCAAAGGTCGTCACGTTATAATTATTGAGGATATAATTGAAACAGGATTGACTATAACAGCAGTCATAGAGGAGATGAAAAAGTTAGAGCCTGCAAGTGTTAAACTATGTGCTTGTTTTCTTAAGACTGGTAAAATGAATATTAAATATTAGGAAAATAAAAAATAAATATCTAGCCTGATTATCTATGCACAGAAATAGAAGATAAGTTTATTATTGGTTATGGATTAGATTGGGATGAATATGGAAGAGGATTGGATCAATTATATTATATATAATGAGTAGTATTTAGTTAAATCATCCAATCAAATAATATCGCATCTAAAATTAATATTCAATCTTAATTGACTCTAATCAATCTTTTAGTATAAGCCTATCCAAGGGAGAAAACCATAGGATATTTAGTAAAATATAATCTAATATTTTAATTTCTTAATACGTAGTATCATCTCTATAGATAATATGAATAAATATATTCAATACATATTATGATATTCTTAATATTAATAATTAAAAATTAAATTCAATAATTCTATATTTATTAACAAATTTACAAAAAATTTAAGTCTAATCTTTGATTTAATATCAAAATCAGGCATCTCAGAGAGAGGGAGTTGGTCATGTAGCTTATTCTTAAAAAGTAACCACTTTTTATTTACTATTTTGATATTAATATATTTAATTTCTTTTGCTTGTGAACTAAGTTTGGAGTTCTCATGAGTGTTGGTAGAACTCTGATTTTATTATTTATATTTGGTGATAAATTGGTTCTTGTTATTGTAATTGAGAATCAAACATCTAAGTTTATTTTTATATTGCCTCTTCCTATATTAGTCGAAGTTTCAGTCTAATGTTGGTTAAATTATTTCATAAATCTAAATATTAAATAATTAGTAAAAGACTGCTTTCTCAATTATAACTTTAACTTGTAATCCTTGTTGTTTCGTTATCTTATTTATAAAGTAACGTATTTTAATTTTTCGTGTATCTTAACTATTTGTATTTTTATATGTGAAATCTTTAGTGTCTTTCTTATGTTAAAATTATTAAATATCTTAGATATTTATTTTGTAATTTTTGTTATATAGAAATTTACATATTCATTGAACAATCTGTATTCTTTTTTGCTTATTAAGCTATGTAGCTATAGGTATTCATAGATCGTAGTTAATCATTTAGAGATATTTATTAAGTAAAGCATAATTGGTAATAATAAGTTTAAAATGAATTTATTTAACGAATACATAAAATTGTAATTCTTCATAGTTTTAATAATAAATGTAAAATAATAATTCTATATATAGAACTAAAATTCTTTTGTAATTTCTTAAAGGTGTATAAGACCCTTGAAACAGTGATTTAATCTTTTAATCCATTAATCATAAATTGATATTATGTGTGGAGACAATTCTAATGGTTTTTATATTCGAAAAATTTTAAGAATATAGAGTTTCTTTAATGTTATTCAATCTAAAAGTAAAAGAATATTGAGTTATATAATATTTATGTAAATGTGATTGTTTGTGAACCAAAATTAAAATTTATTTATGAATTAAGACAAAGAATGGAGTTTAGATAGTTGGAAAAATTATTCGGCTGTTTAATTACCGATATATTCAGATGTTCAACTATAGTAATGATATTTTAGAAATTAGTTAAGATACTCTTCAAAAAATAAAAAAACTTCCAGAAATCCTAAATTTTGAAGATATAAATGCTTTTAAAACTTAAATGATTAAGGTTAGTAAAGGTGAGAAATTTGTCCTGTAGTTGGGAGATTGTGCAGAAGTATTTGATGAATGTACTGAAGAACATTGGAAAGAGAAGTTTAGTTTTTATGATGTATAAAATAAAAATAATCATAGCGAATGGGCTAGATCTTGGATGCAATAGTCATTGGAAGGACTTGTGGATAATTTGCAAAACCACGATCATAATTACTAGAGAAGGATGGCACTTTAAATTATAGGGGTGATTTAATTAATTCATTGAGCAGAGATGAGAGAGAGCCTGATCCCTCACGTTTATTATTGGGTGCACACTACACCAAAAAGGGATTAGAGAGTCTAAAGCAGTATGAGGGGTAATAAATTTGGGTATCGCATGAATGTTTACATCTTGGATATGAATCAGCTTTTGTGAAATAAAATGAAGACTAGTAGTATTATTTGTCGAATACTCATTTTCCATGGATAGGAGATAGGACAAGATTGCATGATCATGCTCATTCAAATTTTATTAGGGGCATTTACAATCCTGTCGGAATTAAGGTAATTCCTAAAATCTATATAGATTGGATAAACAATTAATAAAACAGAGTTTATTAATGTGTTTAAGTTGATTAATCCAAAAAATGAAGATGGAAGGTCATTTGCTATAATTAGATTAGGAAAGAATAAGTTAGATAAATTGAAGGATATTATTAATTGGAAGTAAGAGGAAAAATTGAATATTTCATTCTTTCTGGATCCTATGCATGGAAACAATTAGGATAAAAGTGGATGTAAAATCAGAAAAATAGAAGACATTATGTATGAAATCTAGCAATTTTTTACCATAATGGAACAATAGAATGAAGTTCCTGCAGGATTACATTTAGAATGCACACCTTATGATGTGACTGAATGTATAGAAAATGATGAAGATATCAATCCTAAAAAATACACTACTGCCTGTGATCCTAGATTGAATTTCAGACAAACTAGAAAAATTATAATTTTTGTTAATACTCTTCTTAAAAAATTAAGGAATAAATAATGAGACATTATTTTTAATGACTTATATATGTATTAATATTAGTATCAAATTGTTGTATGAATTTCAACTGTTCTATTAACATTAAAAACTAATCCTAACTTTACAAAATATATTTATTATAGAGTTTATAATCATTTATAGAAGTTATTGTTTCAGAGAAAACTCTATATAAAATTCTATATTTCTTTGCTTAATTTTAAATGGGTAAAAGGTATAGTTAAAGATATCAAATGGCAAAAGTAATTACATCAAGTAAGTTCTGTCAATTGTATTCTATCCATATCATCAATGATAATAAAAATTTTTTCATATTGGGAATTTACTAAGAAAATGGAATTCTTTGGGTGATATTAAAGGACAAAATAAATTGTATTAAAATTAAATAAAAACCTATATAATAAAATGTCATGAAAATTAGAATTTTATATTTAATATTTATTTATTTTGTATAGATTAAAACTCATAAGCAAGTCTCTACTACAAGTTATAGGCGCTCATAAAGTATCCAAAATTTAAGCAACTCTTTATCCGAATTCAGAGTTTTTTAATTATAATATAAGATCTGGATGCTGTTTGAATAGTGATTTTAAATAATGAACTGATGGGTCTTCACTTATTAGAACTTTTTTCATAACATAATTTCCAAAAGGATGGATGGATAAGTTATAAAATACGAATCTAACATTAATTAATAAAGTACTGGTCATTTGATATTTTACATAAGTTCTTAATAATTTAAGAAGGACCCAGAAGATCAAGATACTTTTCAACTGTATTGCTACCAAACTTATTACAACTTAATTATTCGAAATTTTCCTTAATAGTTTAGCAAATTTAAGATTTTTCCTTCTATGGTCCACATTTAAGAAGGAATTAGATTATATAGTTTCCGAATTCCTAATTGCATAATTAATAGGAGAAAGAAATTAATAGATCTAGAATTCTTTAGGTTATTTCTAAAGGGTAAAGTTCTAAAACCTTTTGAATTAATCTACAACCATAAGTCGACTTCGAGAGAGTGGCAATCTAAAATTATAACATGAATTACAGATTCTTCAATTAAGGGAATTATGAAAAATAATGTAGATTTGTCTAATATCTCAAAGCATTAAAGCAATACATAATTGCCATTTACATCATTTAAAAGTTAATTTATAAGCGGATAAAGTGTTTTAATTAATGACTCAATTAGTTCATGAGAATCTCTTAGAATAGATAAATGGTTACTTGACGAATTAGATCATCTTCGAAACAACTCTACAAGCATATTAATTTTTTGATAATTCCAAGAAGTGACAAATCAAAAGAGAATACAATTTATATTTTTATTCATAATCTGCAACATCAAATATCTTTTGCACTGTATAGTTACCAAACATATCTTTAGATGCTTTTACACAATCTTTCTCAATTTAACAGAAAATGATTTATTTTTGATTTTGATCATTATTATCCAACACATTTTATAATTTTCTATTAACCAATTGATTACCACATATTTGTTCCTGTGAACTTTTAATAATTATATTTACTAGATCCTTTTAGCTAAGTAACAAATTTCCATCAAGAATTTGAAAGCTGTTTAACTAAAATTATTTATGTTAACTTTCCTTTGCCTATTCCTTGAGATACTTTTTGACTTTTTATTTCAACTAGAGTTTCTCTCCACAATCAATTGCTGCTAGATATAATAAATTTTTATACATTAAAATTTGTCAGCTGAACCAAAGAATTCCTAATCTGATGTTTGATTTAAAGGATTAGATAATTAAGATTGTCTGTAAAAGGATTATCTATATAAATAAATACATTTCTATATAGATTTTTGTATGAAAAAATATTTGCCATTTCTAGAATGATGCTGATCCCGTTGAAATTATGCTAGAATTCGAAGTGGGGAAAGAATCCTAGTTGATGACTTACTCAGGATTAAATTCTTTTGATTTGAGTGATAATTGTTTCCTCTTCTGAGACACAGTTGAGATTAATGAAATTTCATCATCTGGGATTAATTAATTATTAATACCATTTAAAATGGATCCAATTAGATCTTTTTCTTCACTTAAAGATGCCATGTTAATTAAAATTTTGAATATTTAGACTGAAAATTTTATAATATCATAATTTACTTGATAATAATTTAAAATATGATGATATTGCAAGGTATCAAATACTCTATGCAAAAACAAAGGGATTACAGTATAATAATTAGAAATACTTATTTGACTAATGATATTATTCATATTTGTGTCCTGAAAAGTGGGAAATCAAAATTTAATACTAATTTTTCATTATATTTTATATAATATTTTTACTACTCATTCTTCTAAATTTAGAAGAGTTGTGAACAATAATCTCAGAGATTAAAAATATATGTAAAATAAACACTTTAACAAATAACTAAAAGTATAAGCAAAGAGGAACAGTAGCCTAAATAAAGTAATTATATAATAAATTTGAAGCTGTACTTCTCGGAGTATGTTTGAAATAATAAATAATATAAAAATTATAGACAGTACAAAACTTCTAAGACTAAATTTCAATCAAAATTGATTGGACTTAGTATTTTTTGATTGGATATTCTTTTGCCGTTTTGAAATTTAATTTTTATGGGTAAACCATCTGATTTTATTAATTCTCCATTTCCGTCTTGAGCATCTTCCTTCCAGTAACCTTTATACTATTTTCCATCAGTCCAAGTATAGACACCATAGCCATGCTTTTTATTTTATTTAAAAAAGCCTTCATAGACTGATTTATTCGAGAGTGTTAGTTTTCCTTATCCTTCCATTTAATTATTGACCCAATTCCCTTCATACTTCAAGCCATTAAGCCCTTAATAAATGCCAAAGCCATTCAAATTATTATTATCAAATTAGCCTTCATAACTAGTTCCGTCATCATATTGAACATAACCTTTTCCATGTTTGAGATTGTTGAAAAATTACCCTTGATATGTATACTGATCTATCATAAGGCATATAGATACTTGTAACTACTTCTTTGCCATAGCCATGTTTTTTATTTTTAACCCATTCACCAATATACGTGTTATTATCAAGGTCTGTGAACCTACCAAAGCCATGGATTAATCCTTCTTGGAAATAGCCTTCATAATGGCTGCCATCATTAAATGAAATCAATCCATATCCTGACATAGATAAATTGATCTAAATTTCTAGACCATCTTTACTGTGCATTGCAATTGGCTTAATAGATTGAAATGTTAGAGGTTCCAGTGTTTTGATTTGAAGTTGATGTATTTTTTTGGAGAGATCACACTCCTCGGAGGCAGTATTTAATCTGATATTCTCATTGTTTAATATTAGGGGTGGTTAACACATGTTGGAGGTTTCTTCATTTTATTCCTCAGAAGAGCATTGTTTTTCAACGATAATATTCTTTTATATTTGTGGCTATTTGAGTGAACAAGATCCCATGTAAAAATATTGCTAAATTATCAATCTAATAAATAATATTTTCTTATTTGTAAATTAGTTAATATTAATTTTAGAAAAATTGTGAATTTAGAGTAAAATGGAGAGAAAATAACATCGATTAGCAGAGATCAGAATCGATGCGGTTGCTTTGGAGTTCAGTTATTAAAATAAATATATTTATAATTATTTTATAATATATGTGTATTTAAGTGGTCATTTCTTGAATCGGAATTCATCAAGAAAGTTAATAATTATTAAAGAATAAAGTGTTTGGATTATTAATGGATGATTTGTATATTAAAAGAAATATTTAAAAAAATAAAATATCCAAATCAAATGTCACATCAATACTTAAGCGATTTTGAATCCTTCGATAACTGCAGCTTGAATGCAGAAGAAAATAACAAAACCAAATATCAGAAACTCAATCTGTTTAAAAATGATTCCTTTTAATTCGATATCGATTTTGAATAGATATCAACCAACATTGTCAATCAACCCTATGTCCCCCATTAAGAGGTGAATAAAAAGGAAAACAGTTAAGCAGTCAACAAGAAGATTAAGAAATAATCAAAAAAGGAAAGAAATTTAAAGGATTACAAGAAGAATATCTGCAGAAACATTTTAAGACATGCCATTAAATCAATGAATAATGACCAGGATTGCATTACCTACCTATCAGAACTAGTTGACAACAGCAAATAATTCAGTCTTTATTATAACAAATAATTGGAACAAATTACTGGGTTTAGAGTACTTAGAGATCATTTAATTGAAATGAAGGAAGACAGCCAAATTGTAAAGAATAGAAAGTTGGCTTTTAAGTATTACTTATTATGGTATTTGAATTCGAAAGCAACTGCAATGATTTTAAGAGGAGAGACTCAAAATCCTCAAGAATACCTACGATATAAGAATGAAGTGCTAATGTATTATATACACCAGCCTCACGAATGGATGTCTAATAACCCAGAGTGGTTGAATGCAACCACATAGGGAAAAGAAAAACAGTGCCAACTTAGTACAGGAGGTTCATGTATTTGAGATGTCATGGGATGATTGCGAAATTATAGCTGCGTGGTCTAACACCACAGAGAATGAAGACATTTGATTAAATATTTGTCTTTATTTTTTTAAATTATATTCTTTAATGAAATAACAAATAGATCTCAAGTTATTGCAACAATAAAGGGAAGAGCGATTTCAGAAGAGTTTGTTTGGTGCTAACCAAATGACTTAATCTGTTGATGATAAGCCAGCCAGTTCCAAAGTCCCTCTATTGTCTAATGAGAATTTTGTGTAAATTTATGTGAAATGCACTATCACTCCAGAAGTATGAGTACTTTAGTAGTCTTAGTTTGTGGCCTAGAAGGAATTGAGAGATGACAACGTGGACAATGAGATTGACATAGTATTTGATGATGTGATAGGTAAGTTTTCCAATAAGTAAATATAGAAAATGAGGAATTGGGAATGAAAAAGGAGTACAATGTATTTGTGGAAAGACAACTGGTCCAATAAATTAAATTGTTAAAATAGAATTACATAGAGAAGCAAGATTTGATCAAAGTAATCTATGTACTTAGATAAAGATGCCCGTATGTGGATCCAATGGCATAAGATTACCAGAAGAGTAAGACCTCTTGCTTTATTTCGAATTCTTCAAAATTCGAGAAAATTCAACTGAATGTTAGTTGCTAATTCAATCGCAGGATTTGAAATCACAGTATGGTCTCTTGATTTGCGGTTGTCTATTTAATGATGAAATTGCGTAAGATCTTGCCTTTAAATTCTTAACCAAGAAACCCACTTTGGAAATCATAATGAAGTTGCTATTAGTCACAGTCCACTATGAATCCAAGTATCAGATGTATATGTACAAGTAAGTGTCTCTTTTATTCTTAGATTAGTAAAATAAATACTCTACTTCTACAATGGGATCCTCAAGGAAATCACAGACCCATTATTGAATGAAGTGACTCAAAACTTAAAGCAATTGTCAATTGAGAAGCCCAACATCATTAGAGTCAATGCCAAGAATTTCTCCTTGAAAATAAATACCACATTCTTATATCCTTTATACAAGTAATACGAGAAGGAGAGAGCTTAAGTGTTCAAACCCATCAATGAATACACTCAATTTCAAGTATTGCGAAATGCTGACATTCCAGATCAAACTGAAGACTCAGAATATCCACATATCTACATAATTAAAAAATCGAGTGATCAATAGCAATATTTATATGGAATACAATTAGAAGCACATGCAGAAATATAAATATACGATAACAAATGTGAGAAATACTAGAAATATAATGACTCATATTTGGGATGTGTAGAAAGGAATATTTGGGGCACTTCGATGGTTGTCTATGATGATGGATATCCGGAGTCAGCTTAATTACAATTTCCTGATTGGATCGGTTAGAAGAGAAGGAGATTGATGAAGATAGAGTACGAGACTAACATCATGGCAAATGAGCCAAGATATTTTGATACTGTGTTTCTGAATCTAGATACAAAACAATGGGAAGGTAATTTGCTTGAATGATTATTTGATTAGAACTAATTACATTGAGACCCCATTACAATTAGGAGAAGGATTGCTATTAGTTGAATTTCTTTGGGTAATGTTGAATGACTATATAATTAGACGAGCCAAGATTGCATCCGCTCGTAATTTCCAATTGATCAAAGCTGGAGATGATAAGACTATCCAATTATTGCATGGAAAGATGGAGGCCAATTCTTTCAATTTGGATTTCAGACCTCCTCTCAGCATCTTGTAAGCATTTGCTATATCGATGGTTTCGATAAGCTCTAAAGCACTTGTGTCATGATTATTAAAAGAAATATAATAAATCCCGCACTGATTATTCTCTCTCATATATTTTATTCAATATTATAAAAGGGTATCCTCGGGTTCATCATCCTCGCCTTGAAGAGCCCTTTGACCTTCGATGAAATGATTGTATTGTCTGATAGTTTGATGTAAAGTCGACATGTCTGCGTATTTCATGTAGAATGTTCTCTCCCACCCATTCACTTGGAATAATCAAAAGCACATACCAAATTTGATTTCCCATTTACTTGAAATGCATTCGACTGACTCTCTGTAATGGGATTCAAAGTTAGGCTGGTGCAATTTCTTATTAAGATTCATTGTTTGATATTGCAAGTGTCTAAAAAGGGGTATGCTCATTAAATAAACCTCAGTAGCCTTGTGCCATGAACATCTGTGGGATTGGCAACGAAATTCATCTTCAAAATGTATCTAAAGATTGGATTCAAAAGGGATCCCGCCTGCATTATCACTCTCTTTCTTTTAGTACCCATTTATTTAATTAACCGTATATAAAATTATTTAAATCTAATGAAATTAAAGAACAGAAACTCCAATTCAGTTAACAAATTGCAAGCCCTAAAACAGCAGCAAGACAACATCATCTCATCCATAAACGATTTGAATGACAAAAACCAATAAATAATCAAAGACTACATGAACAAATAGCAACTATTAACAGATCAATTGGAAAAGCAACATCAACAGATTACAATACAAGAACTTAAGTACGCATTACATAATAATAATTGGACCAAAAAGGTTGGGTTCTTTCTGAATCCACTATCACAACAAAATGGATAGAAGATAACTATACAACAATAATAAATCCTGTTAAAGCATTCAGAATCTAAGTTAATTTAACTTGAGAGGATCTTTCAAACAGAATCCAAGATTATTCAATTTCAAGAGCAAAAGAAAATGATTCAAAATGATGTCGAAGGAAGAATATTATAAATGGATACTCTCCTAATTGAATATGAAGAGCTAGAATAGATCATAGATTCACAGCAAAACAAATCACAATGCAACAATGTCAAGACTCTGTTTGAAATAAACAAAAGTTTGAGCCAACTAAAACACAATTATATACTATTAGCAAATTAACGATAAGAAAAGGAAATCATCCAAACTGACATCATAAAAGTAATTAACAATTTGGAGTTGCAAACCAAATCTATTTAAATTGAAAAATAAATGAAGGGCTTGCAATCTTCTTGGTTCAATGTGGATCAACTTTACAATTCAATTGTATCATAAGCAAAAGCTGAGTAATAATTGGACTTATTTTGCAACATAGTATTGCTAATCAACGATAAAATTGTTAAAGGACTCAATTCTAAAGTGAATTAGAATGTGATTATTGATAGCATTCGATAAATAGAAAATGATAATAAGTTTAGAGTATTTAATAGCACCGTATTTCAAGAATACTTGGATTAGGCATAAATAGTAGAGTACTCTTAATTTCTTACAAATGAATTAACTAAAAGAATATCCAAGTTCAAAATAGAATCCAAATTGAAATAGCATAAGTACAAAAATAATAAATTAAGAATAGAGCACATCTTGTCGATATACAGAGACAAATACATCAGATAATGTATGAACAATCAATGATCTAAACCTAATACAATAGACTTGAGTCTAATTTGCCTGTTCTTGAGAAGAATCAAACAGCCTTAAGATTGCAGCAGATCCTTGATAGAATGAATCACATAGAGTGTTTAAAGTCGTAAAATAAAACTCTCTTCGAAATCACATTCCCAGCATAAATCAAAGAAATCCAAAACAATGTAAATTAGATGGAACAATAGTTGCAATCTTAAATCAAAGAACTTCATTACTCAATTCAAATTGAATAGGATTACTATTATAAGATATTCTCAAGTCAATCTCAAAAATTACCCATTTTAATTCTCGATTCAAACATAGTTAATGATAATATAGAGTAACAAATAGAAGAAAATAGGAGATAGTATTAGCAGCAACAAATTCTCTACAATTAAAACATTGAAAATTATAGACAGAAACTCAAGTAACTGGAAGATTAAGAAAGTATCATACATATTTCTAATTAGATTAAATGTAAACTAAATACCTAATGGAATTGAATGAATCTATTTTGAAGACTAAAAAAGAGAATATTCCTCCCTCCGATTCTAGAGATGTCAGTATGATAGGAACTATATAAATTGATATGTCTCAAGAGAGAACAACTCACAAATATTCAGTGCTCAGGTCCAAAAAATAATTATTTATGAATGAGCCTACTGACAGAAGTCTCTCTGCTTATAGTTTTTTGGGACATCGTTCGTCTGATCCATTGTGTTCTAAGACAAAGTTGGCTTTAAAATAACAAACTAGTTTGTCATCTTAAACATCTCAAAAAAACCCATTGTTATCACCTCAATCAAATAATCATCACATATCTATAGAGCAATCATTGAGTTTACATGTATGAAATTATTGGAGTATTAGTCCTCTGCAAGGAGATTCCCGGATTTTCAAATGGAGAAATCTCCTCCTCAATAAATGAAAGGAGATAGAATATCAATTTTTAAAGTATTGAAGAGAACATTTCGACAACAATCATCAAGTAATCAGAGTGGATGTTCAGCATTTTCAAGCAAATTTGTGAAATGTAATCAGAAGATGAAATGTTTGGAATTCTATAATTCTAATAGGATGATTCATGATTTAGGCTAAAAGGAATCAGCATTATGTCTACGATAAATAAAGGAGGTGAAACAATGTTAATAATCATTGATTCTAGTAATTTCGAAACATCAATCAATAGAATTGGTATTTAGTAAACATGAGCAACTGAATGAATTTATGAAAATGATTACTTAGTGATTTTAATAATAATTTATTTCCGGTTGTCAATGCAAGTTTTTGCCAGAAATGTTTTTAGAAGATTTGCATTCACTCCATTTTTCACTTTCTCATCCAAGAGAGATTTGTATGGTAATACTGTATCTAAGCAATTAGAATTGTTGGGAGTACCTAAGAATGCCTCATCGAATGATATCAAAAAAGCCTATTATGGATTAGCCAAGAAGTATCATCCAGATGCAAATCCATCCAAGGATGCCAAAGAGAAGTTTGCTGAAATAAATAAGTTAAAATTCTCTTCTACAAATCTAGTGCATATGAAACACTATCTGATGAAAATAAAAGAAGAGTCTATGACTAAGTAGGAATGACTGGAGATGAACAGGATTAGGCTGGAGCATAGGATCCTTTTGCTGCATACAGTAGTTTCTTTAGACAAGGAGCAAGAGGAGGCAGAGGTTAAGAATATGAATTTGATGAATCCATTTTTGGCGATTTTGCATCCTTTTTTAATATGGGAGGAGAAGCTGAAAGAACTATTAAAGGAGCTGACATTTATGTCCAAATGGAAATTTCGTTTATGGATAGTGTTCAAGGATCCCAATAGACAATTTAATTTGAGAAAATAGGAACATGTACCACCTGTAATGGTACTAAATGCAAACCTGGAACTGCACCAGGAAGATGCACTAATTGCGGAGGAAGAGGATCTATCAATTATAGACAAGGAGCCATGACTATACAAATGGCATGCACTAAATGTAGAGGAACAGGAATCTCCATCAAAAATCCTTGTATTTATTGTATATCATCATTTAGGCACTTCATGTAGAGGTATGGGTATTTAGAAACAGCCAACAAATGAAACTATCAACATACCAAAGGGAATAGCAGATGGTCAAAATTTAAGAATGACAGGCAAAGGAAACGTAGGAGAAAATGGAGGAAAAGCAGGAGATCTTATTGTTAAAATTTAAGTCAAACCTGATCCTTACTTTAAAAGGGATGGCTATGATTTAATTACCAATGCTTACATTTCTATTGCTTAAGCAGTGTTAGGAGATACTATAAACATTAAGACTTTGAGTGGGGATAAGTAGGTTTCTGTGAAGCCTGGATGTTAGGATGGAGAGAAAATGAGATTGAGTGGCTTAGTATATTCTATTGTAATTATTTAAGGGAATTAACAAATTGGCACCCAATCAAAATTAGAAAGGGGATTAGGTTATCAATTTCAAAATACAAATACCCACCAAAATAAATGATAAGCAAAAAGAGATATTCCAGGAATTAGCCAAAGTATTTAAGTTATTCAATATTCAATAGTTGGAGAAAGCCTAATCCTAAGATTAGACTGGTGATGGGGTTTTTGATAAGGTCAAGAATATTTTCCATAAGTGATGTTCTTTATTTGTTTATAATAACACTTATAACTCTAATTAAATAAATTAAAATGTCTGCTCAGATAAATAATCGATATATAGCGAAATTCGAAGAATTAGAACAAATTCAAGAGAAGCTAGCCTAAACTTCATAAAGAACTCGTAATATATCCTCAGACAGATAGTAAACAAATGGAATCAACGTCCCTGAAGTTAAGAGTAGCAGAAATAGTGAAAAATAATCTTAATCAGTCGAAAAATGTATATTCTTAAAGTTATCTCATTTAAGTCCTGAATCTCAGACAATAAAATCAAAATGTTGACAATTTGATAAATTCATGGAAACAATAAAAAACCCATTCTGTTTCTCTCAATCAAGGTACAATAGCAGGAAGCATCATACGTAATTAATTATCTAATATTAGAGGAATCTCCTGAACATGAAAGTCCTTAGACTAAGTCTGGCACCTATCCTCATTTAATCTTAGAAGAAGATGAATAATAGCAGTTTCTAGAATCGGTCTCTTCAGTCCAACCAACCATTTAAAGCAAAGCTATAGGCAAAGTCCCCAGTACTACCAAATCAACTCTTAAGGATTAAGGTATCTTACTATTTTATCATTAAAAGTGAATAACGAAAAGAAAAAATCAGTAGTATATTCTAAAGATGCCAACATTTTTGCTAATTCGCAACAATAAACAATATCTCAACAAAATCAAGCTCTTATTTAAAAGAAGAATACTACCAATGTTAGACCATAAACATCTAAGGTTCAACCTCAACCTACTCCTAATCAAATTGCATAAAAAAAGGCTGTCTAATCTAAATAAATTAACATGAAAATGTCTTAAGAAATCGTTGCAGATGGTAATGATATCTCATATTATTAGTCCCATAAACTCCATCCTAATAAAAAATGAAATAAAGTTCATTATTAGAAAAAACTAGATAAGTTAAAATGAATTAGACATCCACTAAAGCATCAACTAAATCTAATTAAAACAGTTAAGGTGAAGAAAAGATTTTGATTTCATAGATCTAGAAAGTCAAAGAAACCATTCTTAAATTATATGAGTAAAAATTTGAACATTAAATGTCCCATTCTTCAAGTAACATAGCAAAGTATTTTAATATTATCAACTATCTAGAAATTTTGATTTAATTGTAAATACCATGAAACTCGATTTTCGCTGTTTAGAAAATGATTGATATAAGTATAAAATTATTATCATTATATCATAATTTTAGTATATGTTGTTTATTAATTACAAAATGTTCATAATTGTATTATATCTTAAAATTGTCTTGTAAATTACAATAGTTCTTTCCATCTTCTCCTTTATTATTTTTATTATAATTCAACATTATATAATTCTAGTTGAAATAGCAGTTATTAATGATGTTTGACTTGATTATAGCTATAGTATGTATAATCTAGCCAACATCATAGATATTAAAAAATAAATGAAGAACTACAAAACCTATATCATAATGAACATGAAAGCTAAATCTCTTTTTTATCTTAAAATTTGAAATAATATTATAAAACTAAGGAATAACAGTATGAATGAATCAGTATTGTAAATAGTCTAATATCTAAAAATAGTAAATTTAAGAACATAAGTTATTTGTAATTTTAAGAAAATAAAAAGAGTTTATTTTTAGATTAAAGCTGCTTAATTTATTCTATATTTTGCGAAATTCTTAAAATAAATCATTTGTTAAAATAAACATCAAAAATTCATCAGCAACATGATGAATTCTAGTTTCCATTAGATTGATTAATGACTGGTTTTACTTCTGTCATGGTGCCCAATTTAATTCCATTTTATGGATCGTTTAAATCTATCTCCTTATTTTAAATTTTCGTATATATTCTTTGTACCAAGGTTTCAAAAGCGAGTATTACATTTTCACCTGTTCTTGCTGAAGTCTCTAAATATAGACAGCCTGTTTGTTGGGCTAGTTATTGTCCCTCATCTTGGGAAACTTCTCTTCCCCACTAGTCGATCTTATTTCCAACTATCATAATCTCAGCTGATGAATCTTACTTCACCTCATTTAGCCAATTAATGAGATGGTGGAATGTCTTTTTCTTAGTCACATCGTAAACTAATAAACATGCAATAGATCTAAATGTTAATTTTCATTTCTTTACCCTCGATAATACGCTCTTGTAATGGACCTAAATGACTCTTAACCTGCCTAAATAATATTATGAAGTTTACAGTATCCCAAATATTAATTCTGATTACATTGTCTTTGTAATTGATGTCCTTCTATCCGAATCCTATTCCAATGGTTGAATCGATATTATTTTTAAACTAACCTTCAATAAATTAATGGAGTAAACAACTTTTCCCAACCCCAGCATTACCCACTATGATAAATTTAAAACTATAATGGTAATCACACTGTTATTTATTCATAATAATACAAATAAAATTTGTTAATAAAATAAATAAAATGAATCCAAATACACCATTCAACGAACGATTTGCTAAAATCTCAGAAAAACTCAGTTCAATCCAACTACATCACGATAGTTCTAAGGCTCATCGTATTGATGTCATTTGTGGCCGTGTCTCTGGTGTAGAAGAAAGAATCCAAGATACAATCACATCATATAACAGAAAACTTGTATAAATTTAATCTCATTTTAGCATTCTCTAAAAGATGAAATAGTGAGATTGTAAAAATAGATTGAGGAAGAAAACAATGCGTTTGAAACTCAGTTTGAATAAAGAGTGAGAGAGGTTGCTGCTTTTGAGAGTCGTATAACGACTAAATTGGAATAAGAAATTTCAATTAGGAAGGATGGTAACCTTAAATTATAAGGCTATTTGGATGAAAAAGTAATACTCTATAACATTTTTAGGTTGTCTATTTAAAATCAGATATTTAGACAGAGAGTAAAATTAGATAGGAATAAATTGAAAATATCACTACTTCTCTAGAGAATGATTTACCAAAGCTCTATGATTTAGTGAAGACAGAAGGACAAGATAGAGAAGATAGTGATAATGGTACATTAAGAAGAGCAGGAGATGAAATTAAGAGATTAAATGAAGGATTGGGTAATCAAAAGAAATTAAGGTATTGATATTAAATAGAAATAATTAGAGAGGAGAGTGAATCAGCAATATTTGAGATGCTAAAAGATCTGGTTTCAAGAGTAAAGAGCGAAATAGAGGAAGAAAAGAAATTAAGAGAGGAGAGCTAAGAGAATTTACTAGGTTTGTTGGAAGATGCATGCAATAAGATTTACAGAGCAGCAAAAGATTGATATTTATATACATTGTCTATTAATTATTAGTAAATTTAAACTTTAGAGGAATAAGTAATTGATTATCATTAAATAATAAAAATAATGAAGGATCAAAATAAAGATTTCCACCAGGTTTTAGAGGCTTTCTTTTCTTCACTTTTTTTTTCAAAATTAAAATTGGTATCTTAAGAGAAATGAACTCTCTTCTTTTTGAATACTTTGGATTAAACCATCCTTTTATTAGGCAAACTTTTGGATGTATGTGAAAATTTAAGTTAAGTATTTTATTTAAGAATTCCTTTATGTCTGCTATAATTACTGCCGTCTTCTAGATAAAAATTACTTATTAATTTTTCATATGCCTGCATCTGATGTGGATTTTTTGAAGAGTATTTCAAGGGGTCTGTTTTATTAATTGAGGATTGTATGTTGGATTACTTTTCAGAGGACAATTATAATGAGCTAGATTAAAAAGATGCCAATTAAGAATCTTTGGATTCTTTTGAAGCATTCTTTTTTGGTGATAACGATTATTTTTAATTAAACTATTATGAATATTCTTATTATTAATTAGTTTAAGATTTCGATATTAATTCTGATTTCTATTTTTCTTGTTCCAATTGTTTCTTAACAATTTCCTTAATGATTAATCTTTGCCTCTCTTCTTGTTCTTGTCGGTTTCTAATTGGTTTTAAATGATAAATACATTTCTTGAATTCTGGCTTTGACTTCTATTTCTAAATCCTCCATGAACCTATTTTATCTGTAGGAAACCGCTGACTCATTAATTTATTTCGTTATTACAAAAATTGGAAGCAACTCCACTTCAATATTACTAGCAATTAATTCATTTTTTGGGTCTGATTAAGTCTATAAAATGTTATCTGTGTATTCTAATTCTCGTCTAAAGTTAGTGGCTGGTAAGGTTGCTGATTCTCCTTAATGAGAACTTGAAGCTGATCTATTTCGATCTTTATTTCGTAAGATATCTGGTTATTATTCAAAGTTTAATTCGAGAGTGCTTCCTTCGTACCTGAAACCACCCCCACATTTAACTTCGCATTTGGTTGGACATCCTCCCATGATTATAAATAATTTATATTAATTGAAACATGATGATTAATAATTTAATTATTATTATCAATACAACCCTTTAAGTATTGTTGATATGCTCTTGTCTCTGATTTCTAAAACTGCCAAATAACTAGCCCCTGTAGCTGTGATGAACCCTCCTAAGAATGTTATCAAAAATATCTCTGTTGGGAATATGAATTTGAAGGAAAATTCAGTGAACATGAGAATTTACAAAGTTAATGTGATTGCAACAACCAAACCAACAATTGTTCCAATCAGTCCTGATGCTGTAATCAAGGACACTGCTTCATATATGTACACCCTTGTGATTTAAGCCTAAATTGATTATCTCAATATTACCTTATTTAAGCCCACAGCTCTTAACACGCCAAACTCCCAAGAGTTATCCTTAACATTGCTGACAAAGGAAACCAAGATGAGGAAGAACGACAGAGTCATGGCTACGATGGCAACCAACACATAAAAGATGGTAATGAAATAGAAGGTATCTTCAGCCTCTTTCTTTAGTGTAATGACATCAAACAGAAGAGTCTGTTCGTTCAAGAAGTAGTTTCTGAGTGCATTTGAAAAATCTACCCTCTCTTATTCAGTAGTTGATCTCCCAAATTTAATTTGTAAATTATCCTTAGGTAATCCATAAGATAAATTTTTTGGAAGAGACTAAAAATACAAATTGGCTCTTTCATTCTCTAGATTGCCTTCTCGAATATCACCTCTAATAAATAATTAAATAATTGCTTACTGGAAATAATCGTTAATAATGTATAAAGCATCCTCCATACTAATCAATCCATTTCCAACCATTGATCGATAACTAGAAAACAAATACCCTGGAACCTTGGTAGCCATGTGTCTAACATTAGTTCTGTACAGTCTTCTGTCTACATATAAGATTGATGGAGTGTCAACATTTATACCCGCTTCATAGATGTAACCTTAAGGAACCACAATGTTGATTTCCCTATCTATTGTCGTACTAGAATACTTGAGAATATAAATACTATAAGTTGGGTTTTTCGTAACTCAAATCTTTGTACCATTGTTATCTGATCTACTATGATCCTACCAGAGTGAATGGATCATAAAAGGCATCTCTATCTTGAACATCTGATCTATCATATATACCAGAGACACCATCCTTCACTCCATCTGTCAATGTTGCATACTTTACTTTTGCATCGTAATCATTTGGAATATAAAAGGCATCTAAACAAGCACTTAAATAATTTTGTTCTACTGCTCCCAAGAAGACCTTCTTGAATGGGAACTTTGCCAAAGTGGAAATAAAGTGACTCTATGGCATTTCAGGTATTTGAGATAACATTAAAGAAGTAAACGAGTAATCTTAAATAAGAGACGGGTCTTCTGTGATTGTCTTATTTAAAAACACTCTTATATTATATTCATCCAATCCTCTTTTATCTGATTGCAGAGCCTACACACTTATGTCAGCCCCTAAAAACGATTACAATACATCTGTGATAACACTCGTTTGCAATGCAAATCCTGCACCTGCAAATATTAAGAATGCCAATGCTATTGTGTACATCAATGTGGTTTTCCAATTTCTACTATAATGAGCTTCCAAATTCTTGAAGATTATTTTCTCTAGATTTTTGTCCTTCTTGAAAATGCATAATATCAATTTCAAAATACCTTTCTCAAGTGGTTCTTCCAATAAATTAGCTAATAATGTAAATCCAATTATCATTACAATTAAAATGATATTTATTACTGCAAGTGCTAATTAAATATTACTGAATATGAATGCCATCGGAATTAAATAATAGCTTACAAATCCCATAATAACTAGGAGAGCAGCTGAAAAAAATTAATCAATTGATATTCCCATTTTCTCCAATTTAATCACATTGACTAAGATATCGTTTATTGCTCTATGATATAAATCTAAAGAGTCTCGCAGTGATTTTGACAGAGCTCTTAAAATAGGCAGGATGTTACTTGCTAATGGAATGAACAGGCCTAAACCAAATGATAGACCTATAGCTGATGTTGCAATATCATATGAGGACATCAACACGGCTGAATCAAATATGAACATGGAAATCAAGGAATTCAGAATATAACATGTGATCAATCCCAAAGCTAAGCCTGGTATGGCAAAGGTGAATGCTTACAATAATAGTAGAATTATGAGCCACCATTTCTAGAATCCCAATGCTCTTAACATTCCAAACTCATAAGTCTTCTCTTCAACATCTCCAATCATCAATGAATAAATCAATAGAATTGATAACATCAATAACAGAAATGTTGCTGAAACTACTAAATTGTCTACAAAATTTCCCAAAAGCAAGTATTATTTAATTGCAGTTGCCAATGGAACAGAGATCTTAACAGGATAATCATACCCAACTTTATCAAAAAAGGAGTTTGAGACATCCAAAACAAAATTATCGATGTTATCTTAATTAGTGTATTTGGAAACTCTGTCTCTGACTACCAAATTACTAGTTAATGAAAACTCTTCCAATTTAATTGCATCAGTAAAATTTCTGATGTAGCCAAAAAGATCTTCAGCAGGAATATTATAAGCTACAATTTCTTCTATGCTATTGGTTGGACTGTTTTATTTATAATCTTCAATTGTATTATTCAATGTGATTATGAATGCTTCCCTTAAAATGATAGTTGCATTTCTAAAGTCCATCACTACGATGTTACCCAAACCATCTGCCCACTTCCCTTTAGGTGATTTGATACTCTCCTTAACCCTCAGTTAAATGTCAAAGTCTAATGAATCTGCAATTATATCAGCCACTACCTCCTCAACCATATAAATAGAAACAACATCATTGTCACCTAATGATTGAATAAAGGTGGCTAAAAGTCTTGAAAAATATCCTAATTCTTGGTTAAATAAGACATCGAAGGCTGTATTTGCAATATCCTTTTAATCACCCGAAATACCAGATTAGTTAATTTAATTCTGAAAGCTTTCCTTTAATGACTACTTCTAATCTGGATTGCTATCTAAAATATCTGTGAAAATCATGAATTCCGAAGACAACTCCTTTAATTAATACCCAGTGTATTCTTGCCTTGTGAAATTTTCTCCGTAGATCAACTCCAAAGGACGATTCAAGTAGGTGTCAAAAGCAGCCATTATGAAAGTAGTTGGGTCATTGTTATTGTTCTCAGTAATAACGTAAGTTGATAGAAATTGAATGACATCAATATTCATATTTAAAATGTCTCCAATAGTGGCATTCAAACCTCTTAATCCACTCGATGTAACAAGCACTTCATTATTATTGATTATGTTGGTGTCCAATCTCCTTCCCAATCCTATGCTGATTTCCTTCTCACTATCAATTAATAAAAAGAATGATCGAATTTAATCACTTATTTTAGTTATATTTTCTTTTGGGTTTTGCAAATTTCCAATCATTAACCATCTTGGAGTTGAATCAAATATTTCACCAATTTCCTTCGTGATTTTAACTATTTCAGTCTGATTCACTAAACTGAATCCGTTTACCAAGTTCTAGGATGCTTAGAAGTTTGAATTCTATGGTCCAATGTCAGTATTCGATCTTGTCTTATTCTCCGTAGGTACTGGGGTGAACACTAAATCAGTATCACCAGCCGTAGTTTCAGCTAATTGAATGAAAATAAGAGGACTGAGTGAGAAGGCACTCTGTATCAATGCTAAAAACATAACTACTAAGTAGATTGTAAATAACCCAATCTTGAATGATCGTGGTCTCTTTTTAATATCCGAGTAAATATATTCTACAACGATCCTTATAGTAACTGTGATCTTTTGCCATAACCCAATGTACAAGTAAGCATTATTATTTTCTTCTTCATGAGTATCATCCATTATAAGTAATTTATTATAAAATAAAATTAATAAAACCTCATCATTTGATCCATTTATTCGCAGTTTATAAATAATTAATCGTTTTTAAATAAGTTATTCACAAAGATACTCAATAAGAATATTCTAAAATCCTTAAATTTTGAGAGAATTCTTATTTAAACTCAATACGATACAATGCATTCTCTTTGAAATGGCATCTCTATTTAATTTGGGCCATAACAACAAAGTTTAATAGGAAAATCATAAATACAATAAACATGAATATTTCATAATAGTTACAATTCTTCCATTAATTGATTGATTTGGCCATCCCTTAGATTCTTAGCCATTAATTCGATGTATTAGTTCATAAAGATATCCTAAAGTATATTAAAGAATTTACTTGAGTTTTAACATCAGGTATAATATTTCTGATGAATTTAAGACAACTTTAAATCTTAGGTGGTAATTAGACTTTTGCAAATTCCAATCCTTATGCTGCACACATCAATTCAATAGCAATTATGTATTCTGCATTTTAAACAATTTGTAAAGCCTTTCTAGCACTATACGCTCCCATTGACACATGATCTTCTATGTTTGCAGATGTTGGAACTGTGTCAATGCAACTTGGATGACTGAGTACTTTATTCTCAGAAACCAAAGCAGCACTGGTATATTGTGGAATCATATATCCATTCAATAATCCTCCCTTTGATGTCAAAAACATAGGCAATCCACAATCTCCAACTTCTGAATTTACCAATCTTTCTTGTCTTCTCTAATTGATTAATATAGATGCAATAATATTACCTCACTAAATATGCACAGTCTTTGTAAGGCTATACACATATTATCAGCCAACATTCCCATATATTCTCCATGAAAATTACCACCTGATCTTGCTGATTGACGTTCATTATCAATTATTGGATTATCACTTGTTGAATTAATCTCTCTTTCCACAATCCTTAGATTCTCTTCAATAGACTATCTAATAATTTAATGTGTAGTAAATGCCGTCGATATACTTTTAGGATTGGTTTTAATTTAATCTGCCCATCCTTCTCCAATTAAACTCAATACTATATTTTTTGATTTGTTATCATTCTTAGAGTAGTTTTTTAAGAAATGATAATTGGCTAAATTATATAATAGAGATTACTCTATAAAGCATAACTTGTTAGTCCCAAAGCTAGATCTGCAGCATTCATAACGTACTATGATCTCATTAAGGTTTCTAAATTGATGGCTGCCATCATTTGAGTTCCGTTGTTCATTGCCAATCCTTCCTTCTCCATGAATTCTAGATGTTCAAAATCATGCATTTGTAAAGCCTACTCAGCAGCTATATATTATCCATCATTCCAAATTTCACCAATTCCCATGAGTCCTAGAGCCAGATGAGATAAAGGTGCCAGATCTCCAGATGCCCCGACTGAACCTTGACATGGAACCTTAGGAATCAATTTCTTATTTATCGCTTATTGTAGTGATTCTATAAGAGACATTCTCACACCAGAAAATCCTCTGATGAGACAATTCAACCTCAAAATCATCATTACCAAAACAATATTTGGTTTTAATGGTTCACCAACACATGAAGCATGAGAGATAATCAAGTTCTTCTACAGATCCACCATTTCTTAATGGGGAATGTAAATCTGATTAGATGGTTTGATAAATACCTCTTTAAATTTACCAAAGCCTGTGCTGATTCCATAGATTGGAATTTTCTTTTGTACAATCAAATCTACTGTGTTTCTGGATTGAAGTATATGCTAATTCATCGCTAAAAAAAATAATTACGCTTTTGACATGTTCTTGAATTTCAACTACGACATCCAAATTCCCTTACAGAATGTCCTTCAAATCCTGAATTGATAGGTTGGCTCCATCCTAATGATAGTGATATTGAATACAAGCGTTAACACTTTTTTCATTAATTTATTTTATTTATAATAAATTAAATGATAAATGTTTCATCTACTTTTAGAAGTCCAAAGAAGAATAAGTAGGACATCAATGATTTATTAACAATCATTGATGTGTTTAAAAAAAACCAGAAAATATATTTATCTTAAAATCCTAAACTGATTTCAAACATTCAATATGATGAACCCTCATAACTTGCTTCAATTAATGAAACCTTACCCAACAAAAGTAAAAACAAGAAGAGTCGTTCCACGGAATAGATCAATTTGAAATTGATATTAGAAACATGGTAAGCTAAATAAATATATATCAAAGATAATATTGTTTCATAAAATATTTCAAGAAACATTATCAATGATCCTGACAACTTGTAATCTTTCAAATATTATTACGGCAAAAAGCAACAATTAGCAATCACTAAATCATAATAAAATTAATAATTTCATTCCTAAAGGACCAACAGCATTTCTAAAAACAATCAAACTCAAATTAAACTGCCTCCACTAAAATCCATAAGCAAGTTACTGGCCACTGAATCTGACAATAAACCTAAGAGTACTTTGGGCTCCATCACCAAGAAGATGTTTTCTTCAGACAAAGCCTTATCCCATGATGTGTATATGCCTACTGCCATAAGTATATTCTTTGTATTTATTGAGATAGGGGTTCCTCCAATAAAGTTGCCTAAAATAGTTTTGAATAAAACTTAAGATTGATTATAGAAAAAAGAATTTAAAATATAATAATAATTTTTATGAGTTTTCTATTGCCTCTAGTATCCGTAGTGGGATTTCTTGCCTCCATAGTTGCATTTGCCATAAGCGTGGAGTACGATGATTGTCATATGAGTTTAGTTTGAAAGTTCAATTGGGATCAATGTCTTTAGACATTAGTAGAACAGCATTTTTCAGAACCAGAGAAATCTATGCCTCCTAGATTCCATATTTGGAAGTAAATATCTGGCCTAGAATTCTTAGTCAGTTGCCTTTTGCATATTTCTGTTCGTAGCTGTGGTCAGAACGGTGGAGTATTTCAAGATGTAATTTGCAACCCCGAATAATTAGTGACTTTTAGATGGTAGCCAGTATGAATGATGGTGAACCTGAAACTTATTATCTAACCAGAGCCAAATTGAAACAATCACTAGAATGGAGCAATATTGCAGTGACCTAAGCCTTCATCATCCTAACCCTAGTATGAACATCTATCAATTAGGCATTAGCTTTATCAATAGGAATAGTATTCAGCTCCAATGGTCACTTTTATGCATAAGAATTGATAAAGAAATTCATTAATCTAAACAAGTTATCAGATTCAGACAAGTAAGTGAGTATATTCATTATTGTAGAGGAACTCTATCAGAACTTGATACTCAGTCAATCAAATTCATCGTCATCATTGCACTTAATGCATTAGCCTTGGCCTGCGTATTCTTTCAATTTTTGATCATTATAATAAAAAAGTTGAGATTATGATATTGACCTTCATTATTAAACCCAATTATATTCTTCTGTAGAATTGGATCGAGAATAGCGCTATTTTCAATTTAATTGTCATTTGAAATACAATGATTTCTTCAAAAACATATTATAGTATGATAATTATGAAGTAATAAATATTATAACTAAAATCGAAATAATGTCAACAAGTGGTGAGTATCCGCCTGTTAGATAATGTTTCAATTAATACTGCCCTAGTTCCTTTGATTTAAAAGCGGCCAAGTTTTCAGATTCAACAATCCTATTATGCTGTACTTGCTATGAACTTTACAAGAGAAGGAAGTGCTGCTACTTTTGTGCTCAAGTCTATAAGGATGACGAACAGAACTTCCTTGATGGCAAAAAGTGGGTTCAATGTGATAACCAGCGTTGTGGGAAATGGGTATAATAATTATCATGATTTTGTTAGACACACATTGATTGCGAAGTATCAGACATCGAATCGCAATTGTAGCATAGAAGTTTCAGATACAAATGTCCGTGGTGTAGGATAGAGATAGATAAAAAGAAAAAGTAATCACAAATTACAAAATCATCAATAAATTAAGATTAAGCAGATTAGTCTGATTAAGATCCAGAATATATACATTCTTTAATTAAAAAAATCTCTTTAGAAGAAGCCAGCATTTAATAAATCTATGAGCCTTGGTTGAAAAAAAATACATTCTTAGAAGAATTGCTAAAAAAAAATGGTTTCTGATTGTATAATAATTAGGAGAGTTTACTTAGTGCATAAATTAAGAGGAACTGCAAAGCGACTTGATTAAAATGAGGAATTTACTAAAAAAATGATATTAATTTATTATAGATTCTAATATATATTTAGTATTCTCTCATCTTCTACATAGAAAGCTTCATATTTGAAATTACTAATACAATTATATCATTTTAAATTGCTATTAACCAAAAAACAAAATTTTTATTATTAAAATAATACCATTCTAATTTCACAATACATAAAAAACTTTATAATTTAATAAATCATACTTCACCATTTTTTAAAGAAGCCTGCCATCTTACTCTTTATTCCATTATCTTCTTGAGGAAGTTGTTACCCTGTGAGCTATTTCTTAATTACAAATCCACCATTTTTGTTTCTTTAACCATCATCCTATGAATTCCCTTATCTTCCCTCAACTTCTGTTATTTATTTTGTCAGATATGATTTAAGTTCAGCCAAACTAATTATCAATTCTTAATGATTTTAACTAATTAATAAGAACATCATAATACCTTTCATTGCTTTTCTTAATCACATTAAAGGCTTCCTCTATAGTTGTACAGATGTCCTCTACCGCTTTTATTGATAATTTAATTGGCTTTTATTTATCTTCACTTTCCTAGACTACCTCTTTCTGCTAAGCATTCTCTTCAACACTAAACTATGATTTTTAAGCCTTTGTATTTGATGCCATAATTTTGTCATCAAAGAACACTGTTTGTTACTCTTATTGCTTCACTGGTTATTTTTCATTAATTTATGATTAGGGTGATTAAGATTGTTCTTCCTCATTTTAAGTTACTTACTATTAAACTGGTTGTGACTTTTATTAAGGTTGTTAAGGTTATTCACGACTTTTGACTTTGTCTTATTATGCCTTAGGATCTGTATCTACTTTATCACCAACAAAAAATGCTGGGCTTATTAGTTTTTCTATTTTTTCTGTTCCTTCAAGGTTGTCATCTAAATTATTAGAAGACTTTTAAGAAATCAATATATTTCTTATTTAAGTTGCTGTATCTAATAAGTTAGCTAGATTGGATATTTTAGGGTATTTCAAGAACCTTTGATAACATTGACTTGATTCTTCATTTTCCATTACTACAATTGTTAGATTATATAAAGTTACATTGATTTTTTAAGTAAATTATCATGGCAATAGCTATACAATCTACAAAGAATAATGTATCACATTATTGTAAAAAGAAATCCTAAAAGATTGCATCCCAAGCATGAAATGATTCTATTAATGACAATTCTCTTGTAAACATACATCTAAGGATTATACTAAATGCTGTACCTTATCCATTTTAACAGGAAGATCTGGAATTCAACTTGAAGAAGTTTTAGATGTCGAAATAATTGCAAATCCACTTACTTCAATAGAATGTCTTGTAATTTTGCAACTCTTGTTAAAATTGCACTTGGTTTCTTGCTTTAAAGCTTGATTTTTTGCTATTCAGTGTAATTTGGTCTAAACATCTCCATATGTTAAGCATCATTCATTAGAGCAGTGAACAATACATAAATATCAGGTTCTGCATATTCCCAAGAGTTGAATTACAAGAGTATGTTAATTTCTTCTTCAGTTGCCTAATGATTATGTTGAGTGTTACTTCTTCATATTTTTCAACCTCTTCCTTATATAATGCTTCCTTAGTATAAATATATATTAATGAAGCAGCAATTTCATTCATTCCCTGTCTATATGATATCTCACTATTCTCTTTACACCAAATAAATAATACTGTTGTAAGTATTTATTAAATTCGCTTTGAAGAAAAGAATTCAAATTCTTGATAAGTTCTTTCAACATCTTTTCGGATTTCATTTCTTAATTCTACATTATCAATTGCATTAGAGGATTGTTATTTTTATTTGCCACCGCCTAAGGGACCTCCTAGAGGACCTCCTAATGGTCCTTTTTTAGTTGAATCTTCAGTTTTGTTTTGGGCTTAGGTATTCGAAGTTTTCAGATGTTTATTTTCTAATTCTTTATAATTTTCTCTAAGTTTCGTTAGCTTTTCTATTTTTTGGGTAAATGAATCCTCTTTCGAATATATTCTAATTTTCAACGATTGATTACCTTAAAAATAATCTCCAGATATTGAATCTTTGCCCTGAGTTTTCTAATTGACAATCCTTAATTAATTAATCGACATCTGCAATATCATTGTTTATCATATATTTACTAAAATTCCCAGCATTGAAATTGTGACCTCTTAATAATAAGCAAATGACTATACATCAAGTTTTTTAAATCTTAAATACTCTCCATCAATTAATGATTTAATATCTAAATTTATTTCAATAAAACATTAACATAATTCAAGCTAGTTATTAAAATGATGCCATCGAATAACACACTCATGAGATGAGATCCAGTATATTGAAAATAAATATTTAAATATTTATGAAATCCCAAGATGAGGAACTATTTCTAAATTTTAAGATTAGACTCAGATATTATGCTAAAAGCAAAACTATAAATAGAATAAGGATAAAAAAGAAAATGGGTTTCACACCAAATAAAGTCTGTAATTAATTTAATTGTACATAATAAAATCCAAAATAAACTATTTGTATACCTTCTATAATCACAGTCTCATTATAAAATCAATTATAATATCAAAAACCGTTGAAAACTTAAAGAGAACCACAAGTTTCCATAGCTTGTTTTACAAAGAGTGTTCCAAAACTCAATAACAAAGTTTGAAACTCTTGAGAACCAAATAGAGATTAAAAATAAGTAGTTTAAATAAATCAAAAAATGAAATTTCTTTCTTTTCCCAATGGTCCTATAGATGAAATATTACATCATTTTTAATAAATAACAAATAAAAAATAATCATAGAATAGGTATTTCTTTTAATTGATGCACATGAACCTGCTCTTAATTTTGATCATAACACAATCTACAAATATGAAAATCTTCACACTGCTAACATATATAAAGTATTGTTTTTTCATCTTATGGCTCTATTATATCAGAACAATAGTCACAATAGATATTTTTGCTATCAAATATTTCTTCATCTTCCTCATCTTTGATATCCAAGACATCCTCCTCTTCATTTGGCATTTGCACATCAATAAATTGATTTTTTATGCTCTATTTCATATCCATATTCAAAAATGATGAAGGGTCTTAAGATGGAATATTATTAAAGTCTTATTGAATCTTAAACTTTGTAGTCTCTTCGTTATATTGATTATAAAATTGTAACTAATCTAGATTTTGATTACTTATATTCTTGGAAGAACCATTTATTTCCTTAATTGATTATAAATATATCTACTAAGAATGTCTCTCCCTTTGCGCCTCTTGACTCCTTGGTAAATCATTTATCTATTGACCAAATGTAAATTATGTAACTCCTTAATACTGTCTGGTACAAGAATACTTTTAAGAAGGGCTTATCATCTTAGAGTTAATGTGAGATTGTGATTATAACTATGTAATTTAAGTATTCTGAATCGACTAGGGTATTTCTTGAACATATAGACGAAATGGCTGACTTTGAGTAGTTTCATTTTGAGTCCATGATTGATAAAAATAAACTAAATCCTATTTTTTTGATATTGTAATTAAATCCTCTTCTTAATCCTTCCATTTTAGTATAAAAGGTCTGATTGTCAATGTTTTCACATATTCGTTCATTTCTCTTAAATCTATATTTCCTCGGTATATATAGGCGTATTCTCCCAAGAATATTTTTACTTTCATAAATACTATTAGTAATATATTTGTATGCTTTATCTTATTATGAAAATAATAATTGATTTTGAATATCCAATAATATTGGCAATTCCTATTTAAATATTATATTTAAAATACCTAATACCAATATCATCAGAATAAAACTCTTTGGCTCGAAAGGAATTCAGAGTGATATTAAATAGAAGAATTTAGATGGATTCAGATAGATCAGACTAAGTAAAACGATAAGTGAGTTAATTTTATAAGATAATATGTTAATAATTATCAAATTGTCATTTCGGAGGATGCTATTATGCCTATTTTTACATTTCATGTGTTGCTGAATCAAACTAAGTTCTCTATAAATAATTTATTAAAAAGAGATACTTCTTAGGTTTTCTTCACCAAAGCTCCCTTCTTTTTAGGCCCATCTTTATATTTCTCAGCCATCAATCTAGCCTATTTTTCCATTTCATCTTCATTGTTCTATTTTATTACTCAACTTTATACCATTATTTTTTGCTAAAAATTAATAAAAAAAATAAATAATATAAATTATCAATCCCTAAAAGCTATCTTTTGTAAATTATCAATTTTAAATTAATAAAAAATATATATATAATCAATTCTAATGATCAAATACTCTCTTTGGAATATCATAATTATAATCCATGATTATTTGTTAATTGTCATTGCCAATAAGAGGATTTAGCTTTTACGTTGAAAATATTCTTGGGGATACTGGTGATAATTTATTTATTTATTAAATATTTGATTGGTTTTATTAGATTCTTGATTATTGTTATTATGAATCAATTGCTGATTATTAATTGTTATTAGCTATTTAGTTTCTGATTTCGGCATTCTAATTATTTACATTTTATTATTAACTTTCATGATGAACTTTATTTTGTACTCCTGAAACTTTCTGAATTTGACTTTATTATAATTTGATGATATCGATATTTTTGGATATTTTATTATCTGTTTAATACCAAGGTGCCTAATTATAGAATGAATGAAGATCCTCCTTCATTTTATTATCTCTTTCAATTTTAACAAAGTTGGAGTATAATCCTTTAGTATTTGCCCCCATAGCATATTAGAGTTGTTTCGACATATCATTTTACCTCATTTTCTCAACGTTCTCCACTAATGCCTATTATTAGATCAATTCAATTTGGTTCTTATTTTCCCTTGGAGTATTATTTCTGCTGCCTATTCTTTAATTATTCACTGATAATTCAGGGTTCTATATTCTTAATATTTAAGATTTTAATGATCTGGAGTCAATCAAATTATTCTAACATAAAGAATGTTGTAGTTCATCCCATTCTTTTTTTGTTCCATATACAATCTAAATATTAAAACAATTGATACATTATCTTGATATATAGCCTCATCCTAATGATAATTGTTAGTGGATATTTTACTTTATTTTTTTAGAGTCTCATTAACATATGGACTACCACTATTGTATGTAGATAGTAAAGGAGTAGATCTGTAATTTTGAGAGTTATTTCTAATTTTCTCTGGAATGCGAGAAATAGATAATTATGATGAATTTTATCCATTAACTTCTGCTCCTAAAATTCGTGAATATTAATGTTATAGTTGAAGTTATTCCTCCTCATGTTTTGGTATCTTGAAATAAGGACATTGAACTGTTGCAATTAGTCTATACCCTTCAAAATTCAAGGTTTCAGAAGCTGAAGCGTTTTTAGCTAAAATATTAGCTCTTCTGATTAAAGATTTAAAGTGAAATGGCTTGAACGGTATTTGTGCTTTATTCATCAATTATTCAATATAGCGATATTCAATCTCACCATTTCCTTGAGAATCAAATATATTGAACATAGTAACATGATTGTATGAACTATCAGTATTTAATACGAGTCTAATTTATTCAGATTTTTCAATCAATGCTATCTCATTTTAGAGTAGATTTATAAACAATTTCAGAATGCTGCTGTCTACTTGTTATCTTTAATTGGTTTCATAGATCAATTTCCTTTTTTATGCCTTTTGACTTGCTTAAGGAATAGACTTTGAAAGTAACATCTTTTGAAATGTTGCATAATTAAACCCATCTCCAGAATTCACCTTTTCAATGTTTTCTTTTTATTGCAATGGCACTTTAGAAGTACCTTAAATTTAGATTATTGGAATTTAAGATAAGGGAATAACATCCTAAGGCAATGGGTATTCATTATTAAATGTGTCCAGGACATTATCCTTTTAAAAAGCAAATTAGTTTATGTGAAATACTCTCTCTATTGTCCTCAGACTCTCAGCACTCGGAGGTACTGAAGTGTTATCTTGCATAAATGCTATGATATTTTCAAATTTGATGATCCCATCCTTTGCGCTATTTATTACATTTATTACTAAAGGTGCTTATATTTAGAGATCCTAATTATTAATTCATATATACAGTAAAATTAAAAAATTATGGTTTTTCTGGTATTGGTTCTGGCTTTATTGGTTACAAGTATAATTTTAAATATTGAAATAAGGCTTCAGGGTAAAAATGAGAATTTTCTGATAACTCAAGTCCTTTCTTTATTATCATGTATTACTAATGTTTTCTATGTCCATTTCCAACTATCCTATTACAGAGAATAGTTGCAAGACTTTTATAATGTTTTTATCTAGATTTGTGATTTGGCTTTCAGCAAATTATATTTATGATTAGTGATGCTTAGCATAAGGAATTTAAATCATGAATAAATTTATTTGTTATTATTAAATTTAAAGATAAAATTTATTTATTTTCTTATAATTGTAGAACTTGAACTTTAAGTTAAAATTTAAGTATTTCTTAATTGGTAATTATGGAATCAACAATTCCTGTGAAATAGTAGATAATGAAAGAGATTGTACTTAATATAATTAAATATATAAATTTAAAAATTTTCAATTATTGTTGATGGCTGCATCAATAAAGTAATTCCATTCTATTGCATTATATCTTTATAATTCAATAGACATTTATCGAATTTTTTACATAATATTATCTAATTTAAAATTTTACAGTGCAATTTGTTCCTTCTCATTTAAAGGTATTCCTAATAACTATTTTTCTAGAATGTTATAATATTCATATTATTTGGCATGCAAATTTCTCCATTCTAAAAATTGATTCTTTAATGATGCATAGTATTGATATAATTTCGAAGATTCCTCCTTTAGGGTTGGTAAGAAATAAGTGCAAATATTCCTATCCTCATTTTCTAAGTATTTCAAAGCAATCAAACAAGGAATAGTTACAAAGATATCAGAGTCTCTGCATTCTAATTACTCTTAAAATTATTAATATTTCTCTGCAGTAGTTTCAATTATATGTGAAAAGTACATCAATTATTAACACTTTGTCGGGTCTAATAAATAATATAGTCCTTTTTCCCACTAGGATTCATATTCAACTAATAAATCCACAAGTTCTTAATTGTTTTTCAATTAGGGGTCTACCATTTCTATATTTCCTTCGTATTTTCTCATTTATTCTCTAAACTTCTAGAAACTAATTTCAAGTTTAAAAATACTTTGCCTTGATACTATCAGCTAGATTACGAACAGCACTAGATTGCTCTTTAGTCACTCTTCTTGTGATTCCTTCTGCTTCCAAAAGTATGTTAATGCCTAAGTCGTCTCTTCCTTTTCCTTCTACATTGGCAACTGAATTGATTTAAGCAATAACTTTACAGAACTTGAAAATGTAAATTAAATCAATACTTGTTCTTTTTTTTAAATATAGTTTTCACTAGTTACTAGTATTTTACCTCTTAACTTTTCCCTAATCTCAATAGATGTCATCTCTTTATCAATCTCTATTGCTAAGAGAATAAACCTTCTGGCTTTTGCTTCGATGTCCATCAATTCTTTAACATAGAGCTACAAAATATATTTAAAACTTTACTTTTTCAAAATCTACCCAAATTTAATCGAAATCCTCTAGAATAATTACAATATCTTGTTTCAATTGTTTTGATGAGAAATCAGGACTTTCTTTGAGTGTTCTTGTGTATGAAAGTCTAATTATATGTTAAACTTTATAAAATAGTTCTATTAATTTCGATCCTTTAGAAAGCACATCGTGTGAAAATACAAATTTTTCGGAATTGACCCATAAGTATGGAAAACCTATTAAGTAATTAGGTAACAAAAACCTTCCTATGCACTATCCAAGATTTCTGGAAGATAACATAATCTATCCTCTTTATACAAGATCTTATAAGCCTTGGAAAAGGTATTTCTGTAATCTCTTGATAGAGTTTTGACTTGATAAATCTAGAAAGTATATAAAAGAAAACAAATACTATGCACATTTCCTCTAATATTTTTAAGTATTTTTTACAACTTCGCTAGCCTTCAGGGTTATCCAGATCGTATTTATGAAAATCTCTTTAAATTAATTTAATTTAGTAACGTTAAGCTCTATCCAAAATATTAAATTCGTCTTATCTATAATATGATTGGATAAAAAAACCTTTTGAATTCTTCAAGTTCTGTAATTGGACTCGGAGGAGCTGTTTATGGCCTATTTATCATTCCTTCAACCGAAGCATTATCGGAAGCTAAGATTGGATTTTTATTAAATTTACATTCATCGTCAGTGTCTTTATCGTAGTAAGGTTACATCAATTTTTATAAAATTATTTATAACCAAAACAAAATATTCAAGCGATGATCAATTTAATCAATAGAATCCAATTGATTGTGAACTAAAATAAAACTGAAATTAGCAAAACAAATATATATTTCACTTTCTCATCTATTGAGGATGACTTTCTTTAACAATAATTTGTGTAATTTGTTAACTTATTCATTATAATCCTACAGAACAAAGCCACCAAACATATAAGATGATAAATTTGCCTTTCTCCTTATTCTTATTTGATCATCAACACTGTAATTCTAACTAAACGAATTATCTGAATCTAATTTCTATCTGACCCTTCGATTGTGTTGGACCTTTTATTCTTTAATAATTTATTTCTTCGTCCAAGTCATGTCTCTATCGAAATCGCTTCTCTAAGTAGGATTAGTTTGTTGCAAGCACTGCTTTTGATATTTTTATAATTCAGGTAATGCTATTCCTAACCTTCCACTATTATCATTATAATATTGCTAATTTTGGTATTTCTAAGTTATCATTTTTGAATTATTCATGTTGGAAGAGTCGTACTCACTATAGGATTATTTGGTTCTATACATTTTAATGTTATTTCTAATTTTTATATTATAATATGTCTAATGAAAACTATTTGAAGGATTCGACTAAGCTAATAAGGAAAGTAAGATGTTTACCATTACTTATAGGGTTGTCCTAGAAAGAATATATAATTGTTAGAAAGAGTAAAGAATAACAATATTATAATGAATAAACTAGAGGAAATGGAAATCTTGAGAAGATAAGTTTATTCTTTAAACAAAATTTTAGAGAGCTATCTCAACAGAAATGCGTCTTTCTATAAAAAAACTGCTCTTATTGTAATTAGCAAGGCAAAGTTATTTTTGTAACAATGGTACGAGCTGATAAGATCACACTTTAAATATAAAAAGCCAAGTAATTTATGTAATTAATGTATCTGTAGACATTAAAATGATACAGTTGTACTTATATGAATTGCTCAAGTACACTCAGAATTTGAGCATTAAATTTTAGAGAGAAGAATCATACCATATAGCATATTATTATTGCAATGCATCGAAACAGGTCTTAGAATAACTCAATGGATTTAAATTTAAAGTAATATTTTATTTCATTTTTCTTAGATTTGGTAGCATTCATCAAGAGATGTTTGGACTGATTTAATAATGGGGAATATGTTATTATAGAATTAGAAGTAATTATATTCATTCAAAATAAAGCTATGAATTAGCCAGCATTGAATTTTAAGATAGTTTGGTGAGAATTCAAAAAAATATAAATTAAATAATAAATTATAAGATCGAAAAGAGTTTACCGAAAGAAGAAGTCAAAAAGTATGCTATAAGATAAGTAATAAAGTTAACAATGAATTTAGATGATTATGCTATTTCATATATTTTTTTTACTTTGCATATCTTATCTATATTCTGATAATTTGTCAAAGTATTAAGAACTATTAAAATTACTGTATTACTTAAACAAGCATAATTAATATAATGGAGAACAATCTAAACTATTGAAGGACTTTATCAAACAACATAACCTAAAATTATAGATCCACCTCCAAGAACAAGGGGAAATCTAGAAAATTATGTCACATATGTATGATGTTCCAGAAATCTAAGCCGAAGAAAAACCTAACTATATAGATGAACACTTCTATAAGAAATATCAAGTAAAGGAAATGAATGACCAAGCCTTTTTTAGAACCAAACATCAATTTACCATCATCAAATAGAGATGTTCTATTATACTAAAAGGAAAGGATAAAAGATAAAATAGTCCAACAACGATGTAGTAAACTCAACCACTGTCCTAATATTATGATACAACAATTCACCCTAATGTAAAACAAACTTAAAATTAATCTTTATCTCCTCATTCTAGTTTTAAATACTAATAATCGTTTTTAAAGAAGAGCATCAAAAAAGAAAGCTTTTCTTACATAAAATCAGATAGATAATCTATGAAGTATTTGGACACACAAATACAAGGTTCTTTAAAGAAAGAGTCATTTTATTCATATAATGAACTTAGCAAGGACATGGAGACGAATATTTCGATCAATAGCGATGAATAAAAGTAATTGAAAACTGAAAGATCAATGTTAAGATCGAAGAGTTCTAGAGAAAATAAACAAGAAATAAACTAATAGACAAAGATGGCCATATTTAATCTAATAGAAGCTAAATCTCTATATTACATGGAAGTCTAAAAGGCTAGTTCAAAATTAAAGAACATAAAATCATTCAAAGATCAGTAATAGAAAAAGATGATATCAGATAAATTAATTTCAGACATGAAATATATCTAAAAGTAACCATCTATGCTAACAAGTACAGATTAATTGGATGAAAAAGACGGCAAACAGATCTATAAAGATGTATTCAATGTAATTTAATACCTGATATTAATATAGGACCTTAAAACATTGGCAGACAATTACGTTAGTAAATTATAAATGTACGAAAAATCATAGGCACGCTAAAGAATATATACTTAATAGTAATAAGGAATGAATTGCTAATCAAATTTGAACACTACCATTTCAAAATGTAAGGAACTGTCTAAATCAATACAATAATAAAAAGAATTCTTTTGATTTATCTTAAATATTATACATTTTCTTTAGAGAATCATCATAATTTAAATTATTTATAAACAGATGGATTTTTACTAGAAATACTTGGGAGAGTTTTTTAGAAAATAGATGGAATGATAAATTATATATTTATTTTGTATGATAACTCATTTTATGTTTCAATTAAAGAGGATAAATGACAAACCTTTCTAATAGAGTGTGTATCTATTAAGTTTACCCATCTTGACTTTAAGGGAGAATATAAGATTCTTCCTTGTTTTGTTCAAATAAACAGGTAAAACAATTTCATCATCTCCTACAACTCCTTTTTGGGAAGTTTTGCACCATTTTAAGGTTATTGGTTTTAATGCGACTGAGATTTCATTGACAATTCTTACTTGTAAAGTCTTGGAGTCTAAATGTCCTCCTTCCATTGATACTCCTTCAATAACAAAGGAATCCTCATCAATTCCTTGATCTTCTGGTATCATTTATAGTTCTAATTCTTCCAATGACCATTTGTTGGCTTGGGCCACGTATTATCTGGTGGCTGTAAGATATGCTTCAGGAAATAGCAATCCACCAAACCAGACTTGGCCTTTTTAGAAGTCTTTAGTTTTTCCTAAGAGATCGAATTAATCAATTCTTCTCTTAAAGTCACCAACCCAATCATTCAAAGGCATAGTGATTACATTGTATTTATTCCATTATGCTGGGACAATATTGTTGAAAACATCCTTAGCCAATTATCTTAGTATGTTTGTGGCTAAGATTTTTCCTTAAGCCAATTAAATTAATTCCTCAATATTCTATCTTACAGCTTTTAATAATTTAGAGGCCACAGTAATTTCTCTATCTAAGAATCTAAATAAGGGGTCATTGATAGAATCGGCTGTTCTTTCCAAGGGAGAGATTTTATTGGGGAGTATGGCTTTGAATTTCTCAACCTTCTCTAGAAGATCCTATAGCCATTAAACTTGGTCAGACTTTTTGTTATCCTTCTTTTGAGTCTTCTCAGTTTGAACTTCAATTTAAGTGATTTCTTCTTCGCCTTCTTGTTAGAGATTTTAGACTTTGGTGATCAACTTTTGAGTTAATTGATCTCTTTGGACTCTTTCTACGTTGGAAGGTAAACCTGACCACTCTGGACTTTCAGTCTTTGGTAATTGTTCAATCCATTACATGAAATCTAGATAAGTTCTGCCTTCGGGAACTGTGATGGCTTCTTTGCCTTCTAAGGTGAAGAATAGAGGATGATTATGATTGAAACTTTGTTCAGTGAAGAATTGTTCAACCAAGGATTGAAGAATCTTTTGGTCATATTCATTATCTACTTTACCACCATATAAATTCTATGTCAATATAGTTCTAAAGGCATCCCATGGTAATTTAGATGGATCTATATTTTATCTTATACCTAAGGCATCTACATATTCATCAATGAGATCCAATGAGCATCTTTAATCTGCCTCATTAAATTCATAGGTTTTGCTCCATCCAATAGGAGTGAATCTCAATCTCTCCAGAATAACAGCATGTAACCAAGCTAACAGGAAATGTAATCTTGCTCTTTCCACTGGTTATCTGTCTGTTCTTTGTTGAGACAAGACAGTTTTGAATGTTCTAATCAGAGATGCTTTGATACCATCAGGGGGTTCGAAGACCAATTTATAGGATTATCTAATCAAAGTAGTTGGTATCTTTGGATTGAATTCCATGGTTAAGAATATTCTGAAATTGGCATTTGGAGTCAATCTAAATAATTTCTTCTCTAAATCATTAAGCCAACTGGTAGCTAAATGAACATTCTTCAACATCACCCAAGATCCGGATTTGACACTTTGAGTAATTGCCTATTCGGCCTAATCAAAACCTTCAGCACTTCCTATAGCCACGCTAGTCAATTTGATTCCCATTTCTCTACTGAGTTATTCGACTTTAAAGGATGGATCAAATCCTGGGGCTGAACATAAAAGAATAGGAATCTTGTTCGATGCTTCCTTCTCAACTACCAATTTCATATCCACTGTTTGTTCATCCATGAAACCCTCTCCCAAAATTTGATTGATTAATTTTCTAGCTATTATTTAGAATCTATCAGCTCTGAATATTCTTAGGATGTGTAAATCATCCAATTATCTCTTTAATTGATGACTATCAATCCAGTCTAATTTAACAATGTCATCTCTTTAAACTTCATTATACCATTATGTTGGAATGTCATTTTCTGGAGCTTCATCATTTAAAAAGTTGAGCCAACGATCTTCATTCTTATTTAAGTTGTCTATGAGTCTATTGAAAGTTTAATTCTATTGAGTTATTCCTTCTAATTATTTCAATTATTGGATACTCAACTTCCCTTACAAGAATGTATTTGAAAATGTAGTCTCCATCACTGTTGGTGGTTTGAATACATTCAAGAATTCCTATCCCAAGGTGTTGTCTCCCAATTTCACTTAGGCCAAGGTAATTGCAAACACCAATTTATCCTCCTATAACAAAGAGAAATTCATTCGTTTGTATATTTCTTTGAACATTTCATTGAAAATTAGAATTCTTCTCTTTATCAAATCTTGTTTGGGAATCTTCTGCAACTATTCATTCTTATTTAACACATTATAAATGGTATCCATGAAGAATTACAATGAAAACTAGTACAAATAATGAATATTGGCCAAAGATGTCAAACTGAAGAAGATCTTAGAGGTAGTATTAGCCAAAGGAACATATGAATGTGTTGTATTCATGACCTCATTCATAATAGTGTCAGCCTATTTCATTTCTTAAACAATAACAGCAGCCTCCTTCTTCAACTTCTCTAATGTTTAGATAACCTTCTCGTCTTCCAATATGGATCCTCTACTATTATTCAATGAATCCAATAATTGATCTTCCAATTCTCTCAACTTAACTATATATTCTCCTTGCAATTTCATTAAATTTAATCTCTTCTCCTCAGTTTCTGGGGATTCATTTCTCAAGAAGATATTCAAACATTGTTCCTACAAACTGCTTTGAGTGACTGTAAAATTGACAAATGTAACTCTGCTGCATAAATCAGGAGTGAATCTAGCTGTGCTATCTCTGGTGATCATGAACATAGTAAAGCCTTGTGAAAAATCGATTTCTTAATTGCCTACTCTTATTAACACTCTTCCTCCTGTTTTATATGTTTCATTGTTCAAAACTGAATTCAAAATTGGATCCACCTTTTCCACATCCTGTACCAACAATGGACAACCAAATCTTAGGCATGTTTCCAAGGTCTTCAAGAATGATTCATCTGTGAATGATGTCCTTGCTAATTTCTTATCTTTGTACAATGAGGAAATATAAGACAATGCCTGTCCAGATGGATCAATAACTAGAGGATATCTCTAGAATCTATATAATATGATGGCATTCTCCATGCACAAATCATCCGAAGGCAATGTATGTGATTGCCAATTCAATCTGTCTGAAGGTCTAGATAAGAATTCAATCAATGAAAGATCTTGTCTGTAAGAGATATTCGCTTAGCCCGAGAGATAATCTTTCCAAGTGTTTATTACCACCTTCCTGTAAAAATGATCAAAGAACCCAATATAAGACAGGAATGCTGATGACAATAACACATCTCCTATCATTGTAGCTAATTAACTTTTAAAGTTTTATGATGCCTCTTCCCAACGTACTCTTTCTCCACTCAAATCACTCAATAATGCCTAGGACCTTGTTACTTTCTCTTACACTTTCAACATCTCTGACTTAATTGATTCCTTCTAACTAATCAATTCCGAATACTCCTATTGTAAGTTGTGAATCTTAGCCTCAGCAGCTGCTACTTCATCATCATAGATCTTCTTCTAAGTGTTGAGTTCGTCACTCTCTTACAATAATTTAGCCACTTCCTATCTAAGTGGATCCACTTTCTATAAAATATCGGCATATTTCAATTGTGAATCCAACCACATAGCCAATGGACCTGCTGCTTTTGATGCAAAGTTAATTCTGTCAATATTCCACTCTTGGGCTGATAAATATTTTGTTAAAATGAATTTCTTCACTTTGGGTGGCATTGTTTCTGTATTGAAGTTAATAACATTATTGATGAAATTCATATTGGCCATTGATTTCTATACGTCCTTCCATTCTGGACTCTTTTCCAATGAATTAATTGCACAAACAACGGCTTCCATTGTCAACTTAACCAAGGCAGGAGGTGATCCCAATGCTCTGATTTAATTCAAATCATCCTTCTTAATGCTATTCACACATTGTTTTGCATTTTCCAAAGCAGGCAATGCTTCATTCAATTCCTTATTGACCTAAGACTACCTTACTTCCATCTCCTTAGCCTTCTTCTCAGCATCACTTGATAATCTTGTACTGTCTTCCTTCTTCTTCTCAGCTATCTTCTTCTCTTCAATAATTGTCTGCAACTTCTCACCTGCCTGTCTCTCCTTTGTCAATAACTCAACCTTCTTCTGATCTAAGCTTTTCTGCATCTCCAATACTTGTTGTTCTGTCTCCTTCAACTTATCCAAACCAACATTCAGATGCAACTATTAATCTTCCAATTGCGATTTCTTTTCATTATGCAATTTCTCGAAATGCTTCAAGAAATCTAAATAGTCTCTTGGAGTTATATAATTGAATCTCTTAGCTCCCTTCTGTAATTTGTTATTCAATTCAATGATAGTATTTTAGATATAGACTAAAGTGGATACTAAAATATGTTATCTTTAAGTTTCATCTTTAATCTTTTTGCTGAATGCATTTTCAGGAGGATCAATGTACATAGTAAATGCTTTACCAACCTAAAAGAGAGCTTCATTGGTCCAATCTCCAAACCAATCTATAACACATCTATTAAACAATGCAGGGGAAGAAGCTGTTCTATTTGAAAAATCTGGATTCTTAGGATTCATTGTAAATACAACGTGTAAATTTCTTTACACTTAGTAAGTGAAATTCTTGAATAACTATTCTTCTGAAGAATCAAATTATTTGTTTTGATTTGAGTTTTCTTTAAGCAAGTTAATCAATGCCAAATATTCGTCATTTTCAAACAATCCTGGAATTTCACCTGATGCCAACAATGCATTCATCTTCTCTAAGAAAGATGGACCTAATACATTTGATTCATCAAAAATGAATGTAATCTTCTCGCCTTTAGCACCAGCCCTCTTCATTACCTCCCTCAGATCATTATCAAAGTCAGCTAATTAATAATCTCTACCTGCCTTAATTTAGAAGACTGTAAGATTATTAATCCAACTTACAAATCTTGTGAGTGTTGTTTTACCAACTCCAGAAGATCCAACCAATAGTAGATGTCCTAAAGGTTATTTCAGAACTCTATCGATTCTCAATATGTGATCAAGTACATCATCAAAAACAACCAAGGGAACAGATAATTCTTCTTCATTAAATTATTTGAGTCTTCCTTGGATGTACTTTCTCAACTCTTCTCTATCAACACTTTGATAAACCTTATGGAGATAGTTACTGAATAGAATTGGTCTTTGTAAAGCTTCATCTTTCAAATTGTTGAAATTATTATAAGCAACTTGATCAATAAGTTTATTGCACCACTCTTTTTCATGTTCATGTACCAATCTATCTTGGAATAATCTTAAACCTTCATGTGCCCATAGTCTAACTAAATCTTCAACAGATTCAAGTGGTTCTAAGGCTTCATTCAAAGCATACTTCCATCTAGTTAATTCTCTGGGTGAATAAATATAATGAGCTTATTAATCAGCTGTGAAATGTTATTATGATTTGGTGTAAAATTCAACCATAGCATTAGTGAGTTATTCAGAATATTGTTTAAGGTTAACTGTTCTTCTAAGCATTGCCTTATTGAAAGTGCCATAAATTTATTTGAGTGATTCAGGTCCTGGGAAATCGACGAGGATTAAAGGACAATGTCTAAGAAATCTTGGAGTAAGTGGTTTTCTACCCACATCAGTAGGAGGATTACATGCTCCTACGAATTAGATTCTATCAAGGGAAATCCATTGTCTATCTGAAGATCTCCAAAATCCGTGTTATTCTGTTAATTAACGTAAGAAAGTGATAATAGCCATGGTGCCATATTTATCTTGATCAGGTAGATTGATTTCATCACAAAATACAACGAGCCATTTCTAATTCTTTGGTTGTAAGAAGACTCCATTTGTAGTTTTCTTATATTCGCAATAATGATCAAATTATTTAATGATTAATTGAGGCATAGTGGAACTACTGAAATTGATGAAGATCATTTCGAAATCAGTTAAGGCCTTTAGTGTGCTCATTAAAGTCATGGTCTTACCACTACCAGGAGGTCCACATAATAAGAAGGGTCTATGTTCATTAAGCCATCCACAGAGAACATCTTTATGTCTGAGAGTATCAACTGTTTCGATGATGAGATCAGCATCTGTGACTCTTTGTGGATCAATTTCAATTTGAGGTACCTTCTTCTTATATTGGCTCCATTAAGCTTCTGGGAGAGTGACTTCAAAGTCAATCAATGAAGGTGCGCTATCATTGAATTATGGTAGGATAACATTGTGTGGTAATAATTAACAGATTTCCTTGGAGTATTGTGTTCTTTAATAAAGATTCATGGAACCAGCGACACCCCACATGACAGCAATAAGAAATTGTTTAACCATGAAATCATTAATTTGATCATCTTCCAATGGAACTTCAGAGTTATTTTCATTGTATTCGATGATATTTGAAATGCTTCTTCTAACTAAAGCGAAAGTGCTTTCTAAGACTCTGATTCTGGTGAATTCCATGACATGTTTATATTCTGGTTTTTAGGCAATTTAGAGGAATTAGGATAAAAACTTGATGATTGATTCTAGGGCTTTAACACATTTAGTTCTTAGTTCACTTTCTTGAGAATTAACTTACTTGTTGTTGTCATCTTCAGATTTTTATTGATCATAATCATCCTACTTCAATCGTTCCAAGAAGTGATAGAAGATATTTTCATCATTGATGGTTTCTTCGCTAAACCAAACCATACCACATCTGGAAACAGTAGCTAAGGTGGCATATTTAAGAGTTTCGACTTCAAAGATCATTCTAACATTAGGGGGAATAGCCAATCTTTCACCGTTAGGTAAGGTTAATAGTTTATTGTCATCAAGCACTGAGTTGAGATTTTCAGCCCATTCAGGATCAACGTCTCCATCAAATATAATCCAATGTCTTCTGGTGCTCTCTTGTCTTTGATTAGATATGATTTTCCTGAGTATAGAAGTGAAGACTCCATCAGTCCATTCCAAAGTGGTATTGTCTAATCTACCATATAATTCATCTTTGGATATGGCCTTTGGATCAACAATATAAAATTCTCCTTTCACTTTATCACATTTATACATCGCTTCCAATAGGACTCTCCAGGCAGCACTCTTGCCACAACCACATGGACCAACTAACATCAAACCGTGTTGTAATCTCTGAATCTAATACAATTACAACACTTTTTCAATGAAGTTCTTACTCGATTGTAGATTCTTTCTCTGACAAGCCAAGGCTAATTCCTTTCTTAATTGTTCCTCCTTAATTTCTGGAATGCAAGATCCTGGAAATACACCTTATAACAATGTTTCCAACAATTTGATATCGTCTTTGATTAATTTGGGTACCACAGTATCACAAACACTCCTTAATAAAATGGTTTATTCGAACTCTTCAATTTCAGATTATGGAACAGGTTCTTATTTTCTGTCTATCATTTCTTGTCTCTTCATGTTACCAGCAGAGTTCAATACTGATTTCAAGGCTCTCAAACCAAAATCGTAATGTGGTTGTGATGATAATTGATTGTCACATAATTCAAATAGTGAAACTATCTTTCCTGCTAATTTTTCTGCTGTTCTGAATCCTTAACTGAATAACATGACTTAAGCAATCAATTCTCTATCTGGTTTAACCATGGCCATTTATCTGAACAACTATTTCAAATTCTCTGGTAGATTTGATCTCCCTGCATATCCAGGATTCATAGTAACAAACACTCCCATCTATGAACTCAATTTCACATCCTTGCCCATCAATTCTATTTGCTTCTACTTCTCTCTCAATCCTGTTTAAATCAATAATATTTGTTATGAACAAGCAGACAACATACGTTCCTCCAATCTATTGAACTCATCGAAACAACCCCAAGCTCCTACTTAACACAATCCTACGAAGATTCTACCCATGGCATTAAAATCGAATGTCTCATCACAATTAAACACCAAAACGAATCTACCCAATTATGCACCCAATGCCTTAACACTCTCTGTCTTACCTGTACCAGCTGGTCCAAAAGGAGATCCTCCCATTCTCAAATGCAAAGCTTGTGTCAATGTCAAAAAGCATTTATCAGTCAATGGAGTTTAGACTAACTTCTCTGCCACTCCCAAATATTCAAATCCATAATGGAATTGTGCATTACCCATTTAAATCAGTAACCTTTTTCCAGGATCTGCTTCCTTAGAATTCCAATTGAATCTCATGTGGTATTACCAACCGAAGTCATTCTTACTGTTTATTTTATTGTTCATCAACAATCTGATCACATCTCTCTAATGAACAAAGTCTGTAATAATCTACTCAAACTTCTATCTCAATTATTTAGGATGATCCTTCAATACACTCTCTGCCAATTCAGACAAGAATTCCAACACATACTACAATGTTTGTTTCATCTATTATTCATTATTGAATGATGATTCAACTGAAAAACACCATCCCACTTACAAGGCCAATAAAATGATTTGAGCTGGATGTTCCTCAATTACTTTCATCCTGTTCTATTGATTAGCTTGGATATCTAAGACTGATTTCTCTAAATCCAGAGCCAATGAATTCATCATCTCATTGTCAACCTTACCCAACCATATGTTGATTCTGGGATCCTCTGCAATCTTCACCTCCTTACTAAATGGAACCACCTCTCCTTCTTTACTTGACATTCCCAATACAACATCATCATTTCCATCCTTTCTACTCTACAATTGCACAATTCCTGCATACATCTTAGGGAAATGTCTTTACACATTTGTCACATCTTTTGAATTACCAATGATATCCAATAGATCGTCATCTCCCACAAAATAAAATCTAGCGAATGCTTATCTCTAAGTCTCCAAGTAATCACCCAATGCCTTTTGGATCTTCTATAGGAAATCACTTAATCTTTCTAAGGTCTTAGCCAAATTGGGGATTCCTTAGACATCCATTAATTATGGTTTTTGAGCCACTTTCTTCATCAAATTAGTGAATTGACTGTCAATATCTTTGAATTTATTGTATTCATTTTACAATTATGTTTTGATATCAGAAGAACCAAAGAAGATACCTTCCAAATAAACCCATCTCCTCTGAACATCAATCCAAATATCCATGGTCAATTTCACTTTCTGCAATTTATCATCCCATTAAGAGATTTCTGCCTCAAAGGTTTTATAGAAAGGAGAAATCTTCATTGAGGCTAAGTTATTAAGATCCTCATCTAACTTCTAAAACAATTCATCCCAACCTCTGATCAATTTACATTTAGTTTAATATTTGACTAATTCTAATTCAAATGAATTCCAAAAGTCCTTCACTTATGAAATCATTGTCTCTAACACCTGTTCTCCTCTTGCAACTGTCATAATGTCCTTAGCTAGATTCTCATAATTCAAAAGATTAGCATTCCACAAATGTTGCATTTACAATTAATTTAAAGATTCATTGATTTTCAATTTTGACAATAATTGTCTCCAATGTCTCTCCTTCATTGATTCATCCTTCAAATCCATAATGAGTTTATTCATCTTAATATAGTTCTTTACCTTCTCCTTCATCTTTTCAAATGCATCGTAATTCCTTGTCTTAGTAGATACTCCATTCAATTGTTTCTAAGCCTCATCACATGTATCCTTGATCTTCTTATTCTATAGAGCTGATATCAATTATTCCTTAATCGATTGCATCACCTTCCAAATCTTGCCCAATTCCTACCAAACATCCTAGAGATCTGAAATTGATTCCAACAAAACATTCAACTTCTATTAATGAGTAGGTGGATCCATCTTCAAAATCTCTTTAGCCTAACTGCACTTCTCATACTTCTCTTAAACTGATATCAGTTGTTCATTCAAACTTTTGAGTATCTATTCAGCCTCATTTGGAGAGCAATCTCCAGAATCAGGTTTAGATGTCTTCCATTGTTCTTCAATCTCTTGTATTTATTAATTCAAATATCTCTCATCCTATTAAATCTTAGACTGAATGTTATTCATTTCACTCTCTTGTGATTGTAGTTTCTTACTACGAATCTATTTAAATTGATTCCACTGCATCTCTACCTATTCAAAACTCAGCCAATCTCCTGGATATTGATATCTTTGTCTATCCAAAACCTTTTGACCATTCTTAAAGGATTCTATATCTGCAGACCATCCTGGGAATTTCTTATCTTACTCTTATATTATTGTAATGGATTCAATGATGTCTGATGTTAAATCTTAGAAATTGATTTTGAGTAGTTTCTCCTTTTCTGTTGTAACATTCTTATTAAACACTCTCAACTACTCTCCAAACTTATTACCAAAATGATTTAACAACTCCTTATGCCAAGCATCATACTTATGATTAATCTTGACTTAAACCATTCTATAATCAATTATAATTGCTCCAAAATGTTCCTCTGTTGTTGAATTGTCGAATGTAGCTCTTCCTTATTTAATATCTGTTAACATCTATTACCACTTTTCAATATCATCTTATAGTATTTATTCTACTTATTTAATATCTAATTCCCATAGTGATTGATAATTTAACCATGTCTACACGTATTATTCCATGTCTTCCAATAATTACCCAATTTATGAATAAGCATCCTTTATCAACTGTTAATTTATCTTATTTATAGTAGTTGAATAGTCTAAGTCTCTTTAAGTACCCCATGGGCCTGTATTTTACTATATTGTATTGTCGAATCTATTGGCAACTAACCTGGGTAAGCTGCAAATCTATCCAATCATTTTATGAAACTCTTAGAACCAGAAGTACTTTGCATACTCAACAGGAGGGTCCACATAAATGATCTAATCTTGTAGTTTCAATTCATGCACAACTGTCTAATTTACAAGTCCTCTTTCTTGAATTTTCTGATAATTGATGAATTAATTTAACCATTCCTTCATTTGCACAGTCACTCTATCACATAAAATGCTTTCAATTTATTTATCAATATCCTAGATCCAAATGTGTAAATTTGAGAAATTATTGAAGCATAGTGAATCTATAACTTCTTGGATATCCTTTAATTTATCAGCCAAAGAATCTACGGGACATGTCTTCATAGCTTCACATAATGATTCTATCTAACCAATTCTCTCATTCAATCCATTAACAGCTTACTCCAATTCAAAGACCTTGTCAGTGAATTTCTTCACGTATGGCTGTAACTAGGTTTTGTGAGTCCACAAGTAGTTGAATCCTTAACCAATTTATAGTTACACTTCCTTTCTTAAAGCAGCTACCAATTTGGCAGATTTGGCATTCAATTGAGATGTTATCTAGATGTAAGTGTGCAATGATTCTTGTAAAGATAAGGCAAATGGATAAGAAGCCTTAGCATCATTAGCAATGTGAGATATTGAATATGGGACCTTTGTTTTCATATTACTTAGATTTCTCACTTCTTTGAATAATTAGCTTAGCTTTTTCTCATAATTGACTCTAATTTCTAATCCTCTCCTTCTTGTAACTACTTCAAATAACTTTTCATTTTGACTGACTGCCTTATTATGATGATTAATTTCTTGTTTCCAATCCTCCAAAGCTGGTCCTGAATCCAGAATCCTTTCAAATGTCTCACCCATTTCTTTACATTTCTTGCCATCAGTATCTTCTGCCCATTAAGGACCTAAGATCTGTTCTACCTTTTGCATATATTTCTACAATCTAATTTGTAATTATTTGGACCAGATAACAAATCCTGAAGTCAATGGAATATCTCTTGCTGATGCCAATCTCGAATTCTAACTCTTTTAATAAGTTTCCTTGAACTTATTCTGTAAGGATTGAATATCCTTGTGGACAGTCTTTAACAATTGTGATTGATACTCTTGGATGGCCCCCTTGATTCTTGGTCTTGAAAACAACTTATTGAATTTAGCCAATATTCTAAACATTTCTTTGGCAGACGATGCTGAACCAAGTGAATCTCTCAAATTTGTAGTAATAGTTGCTTCAACGGATTCAATAGCAATTTCGTATTATTTCAATGCTCTGAAAAACTAATCTTCGCCATCTCTACTCAAATCAAACACTTCAACATTTTTGAAAATGTCATATGCCTATTGAATTTCTTATAAGGTGGCAAATTATTGGACATTCTCCTTCTACTCTTCTTAATCATTTTGAATGATCTACTCAATAACTTCTTTGAGATTTTCATGCATTTCCCTAAGTCTCTAAATATGTTGGATCTGCTTTTGCAATTTGATGTGCTCAAATTAACCATATTAATCCTTCTGATGCACAGATTTCTTGACAATACTTTATTTGAATATCTTATATTCCTCATCCCATTGACTGAAGATCTCCTGAGTCTTGATGATTAAGCCCTTGAAGTCAACATACTTAATGTGGAGTATCTAAAATCCCTTAAAATATTTGATCATTTCATTTGTCAATTCTCTTGAAAAGGATTCTGCCAATTGAAGTGATCTAGGAATGGTGTATGTCTCTTGAATGTTTGACAATTTCTTCATATGTTAGAATATCTAGATCATAGCATCTTTGATTTCCACCAAATTTGTTGCTATCAATAAATTGTTGATTGGGAATTCTTTCATGAATTAGTTGCATGATTGACATTTCTATAAGCTCTACTTCAAGGCTATCTCCTTAAATTGTGCTGTGATGTTCATCTTCTTAGCTTGAGTCAACACTTCGATTGTGAAATCAACTTCAGGTTGTTTCAATTGATTCTCAATAAAAAACAACGACCTCTCCATGCTCATCCAATAGTTTATTTCATCCACTATACTTGCATTAGTCAACTCCAACTTTGTGTTTGATATTTAATTTATGTCTGAAATCCATCTTGTCACTGTCTGAGATATTGATTAAACTATGTCAGGCTTATTCAATTGAGCTGCATCTTCAATTGTTGGCTTGCCTCCTCTCTATTTGACAGCTTCCTTGATACGAGGATCGAATTGTAAAATGATTTCAGGCACTTCCACATTCTATCTGCATTTAATGAATGCCAAATTAACTTCATTCAGCTTCTTAATCAAATCGTTATAACTCGATTGATCTACAATCCTCTTTTTGTCAATCTCGCCCTTGTATTGGGTGAAGATTGGAATGAAACAATTTTATACGTAATTGTGTGACAAAGTGAAGGGATTTGCTCCTCCTTGTGATTCTGCATATCCAACGTTTATCACTTAAACATGGTTACTAAATTACTATGGTTGTAATTAATTGTCATATTGAAAGGTGTGTCTCTTTAAAAAGCAAATTGTATGAGCATAATTGTTGGATGCCTCATATTCTGAGCGAATTTAAATATTGAATTTCTCATTCTCCACAGTCTTACTAACTATCAGAGCCTTTATTTAGGAATCCGATAAAAATTGACAAATATTCTATTCGATTATTACAATTTCATACTTATTAATTCACATCCTCGTGACATGCTACATTCCATTAATCCTTATCGATGATCAATAAACTCAAGCAAATTGCGCTTAAATACTAATTGAAATTTTCAATCTCATTAGCACTGTACAATTTGCCCTATTCTTGTACTTTCACATTCAGCTATGTCTCACTTTCTTCCATTTATTATATTTTAATTTAAAAATGATATAAAATATCTGCATTAAATGTCTTAAGAATTCAAATATTTGCATATGATGTATTCATAATTAATTTAATTGGGTACACGAATGTTTAATTAAAAATACCATAAATTACACACAAAAATAAATTATCATGCTTCATTCCTAACTTTCTCCCAAAAGCTATGTTGAATACAATACAAAAGCCATAAATGAGTTTGCAATTCCAAAAGCAGCAAACCCTCTGTAAAATGTCAAAATTCCTTCCTGCTAATATATCTATTTTGCTCCATCCCAAAATCCTTTATAGTTGGTCTGTAACATAAATGGCTACGACCCTTAACAATGTAATCTCCTGATCACAGTTAAAAATGGGTACGATACTACTTATTGAATCATCAATAAATAACTTAAACACAACCTTGAATCGTTTATGTAGATTGAAGGCATCTAAGATAAACTGATAAATATGTGCTTATAAATATGTCCCAATGCACCCTTATACAGATTTCTCTCTTTCTTTAATAGGTCATAGATCGATCTATATGTTCTAAAATTTGGTAATCTATTTTGGTGTATCATTTTGGATTATATCAGCATGAATGGATTTGTGAGTACGTCAACAGCCATACCAATCAAGGAAGCATACAAATTTTGGATCAACTTCTTTTCGTTGAAGTACTTCTAGATTAAGAAGTATCTCAACTAAGAATTTGTGATCTAATAGAGGATTCCTGTTCCTAACCCTTTATAAAACCCTAAAACTCCTTGTTCACCTAATCCTTTGAAAACAGCATTATAGTTTTGATAGGATGGGCCTTGGTACTTAACAATTTTTAATTTCAATATCTATTCTAGTTTCTTTTATTGTCCCAAAGTGATCTTTGCCTCCATGATGTCTCTAAGATTGTTCACTTAAAAATCCATTCTTTTAATTGATAGTTAAAATGTAGTATGTATAACTTGTAATGGCTATGTCAATATTCTTATCTTATTAAATGTCAATCTCTTACCCCAAGGCAGTGGTTGTGAATGAATTTCCTATTACAATCTACCACCATTTAACTTCGTATTTCTTCTGATCAAACACACTTTCTAACTCCTTTAAATCAATATTGCTAGTTGTTTCTTCTTTCTTCATTCCTTTCAAATACTCTGAAAAGTCCTTAGACATTATTCCTCACCGTAAATAAATTATATAAAATTGGAATTATTATTATATAATATTTGAAAACAAGAACCATGATCTATTCAACTATTCAATAATAATTTACTAATTGAAGAAGGATGAGTCTCGCTTCACATGTATTGATTATTTTTCATTGATAAAAGATGGATAAATTTTACAATATTTAATTTAACTGATAAAAATCTATGTACAAACCTTCTAGGTCTCTGAGATAGAGTTAAGAAAAATTCTATACTAACAACAAACCATCTCCATAGACAAGAGCAGTTTCATTTGCTACTACGATGGAAGAGCCTCTTAGATTAATCAACAGAGAATTCGATAGAGATTTATATAAGTAGAAGTTGAAAGTTTAAGAGGCTGAATTACTGGAAGCAAAAGGTAGACATATCCAATTTGATAGATTAGAGCAGTAGAGTTAAATTTGTATTGAGTTGAATGAGCAGAGATTGAAGAATAAATAATAATAATAAGTTATAGAGAATTTAGAATTCAAACTTCAAATTGAAAAGAAGGATTCTCTCATTTATTAGCAATAAGTTTAGAGATTGGAGGAACAGTACAATTATTTATAAGACAATTATGATACATAAAAATAACAGATAATTGTATTGCAAGAGAGCATAGAGTAAATTTAGAAGAAGAACAATCTTGAGAAGGAAATGAGAAGTGAAAAAGAATTCTTACAGGAGAAGGAAATTAAGTAAAATTGATAATTATCCATTAAGATTTTAATAAAGCGAGATAAAGAGATATTAAGAGGAAATTGTTAAATAGAGAGAACATATATTATAGAATAGTTAATAGCAAAATGCTAATGAATTTATTTTAATATTAGAAAATAAATTTGAATTAGTTTAAAAGGAATTCATATTCTATAAAAAAGAAAAAGAATAAGAAATTGAAGGCATGAAATAATTGATAGATTCTTATCAAAGTTAAATCTAACGTCTAAACAAAGAAAACTAATTGTTATTAGATAAATAATCTATTATTTCTACAACAGAAGAGCATTAATAACAAATTAAAACTCTTTAAATTGAATTAGAAAGCTAAATATAAATTTGCAAGTAGTTAAATTAATAAATTACAATATTACAATAACAATTGAACCAAACAAATTTGATATGCTAAAATCTCAAAGAAGAAAAACTAGGTGCCATAAAAGAAAAATAAGCAATAGAAACCTATTATCTAGATTAATTGTAAAAATAAGATGTACAACTCTCATAAATGATTAAATCATCTGTTTAAAATGAGTAAAAAGCCTAAATCTAAAAGTTACAAATTATTATAGAGTAAGTTATTTATTTTATAATTTAGACAAAAGGATCTGATGATAAGGGAATTGAGTATGCAGAAGGATTGTAATTGTAATAAGTAGATTAAGAATGAATAAAAAGTCATTATCAGAGATCTTGAAAAGAAGAATGCAACTTTGGTTATGGAGGTTGAAAGATTAAATAAAATTTTAAAATAAAAATTAACAGAACTCGAAAATTAAACTTCTAGATCATGCGAAGAAAATCACAAGAAATACCTAGAAGAGATTGACATCTGGAAAAGCAAGTTCTTATCAATCAATAAACAATACCACATTAGTTAAGAATAGCTAATGGTAGTTAAAACTGAATTAGATGGTTTAAAAAAAGCCAAATAAAAAGAAAATATCGATCCTATCTTAAATAATAAAGTAGGATGAACTATGTTTTGAAACTATTTATATATTATAGTATTTATATAATACAGATAAAAAAGAATGAATATATAAAAAAAATTCAAACAACTAAACGATTAATTTCTAAAAATACAAATATGCAGTTTTTTATTGATTAAAATATTAGTATATCTAGAAGTTGTGATTAGAGAATTCAGTAATGGATACATGTGTAATTTTGAAGAGTCTTTCTAAAATAATCTCTCTTGAATAATGTGTTGAAGTTCTCTTAAAAAATAATCTTAAAATCTTCTAAATATTAACTTTAGGGAAATTTTAATATATTTAATATTTATTGTAATCAATGCAACAGGACAAAGGCAGGATATATTATGGTCGGTTTGTCCAGAGAGATAAATTAAGCCAAGGTATGAAGAGAATAAAACTTTTTTTTAGGGTCTTTTGGAGTAGTTTATATTTGCCATGATAAAGTTACTAGAGATTATGTTGCTATAAAAGTAGAAAAGGAAAATAAAGATTTAATGAGTTTAGAACGAGAAATTTAAATCATAGAGGAACTTCGAGGAATAACAGGTATTCTTAAATTTAAATACATCAAGGTGTTCCAAAGTTGTATTGGTATGGAAATGAGTATAACCAAAATTGTATGGCTATGCAATTGCTTGGAAGAGACTTATCTCATTTTTAAAAGAAATTTAAGAAGCACTCGTTAAAAACAGTATGCAACCTAGCTGAATAATTGCTTACTATACTAGAAGAGATTCATAAAAGGTACCATATAAAAATATTTAAAGGGGTGTCATTCATAGAGATATAAAACCAGAAAACATCTTAATGGGAAGAGGAAATGATTCTCAATAAGTTTATATGGTTGATTTTGGAATATCTAAAAAATTTCGCAATAACAATTAGCATATGTATTATTTTTATTTTATCTAGTCCATTCCAAGAAAATAAACCTTTTATAGGCACAACTCGATATGCTAGCATTTCTGCTCATAAGGGTTATGAATTATCGAGAAAGGATGACTTAGAAAGTTTAGGATATGTTTTTATATATTTGCTCAGAGGTAAATTAATAATATATATGAAAATAGGGAATCTACCATGGTAAAATATCACATCCACATCCGACAAAGAGAAAACTAAGTTAGTAGGTAAATTAAAAATGGAACTTGAATTAAAAGATTTATGCAAAGGATTGCCTATTGAATTTTAGAAATATATGGATTACGTTTACAAATTGAAATTCGCATCTACTCCAGATTATTAATATTTACAAGGGTTATTTAAAAGAATAGCTCAATAAAATAACTTCAATTTTGATAGAAAATTTGATTGGATGGACAATCAAACTACTTCTACTAAATCTTCAGATTAAGCTTAGTAATCTTCTAATGAAATCGATATTTCAAATATCTAAGGTGATTACTTTAAACTAAAGATGAGTGAAAAACGTAAATCTTATCAAATCGATTAAACTTCGTAGTAATCTTCAGTTGTTCTCAATTATGCTCCTTCAATAGTATCCAATAGAAATAATAAAAATATTTCGAGATCTCGATAAAATTCAAAATAATCATATTCTAGAGAGTCGTCATTAGTAAAATAACCTAAGGGATAGAAATTTTAAGGAGTATTTTTCTAAAATCGAGAATTTAGAGATTTCGATGTTCAAGAAAACAAACAAAAGAAAAGTCCAATCAATTTTTCAGAGTTTGATGATTTTGATGATGAATTAAATGATGATGACGAATAGATTTATTAAGTACAAAGAAAAGTTGGAATGATTAATGTTCATTTTAAAGAACATCTATCGAAACAATGAGATGATTTTCTTAATTATTTTTGATTACTAATTCATTTGTATTATTCATTTTCATAAGTCTTTTTCATTATGTAAAATAATGATTTATCACTAATAAAAAATTAGATAAGTTGACTAGTTTAATAATTAATTAAATTTGAATGGAAGAAATTAAAAAAGGAGATATAATTGCTGAAGAATATGAAATAATCAATTTATTATCACAAGGATCTTTTGGAAAGGTTTATTTTGGAAGATCACTATCATAATAGATTGAGGTCGCAATTAAAGTTGAAAAAAATGAAGTTGCTCATCTGAATAGTTTATAGAAAGAAGTAACTAGTGCTTCTTATTAAATACAACTTAGGTTACAATATTGAAATAATTAGAAGGAATTGCCTAAATTCCAAATGTTTATTGGAATGGTTACTATAAAGGAATGGATGTCATAATTCTAAATATGCTGGGAAAGGATTTAATCTATTATTTTCATAAATTTAAGCACTTTTCCTATTAGTGTGTATGCAATATAGCCATCCAAATGATTGAAATTTTGGAGCTCATCCACAAAAGGTAAGAATTAAATCTATAATTATAAGAAATATCATACATAGAGATTTGAAACCAGAAAATATTTTAGGATCACCCGATTCATCTAAAATATATTTGATTGACTTTGGAATTGCCAAAGATTTGGAGTAAAATAAAAAATCTAAAGATAAATTATCCTTTATTGGGACAACCAGATATGCTAGCTTAGCTGCTCATTTGGGAGTTGAATAGAATAAAAAAGATGATTTAGAATCATTAGGTTATATCCTTATTTTCTTCATTAATCAAACATTGCCTTGGACAAATATTGATAAAGAAGATGTATTCAGAATTGAAAAGATAGGTTAAATGAAAGAAGAAATTACTTTAGAAACATTATGTAAAGGCCTACCATCGGCAATATTAAAGTACTCCTTTTAATATTTAGATACATGAAATATGTGAAATAATTATAGCATAAATAGAAACCTGATTATTAATCATTGAAAAACTTATTCATAAACGAAAATCAAATAGGCAATTGTTTGGTTTTTGATTGGAATAAGAAGGAATTCTAAGAATTAAAATTAAAATCCTCTAAATCTTTAAGATCTTTAAACAATATTCAAATTAGTAAAAGTTCATTTAATAATAAAAATAAAAAACAATTTCAATCTATTTCCAATATAAAACGAGAAAGCTACGGGAAGATTTAAAGTAAAAATAATCATAATACATTTGGTTAAAAAGAATCCAGCGACGAGCGTTCGAACTCTATAAAATAAGTTTCGAATCAAAAAAGCATTTTTGTGGACTACTCCATTAGTTACGAATAAACTAAAGTTTCAAAAGTTTCTCAATTCAGATAGAAAAGCTCGAAAAGTATTTTTGGTAAGAAACATCAAAAAAGTCAATAATTAAAAGAATCTTCAATAATACCAATACAATCAGAATAATAATTATATGAACTGGAAGAATCAGACTTAGAAATTAAATATAATTTATTACATTATACTTCAGTGTTCTACAATTATAAAAATCCTATTTAAGAGTTTAAAGTAATTTAATTTAGCTGATATTACTTAAAGTTAATATAAAATATTCACAATATAATTATACGAGTTTATAATAATTATAAGTGTGTTTAAATTTCTTAATTCAAAAATATTAATTATAGAATTCATTACAAATAAATGAATAGAAATTTCAATAACTTAAGAGTATAATCAAAATTTGAATTTGATGCTATCATTTCATAATTGGATAATGGATCTCCATTAACATAAATTCAGGTTAAGAAATTTTCAGGAATTAAGAACCTTGATCTATTTGAGGCACAAGATTAAGACGATAAATATGAAACCCCCAAAGAATCATCCAATTCCTTAATGGATGAAGGACCTAATATCAAGGAGAGGAATAAGGAATCCTGATTTATCGTCTCTTTAAATTAACATATTTATAAGAATGTCAAAATTCTAAAATCTAATATTATTTAAGTAAATATAATATCGATTCAACAATTCTGTTAATTTATCTACATATTAATCTTATTATAGAGACATATTTCCATTCTGATTGAATGTATATTTTTAGAACTCTAGATTCATTAAGTATTCAATATACAATAATCACATTAATTACTTTTATTCTTGTAAAGTGATCTTATTGTCATTCATAATTATTTGATATATAATTCTTGGGATGATGTTATAAAAAGACAATAATATATATAAATTTACTTTATTAAATATATTTTAAATCTTAGGAATTAAAGAAAAATAACTGCTTTTTGAGTTTATGCCAATAAATGTATATATATATAGCATAACTATTATATATTTGATTCNCAGATTTATGAAAGGGCGCTCTATTATCATAATCAATTATAATGGAATTCTCAATGCATATGCAGAATTTGTAATGAAAGCATAAACATCAACTTAATGGATATCCACAATTAAAATTGCAAAAATAACGCTGAATATCGAAAAAAATAAGTTTAAATAAATCTGCAAGTGGCTCGTTTATGTGAAAAAGCATATATGAAAAAACATTAAATTCATCTTAAATAAGGATTAAAATTGTATAAGTTTAGGATTATGTATCTAGTATGAATGAGATGAAACTAAGAAAATGGCAAGGGATTAAATAGAGCGAAGATACAAGATAGGTATATCAAGAATACAGGGTGTTAAAATTATTGATTAGTTATGGGGAGAAAGTAGCCAATCAGGAGTTAGATGCAAAATGTATGTATTCTATTAAGATTTAGATCATTTGATAACTCAAAATGAAATAATGGCAGCACAATAGAGTATTGAAGATCAGAGTATATTCGACTTGATTGAGTAAATGAATAGATTGATCAATTAAAGATTAGACTATTGTTATAAATGTAAATAAATATGTAATACTATTTAAATAGCCAAGATGTAAAATTTTGGAAGTATTTCATTTCGAGTAAGTAAATTTAGATAAGATAGTCCAAGAGGCATTCCAGATACAAATAAATTAAATTCGTTCTCCGATTATTTAAGTTTGAAGTAAATGAATAGCTATCAATAAGTTTTACTTTGAATTCAGATTAATCTGGGCCTGCCTTAGGATTAAAATAGACGACTCATGCCAAATCGTCAATATCAATAATGGGGAAACTAAAGAAGAGTGGGAAGATCAGTCAGTTCTTACAACAACAATAGTCTATAAAATCAATACAGAATAATGATCTTGAGGAAGAATAATTAAGTAATTTTTAAACAAAGAAGAAAAGTTGTTTTGCACAGACTGCAAGTTCTGAGAGTGATTTAGACATAAGTATTGAGAATTCTGATTTATAAATGGAGACACTTGAATCTACAAAATAGATAGAATTTTAATAAGATTGTTTTTTTGCATCAGAAAAAGGATATTTTTCAGATACTGAAATAATTAAATTAGATGCCGAGAATAAAAACTAAGAGAGAAACATTTGTTTAAAGGATTTCCAATTTATAAGACAAATAGGCTAAGGTGCATATGGTGGAGTCTTTTAGGTGAAAAGAATAGCAACAGGAGACTAATATGCTCTAAAGATAATAAACTGTTCGAATCGACCTTTTGAGAGGTTATTGACCTAATTAAAGTAAGAGAGAAATATATTTGAAATTTTGACTGGTGAATATGTTGCTAAAGCATTTTATTCATTTCAACACCAATCTTCATTGTGTTTTGTTTAAGAATTTATGGTTGGAGGCGATTTTGCTAAAATATTGATGATCGAAGGGGTATTTAAATGAATAGATATAGTCTAGGCTTTCGATGAGAACATAGCAAGACATTATTTTGCTGAAATTCTGCTAGCTCTTGAATATCTTCATAGCAATAACATAGTTCATAGAGATTTGAAACCAGAAAATATACTCTTGGATTAAAATGGTCATATCAAATTAGCTGATTTTGGATTGAGTGAGTTAGGGTTCAATAAAATGATGGTGAAGAGGAAAACTAGTCAAAGAGATATGGTGAAGTAAGATTTATCATCTTCTCCTGGTTATATTATTTAAAGAGGAGCTTCATTTAAGAAATCTAGATCGACCAACAGTTAATACGAAAAAGGATCAGAGGAAGAAAGAAGGAAAGTAGTTGGAACTCCTGATTACATAGCTCCAGAAATAGTCAAAGGAATATCTTTTTCTAATAAAACTTTGGACTACTGGTCTTTAGGTGTCATTTTATTTGAGTTTTTGGTTGGAATACCACCTTTTAATGATGAATCTGTTGATAAGATATTTTCAAATATATTGGAAGGTAAAATAGAATGGCCTGATATTGGAGATGATCCTGAGACATAAATTTCAGAATGCGTTTACGATCTATTGAAATAATTGTTGAATCCTGATTATAAATAGAGGATAGGTCATGAGTCGATAGAGTAAATAAAGAAGCATCCATTTCTAAATTCGATAAATTGGAATAAATTGAGAACTCAACCAGGACCCATCATTCCGAGAATACCATAAAATACTTAATAGTTCGAAAATGTTTAAGAAAAATTACAAAAGTTTTTATAAAGAAGTGAAAGGAAACACTCTTAGATAGTTAAAAAGTTACAGGACGAATTAGAATATTTGGAACGAGTGGATCTTCTGATAGCAACAAATGAATAAGAAGTAATTTAAATTAAATCCTAATTTAATTTATGATATTTTTATTCGTATTTAATATACTAATAATAATAATTTATTTATTTAAATAATAATTATAAATATATATACATTAAAATAAAAAAATAAAAAATATAGCAGAGAGTGGTTTCGATCCACCGACCTTTGAGTTATGAGCCCAACGCGATTCCACTTCGCCACCCTGCTCATGTTAATGAATAAGCTGATTATTAATTTATTAATAATGATTCAAATCGGATAAAAGACAATTTAAATATGGTTGGTTAGGCATGGATAAACTGAAGGAAACAAACTATAGATTTTGTAAGGATAGGATGATGGACAACTATCTGCCCTAGGAATAAAGTAGGCGGAAGCCTTGGGAAAAAGAATTAAAAAGGAAATATTCGATGTGGTTTATGTAAGTGATTTAGCAAGAACAAAATAAACATTTGAATTGATTCAAAAGCACCACAGCAAATAAATGATGCCAAATTTTGAACCTCTTCTGAGAGAAAAACATGCAGGTACAGATTGATATTATAATTGGGTGTTTTGTAAGGACAAAGTTTAACATTGCCTAAAAAATTAGCAGCTGAATAAGGAGTTGATATTAGAGTATTTAAACCTGACTAAGGAGAATCTTGGGTCGATGTAAACAATAGAGCCTAATAAATGCTTTAATTAATTATCTAAAGATGCAGTGATTTGAAGCAGAATAACATCACTGTGCTTCTAGTTACTCATGGAGGGTAACTATAATATCATATGTTTAGATTTATTATGGAATTTATGAATTAGATTAATTATATGATCAATAAAAAACAGCCTGTTTATAATAATAGTGCTTTAAATTGCTCAATTACTATTGTAAAATACATTTTACCAAAAGGAGAAGTCAAAATAGTGACTTAGAATGATGCTTCACATATTCAAAAGCTATGAAAAATTATTAAATTATAAATATTTTATTTTAAATTTGAATGATAAAATAGAAAATTTTCGAAGCTATGGATATGATGTACCAAACCTAGATTATTACAACCCTGTCCTATTAGTTCTTATTATTCATTGAATTTTTATAGATGGTATCACTGATAAATAATTAGTTTCTTAGTTATATTATTCAGTATATTAAACATATTTATTTAAGACAAATTATTTTGTTTACTTTGTTGAAGCAATATCATATTTTCAACCTGTGAAATACTTAACAACAATAGATTCGACACTATTTTCAGTATTTGTTATATTTGTAATAAATTATCTAAAATTAGGGTTTTTTTTATTTATCTCTGTCAGTGGCATTGTTCATTTATGTATTATTAGCAGAAAAGTCAATGTTCACAATTTATTCAATTAGAATATATAACCTCCTTATGGTGATGCTTGTTACTGTCTTCGTTATGCCATTTTTAAGCATCTTTTTAGCAGCTTTTAAGTGTGAAGGATAAATGCAATGCGATTCAATCCTTTATTACATAATGGTAATTTTATCTTCTTTGGGAATTGTCATGCTATTAATTTGTCTAATATTTTTTGAGATCTTCCTAGTGGATTACAAGTATGATTTACTCATTATTTAGCCCATTCACTCCAATCCCGTATGCATCTAAATACACAAAATTAAATTGGATTGAATTGATATTCAAAATTTATTTGCCATTTTTTGCTGTAATGGATCCTTAACAAGATGCTGAAAAACCATTTATAACAATATTATGTATCATGTATGCGATGATGATCACTATGAGATTAAAAACAAGGTAATTCATCGAAAATAGTGTTAACATAAGTAAATTGAGTTAAACTTCATTATTATTTTGGACATCTTTTGTATCAGTTTGCCATGCTTATTTAGATCAAGGTGATGTAGATGATATGGGATTCTTTTATGAAGTAGTATGTTCACCTATTGTTGTCTACTGTTGTTTTAAATTGAATAAAAGTCCTGAATTAGCAACTCATATGAAAAAAGATATATAATTAGAAGAAACTGTTTAAGAAATGATATTCTTGATAGAAAATAGAGAAAAACCAATTAATCGAATGAAATTAGAAGGATTTGTAAAGCTTCATTAAAAAGATTGTTTAAAATCTGTTGAACAATGTCCATGTTCCTCAATACATTAAGATACTTTAAGGAATTAAGATGAAAAAACAAATGATAAATAGTCCTTAGATAAGACAATCAGATGGTATGCTTTTGTTTAAGCTCTTGTATAGAATTCGTCTGATAGACTTCAGACAACAAGAATATAAATAATTCGTTCGTATGTATTATAAAAAAAGTTAAAAAATAAATTTAAAGCATTTTATGAGTTGGCAATAGCCCAAAAATAGAGACTATAATTTTAGGATGAGTTTTGTATTTACAGAGTGATGAATTAAATTGAATTGGAGATGATTGAATAGGATAAGAATTAGGAAATAGATGTGTAATAAATAGTAAATTTTTAAAACTTCTACATCCAATTTGAAACAGCAATTGAGAAATCAGTGAATTTGCATTTAGAATATTGGAGAGAATTGTAAGAAGAGTCACCTGATATTGGTAAATTGCAATAATTGGGAGCATCAATAACATCATCAATTGATGAGACAGAACAACTTTATGATAAATTGATTAAAATAAATAGTATCCATTTAAAGACATTAGAAATATATGGAAATTTCTTAACTCATGTAGTTAATAATGACATTGAAGGAACTAGAATAATTGACAAATCAGATTAAATTAGTAAGAATCTAGAAATCAATCGAATTATTGATAGTGAGAAATTCAAATATGATTAAAATAGTGACACTTGCATAATCACATGTTCAGTTAATATTGAGAATTTAGGTGCTATTACTAATTGCAATAATGAAATACAAAAATTGTTAGGTTATAAAAAAGCTGATCTATTGAGATCAAATGTATCAAGAATTATGCCTAGAATTTTGGCAAGTGTTCATGATGATTTTATCAGGAACTTCATTTAAACAAGTTAAAGTAAAGTCTTAGGAATAGAGAGATAAGTATTTGCATTGAATAAAAGTGGATTCTTAGTTCCATGTTCCTTAATGATAAGAGTCTTACCAAATTTAAAGAATGGATTATAGATAGTAGGATTCTTAAAGAAAAGTGACAATACTGATAAATTTTTCTATCTCATGTTTGATGAATTATCACATTCTATACTAGGATTTAGTGAAACAGTTTATGATAAGTTCGGAGTCCCAGCAGGCGTTGCCAATGGTTAATTAGATCTACCAATTCTTGATATAGCACCTGAATTACTTGAGTTCTGTAAAAAACAAGGAGCCTTCAATTTTACAATTGACACTACGGGATTATCAAATAACTATCAGATTGCACAAGATGAAAGTCTAGATGATATATAATAACAAGAGGATTAATCTGCTTTTTATGGCATTTCAAGAGATCCATATGAATAAAATGTATTGCTGGAGAGAAAGGAATACAGTCAAATAAATGAAAAAACTGCAAATAACGATAAATCAATGTTTAATGAGAAAACTATCACACAAGACCCAAAATTAATTAATCACAAGTCTTTGAAATACAAAAGTGCTTTAGTAAAGGGAATACTCGTTGAAGATTCAGAATATGCCAATGCTAAAATTAAAATTATATAATTTATTGAAGAGTCTTAAGAAGAATTGTTAAATAAAGTAATTGAAGACAAGAAAGTAGAAGAGGAATAGCCAGATGTTATAGAGAATGTAATTTAGTCTGAAGTAAGTGGAGGTTCCGGTCTATCTGTGAATGAAGAAATTAGATAGATAAAAGAATTCAAAATATAGATGGGAGAGAAATCAGAAGCCTCTAAAATTATTATGTTAAACAGAATTATTGTTTTGTTATCCACAATTTTAATTGTTTTATCATCAGTTCAATTAGGATATCGATTACAACAAAATGATGAACTTTTAAATGGTCACTCAGCCATTACAATGGCCTATTATAGAACTGGAGTCATGGCTGATGTTGTATTCTATACCAGATATTTATAATTAATGGCTTATGGAAATGTTACATATGATCAGAGCTTTAGAGACAAAGTAAATTATTGTAAAATCTATTTTAGTTAAGTTTATAAGTCAATCAACTTAAGTCAACATAATATTCTCTTATAAAGTCTCGAATTGATATGGAAGCTAAGAAGAATGTATTTTCGGATACTACTATCAATGTGACTTACTTGTATGAGAATGTAGAACAGAATTACTCTAGCTCTTTAAGTGATGCTATATTTTAATTAGTCACATCTGCCTCTATTATAAGAAATGCATCCTTGACATCTTTCATTGATTCCAATAGTGTAATCTATTTATATTATCAAATAGACTGAAAATACTGTCAAAAATGTATTTTTCATAATAAGAAATGGATATCAATTACTGAGATAAGGATCTCAAGATGTTTCTGAAATCTACTACGACTTTTTTGTTTTTATTATTGGAGACTACGATTCAATCTTCTATGCGGTCTTATCATTAGCCATAGCATCTTTAGTTATTGCATAATTCTTTTTGATTCCAATTGTGTTAAAAGTTCACAATATCAATAATAAAGTCATGTCCTTATTTGGATTATTGACTTAGAAGGATATCAAAGAATTAGCTTAGAGAAGTGAATAATTCAAGAATACTTATCTATCGAACATGCAAAATACCATAAAGGAATAAGCTTAGGCAAAAGCAGAATTGGAGAAATTGTAAGAAAAGCAAAAGAAATTGAAGAACCAGGATTAGAATTTGAATGATCAATCAAATGTGATTGTAGAGATTAATAACGAGTAACCACAGCCATCAAATGATGCTCCATTATCATCTAATTAATAGCCTTTACCTTCATCTCTACCAACTCATAAGAATATCGACAAATTTCAATTACAATAGCAATAAGAACACGATGAATAACAAATATTAGACTCAGAAGCTATGCGATAATAGAAACTATTGAACTCTAAAGCTTCAAATACTTTTTCTGTATCTATGAAATTTGTTCTGATGATGATGATATTTATGGCCTACTTTATAGTTAATATCACTTTAGAACAATAGTTGACTGATCAATCTGTCATTATTTATAACCATCTGAAATATAGTTCAATCAGAGCTTATGACCTCAAATATTCAATTTATTTTACCATTGAATAAATCTTGTAGGCCACCAATTATAAAGAACAGTATATCGAAGCTTTGTATGAAAATGAAAGACTCTGTTTGGAATCTTTATAGTAATCCTTCTCATCAAAGTTTGATCCCTATATATCTCTCTATAATTAGTTCAACCTACAGAGCTTATGTCTACAATCATTTTCAACAGAACAATTTGTATTAGATGTAAATCAATGTTCTGTTCTATCTGGAGGCATATTGGATAGAGGTTTGAGAAATTCAATTACCTCCTTGGCTTTGTGGGCTAGCAATACTATATCCACAGACATTAAGATTTTAGATAGTTAATAGGTTAAAAACTATATAGAATAAGTTTACTATATCGATTAAGCCATAGTATATTTAAATGCTTAATACTCTTTAGGCATGGCAGATTTTGTGGATTCTGAACAATAAATAGAGAAAATTAAATTTTCTGTCTTTATCATAGGACTAGTATTCATATTTTTATTCATTTGGACACCTTATAACAAAGAAATGAGTCGATAAATTTGGAGAACAAAAGGTATGCTAAATATGATTCCATTTGAAATGATAAAGGCATAAGAGAGTTTGAAAAACGCATTTCTTAAGGGAAATATCATAGCAGCAGTTAAATGAATGAAAGATTAATTTATAAAAGTATTGAATTTATTTAGTTTACAAAAAGAAATTGAATTTCATAAATTATATTAATATAATATAATAATTTTGGTTTGTAATGATAATCTAATTATTGTTAAGTAGGTTGATATCTTATATTAATTATTCTATTCTTAAATTCGGGTGATGGATTCAATGCAATTAAAAAGGATATTTCCTTCTTTTCTATTTATGAATTATTTTAATAACAATAATATTATATTTTAAATGGAAATAGACTATTTTATATTATTAATTTGTCAAAATTTTATTTGATGAGCGAACAAAATAAGAACAAATAGAGCTTCATTTTTTTCCATGTTTTGGCTTTGAATTATCTTTGGACATATGGATTTTATGAATTATACGTAGAATTTGGAGATTATGCTCTTTATCTCATTGGTTTAAATTAAGAATTTGGTTATGATCCTGCTTCTTGTCTTTGACCTGAACTAGTATTTCTTTTATATGGAGTAGTTTGAACTCTAGGAGCTTTCAATTAATTTGGAGCAGTTTAGGGCCTACGAGTACCATTTTGTTGCTGGGATTTCTAGAGAAATTAATCTCTTGAGTCCATGAAGTTATTCATTTAAATCCTTTGTGGTTCTATCCAATATAATAAATGTTATATACATGCAGCATTATTATCAAACACCGATCCAGATTTAACACTATCACTTTTGGTTAACCTTTATTGTTGAGCACCCTACGACTAGGGTCTTTAAGGATATTAAGGCTAAATTTGTTGTAAACTAGATTTTTGCTAATCTTTTTAAGGTTATTAATTGGATTGATCCTATATATTCATAGATTATGATTTTTAAGCTTATTGTTAAAAAGAAGGGTCAATTTGTTTTGATGAACCTGACATTTTTATAATAGGTCTTGCATCTTATGGCAAAGATTTTGCTTTAGAGAATACTATTTTATCATATGGAGGAATATACATGGAAACTTTTTCAGCGAATTTCAACCTAATATATATCATAATCAATAAACTTGGATTCCTTTGGTTTGGGATCATGATCCTTGAATTCAGCTACTCCTTATGCTTGAGAATTCAAGTAAGTATTTCTAAGTAGAATTTCATCATTCTCGCCTTATGTGTAAATCTCATCCCAGTTATAGGTCTTAGCACCATATCCTTATTTCTACAATCTTGTTTCAACTGATAATAACTAATTAAAGAAGTGAGCTCTGATTTCTAAATCAGGTCTTCTATTATGCATATATTGAAGGGTTTTATAAAGAGTCCATCTATATTTCTTCATAAAATAAACGCATAATGTTGCCACTGATCTATTGTGTCCTTTAATTGATAAGACTATAACACTCTCCCCATTATTTAATGCATCATCTATAAATTTCATTATATTATTAATTATCTCATCTTATTGTAAAATGATCTAATAATTTATTTAATGGTTTCTTACTTATTAATCATTATCCATCCACGGGAATGACATATAAATAATGCCAATAGACTCCCAATGATTTGGTATTTATTTGGATGCACAGTTAATAATTCTTGAGACTTTATTAGTAACAATAAATTCCAGATCCTAATCTAACCATTATAGAATACCTATGCAGCGAATTAATCTCCTAAAAATAGCCCATCTTTAATTTTAATAGCCCCTATGTAATCATAATTCATTTCTTTAATATTAATTTAAATATAAACAACATTAAATAAATTCTTTATTATCATTCATAAGAAATTTAAAGCTAATCTTGAAACCATTCGTTTTGATGTAATTAATTTTCTTATAGAATATATCTGTATTATCAATTAAACTTGATAGCCTCAAAGAATTTTAAAATTTTCAGTGAGATAAATTTCTTATCTTTCAACTCTCAGACCACTTCAGTAAATTTAGAACTTATTAACTTTAAAAGAATATCACAACCTGGCACTAGTATGACATTTTCATTTCCTAAGTAATCATTTCATCTTCATTTCCTTTTCATGAACTAAAATAGAATAAAATGTTTGGTCAATATTTGTGTCTTTATATATCTAATCAATTATCAATATCCTTTTTATAACTTATCTTTTTTTCTTCTTGATCTTAAAAGAGTCTAATATTGAACCAAATAAATGCATTTCTATATATTAAGAACGGGCCAAATAAATTCTTCTTAATATTCTTAATCTACTTTAAAATAATGGATATAAGATGTTCTCACTTTATGATTTAGTGGATTAATTATTCCATTTTGAATTATTCTTACCTTATTACAATTATTTACATTATTTATGCTAATATTATTTTTCATAACCATATCTGACTAATTGAGATAAAGATTATAACAAACATAAAAATGATATAATAATAATATTCGTAATGAAAAATCTCTTAATGATGGAATAGAAATGAAAAATTTATTTTTATCCCAGGTAGACATATAATTATAATATAAATTGTTAATATAGAGGTGATTAATCAATCTTAATGATAGGAATTATATCGATACGTATAAAATTAAAACATTTCTTATATATTCCTTCTGGTAAAATCTTTTATGTTAGATATTTTCTTAGTGATAATTATGAATATCAAGAATATTAAATTATTTTATGAATTAATTTAATAAGGAAGAGTATTTATTTTTAGCTAAGATTGCTTAATAGACAGAAAGATTTAATGATATGATTGAATTTGTTAAATAAATCGATGAATTAGAGCTTACGAAAGAGGAACGTAATACTCTTCAATCTGCCTATAATAATGTGGTATTACAATTATTTATTAGCATTAGATTGGCATTAAAAGAGCTGAGTTAAGGGTACTTTAGGAAATCGAAGAAAGAGAATCAAATAGATAGAATGATGGATAAGTCTTACTATATATTAAGAATTATTTAATTAAAATAGAAAAAGAGTTGCAGTAGAAATGCCAGGAGATAATTATATTGGTCAGAGATAAATTATTATAAAATGCAAAATAGACTGAAAGCAAAGTGTTCTATTTAAAAATGATTGGCGATTATAATAGGTATTTGGCAGAATTCCATTTGGAGAATGATTAACACAATTCAATTGATCAAGCAAAAGAAGCTTATAAGTATTGATCATTTAGAATTAGAGAAGCTGTTCTTATGGCATAAACAAAATTGTCTCCAACATTGCCTTTGTATTTGAGGTTAATGCTAAATACTTCTGTATTCATTTGTGATATTCTATCCGATGTCGAGGGAGCCAGAGAATTAGCAAAAGAGTCTTATGAAAAAGGGATATTATTTTTGGACCATGTCAAAGAGGAGAATATCAAAGATTACTAATGTTTGTTATAATTGCTTAGTGATAACATACAACTTTGGGAATAGGAAACTAATTTAGAAATGAATATATTAAATTAATAATGAATAAATTTAGCAGAGAAGAATTTTTATTCTTAGCTAAAATTGCCTAACAAACAGAACGCTTTAATGATATGATTGAATTCATTAAGCATTTCTTGGATCAAGAATTAAACAAAGATGAAAGAAGCATATTATCTGCAGCCTATAAAAATGTGGTATCATCAAATTGCTTATTCAAATTTTTAGGTGGGTAATAAAAGAGCAGAATTGAGAGTTCTCACTGCCATTGAACAAAAGGAGTCAAGGAAATAAACTGATCAATACACATTAAATTATATAAGAAATTACAAACATAAAATAGAAGGAGAACTTAAGAATTCATGTGCAGAAATACTCAATTTAATCGATAGCACTCTTTATCCAAATGCAAAATAAGTAGATAGCAAAGTCTTTTATTTAAAGATGAAGGGAGATTATAATAGATATTTGGCAGAATTCTTATTAGATAATGAGTATCATGCTGCTGTTGAATAAGCGACACAGGCTTACAAGTAATTGAATTCTTATTCTTTCTAGAGAAGCTGATGTCCTGGCCAAGTCAAATTTATCAACTACATCTCCTATTAGACTGGGTTTACATCTTAATTAATCAGTATTTTATTATGAAATCCTATAAAATGCAACTGAAGCTATAAGAATAGCCAATGATGCATTTGAATAAGCTATTGCTTAAGTAGATACAGTCAATGAAGAGAATTATAAAGATTGCACTCTCATTATGTAATTATTAAGAGACAATTTGACTTTATGGAATAATCCTGAAGAAGAAGCTAACGACGATTAATGAATTATTATAAATCTATTACATTTAAATCAATTGTCATTTGATAAGGTATTCTCATTTAGAATTTTGCAGCAGCTGTCAGAATTTGGTCTAAACATATATATTTTTATACAACAAATCTTGATAAAATAATTACATATTCCTATGAACTATAATTTATATTTGTACAAATAAAGTCTAATAAAATTAGAACAATTTAAATAAAATAAACATGATTAAATGGAAGGAAAATTAAATATGTATATATTTTAATAAAGTCTTTAAACAAAATTTAATTTAGTTTATAATAAATTATAAATTGTAATAAACAACTGTCAACTGCTTGGAATATCAGATCATTTACTTGAATCCACATCTTTTCTAGCACTCTATATATGATGATTCATCTGTCGTAGAATTACTTGGTTTGATATTGAAATATTCCCTTTAATTCCTTTTTGCTCTATCTTCAGAAATCCATTTATTTTCACAATCAGTTACGCAATACGTATATTCAAATAACTAATCCTTATTTTCATCTTTTATGAAAAAACTCTTAATCTTCAAAGTAGCAGTGAATCTATCACCATTATAATTTATATAGTCTCTTTTAGATTCAAGTTATCCTGCTCTTCCAGAGAAAATCTTCTAGAATACCTTGAGTTATTCATCAGATGCATCCATATATGCGCTCAGGGGAATCAATTTGGTTTCATTACAGTAATTTATAAGCATTTCTTCAGAAATTGCTAATACTTAAAGCATTTTTTAATTAAATATCTTTTAAAATGTTCTCCACATTCCATTCTCATATATTTGTACGTAACATGCATATGGAGAACCTTTGATAGTTGATTCAAATTCAATCATTTCTGAGATTTAATTTATTTTAAATTTTGAGGGTTCAAGATTCCTTTATTCATAAAGGTGAAATGCTTCTGCTAATTATTCGTTTCTGGTTTTAAAGATTTAATAAAGCACATCTGATGGTGTAATAGGTCTATGTATCTCATCTAATGTTAAAATAGTAAGGTTTTTTCTTTTATCAATTCTAACTACTTTATAATTGTTTGAATGAGGGTCAATTGAAAGCGAACCCAAAGAGTATTCATTGTTTATGCTCATAGAGAATTGGATGTTTGTTTTGAGTTTAAATACATTTTTATTAGGTATTGTATAGGGAATATTCTTTACGATCAGAAGTAAGTCAGCTTTCCTTATATTTTTGTTTTGAGTGTTATTGAATTAATACGGTACAGTATATTAGTTCCTTCTTTTGTTCTTAATTATCCTTTTTTTCACCAATTATTTCCATTCTTCTCTTAAGCTTGAAATATTCCGAATGATTTAAGACATTTAATGAATTAAAGAACTAATTTAATTCTTAAAATACTTTAGACTAATAACCAATATTTAAATACGTGATTTATAGTACGTCAATATATATTTTATAATATTTAATGAATTATTTCCAATTTTTCAAGTTAAATTACTCTCAACTGAGTAATTTATTAATCACAGGTTATTAAAGACAGAATTATGACATCATTAATATAACTTATTATGATGTAATAGAACATGCTTTAAAGATTGGTTAGAATCAAAATTAAATAAATATATTTGTCACCAGAATTTATTTTTTAATAATTATTATTTTGATTAATATCAATCTACAACTGATTTTTTTAAGATTTAACTCATGGAATCCTTTAAATTAGAAAGTTTAGTTTTCTGACTTTGAACCTTTTGTTTTTATTCCTCAATTTATTTTTCAATTTGATTTAGTTTAGGTTACTTGTTTAACTTAGGCTTTAATCTTTATAGTAATCTGTCTGCGTCCTTTACTAATTTTTCAACATGCTTAATCTTCTTAGAATACCTGTCATTCTCACTTCTGAGCATATTGCATTCTTCAATGAGTTTTGTATTTTAATTGAAAATAGTGTTGATGTTGTCATCTCTGATCTTCTTTAATTTGTCTGAGGTTACTTTGATAAGGTACAACTTCTTAGTCATCCACTAGCCTTATCTTAACAATTCTTCATTTAATTCATTAGGTTTATCTTATTTCAATTTGATTATGTCCTTAATATCTTTATTGGAAATGGACTTCTTTTATGATAATTATTCGATTTCTTCATTTTCTTCTCCCTTATCATTAATAATTTATCTCAATTTCTAGGCTATGAGGCTGGGTGGATCATTACTTTTCATGATGGATAATAATGTCTAATTATGAATAAATGAGAATTCTTACACTTTCGTAATTTTTCAATTTATTAGCATTTAAGAAGATTTAAATTTCAGTTTTTTTTATTTATGTTTCAATGACCTCTAATTATCCTCGTAATTAAACTAATTGTTAATACTTCATTTCATTTTTATTTGATTCATCAATCAATTCTTTGAACATTACTCTTAATTTATACTATAAATAATAAACTATATATTACTTCTTTATCAGTAATTTTGTCAAGCAATAATTATTTATCATTTTGTAGACTTTTGATTTTCTGATCTAACATGTATCTGAAATTTTCCAAATTGATTTATTCATCCTTAGCAGCTTTACATGTTTCTTCTTTTGAATCAATAACTTATAATCTTTCAAGCAATTAATGTTACATCTTCAAAATATCATCATCATTTTTTAGATTTTCAAGTCTTATTTTATTGTGTTCGTCAAACAATTCATTGAATTGAATTTGCAAATCATCATCATCTTTTTTTAATTATTCAAATTGTGATGCTAATTCTCTATTCTCTTTTTCTAATTTCTCATTATCTTGAATAACTTTTGCAATTTGATTTTCTAAATCCTTTATTTATTCATCAATTTCCTTTTCATATTCAGCCTCTTCCTTCTCTAATCTCTAAATAAATGCAGTTCCATAATTTTTAGCATTATCAACAACACTAGAGTATTTGACTTAGACTTTTCTACATTTTTCATAGAATTATAATTTCATCTATTTCAATTCCTATTTATGTTGTTCTAATAATGATTGTAAATCATCTTTGTGTTGTTCTTATACTTTTTTAATTTCATCTTCAATTTCTTGATTTCTAGATTCCTCATATTCTATTTTTTCGATATGTTATTATTTAAGTTTATTAATTTCATTTTCATATTTGACTTTCTCTTCCATATATTAACTATATAATTGATCATAATCCTATTCTGATTTCTCAACAAATTTATCCTTTAAATTCTTATCATCAGACATAGTTTATTAAAATTTCTTAGTCATCTAATCAATTTTCTATTTAAATTAAGTCTCCAATTTAGCTGTTTCAATCCTTACAGTTTGTTCAGATTTGATGACTTCAAAGTTTTTTGATTATATTCTGTCGTTTTCCTTTTATATCTTAAATATGACTTCTAAATAAAGATCATTCGAGACTGCAGCCATCCTTTGTCTTTCTTCTGAAATCTCACTTTTGGATCTCAACAAACAGACTGATCCATCCTCACATCCTGTAAAAATATATTAACCATCATAATCAATACAAGTGATAGCAGTTGCATGAACTGCAATTTCATAGCATTCAGGTATTTTATACATAGTTTCATTTTTTTAATTGATTAATTCCAATTCCAAATTATCCTCATCTCTAATTGGATATATTCTCACAGTTCCTTTAGAAGTACCTGCAATAATATGTTAATCAGTCATCAATAATTTGGTTAGATAGCAATCAGTTACATGAAATTCAGTAATTAATTTGAAATGTTTATCGAAAATCACCATTAATTTCTCATTAGTACAACCAATAAAATATTCATCGTATTAGATTGAATTAAAAATTCCTTATTCTTAATGTTTTTGCTCTCTAATAACATTATTATTTAGTTCTGCTAAATTGTAACAATACACATATCCACTTGTACAAGTACTAACTATGTATTGATCATTTAGAGATATGGCAATATCTTTAATAGGTGAATTATGAAACTCAAATTGATGAATGAGTTCATAATAAATGGCATCATAAATGTATACGTTTGTTTTTTCATTAGTAATAAGCATATGGCCACCATGACTATACTTAACAATCTTACAGTTGTTTAAGGTGACATCCTTAAGTGGGAAGAAACCTTCATTCAGGATGGCAAATACCTTAAACCCATTGGTAAATCCAACGGCAACAAATAAGCCAAATGGATGCATAGAAGCACAAACTGGTTCTTCTTTGAAATATTTGCTTAAGACTCCTTTTTTGTCATTGTTTTCATTTTGATAATAATTCCAAATTTTAACAGAGTTATCTTCCGAACAAGTAACAAACACTTATTTAATTTTAGCATGTGAGATAGAATTAACTCTTTTGTTATGAAATCCTGCAGCAAAGAATGGTTAGATGGGACTAACTTCAGTATCCATTTGCGCAGTATTCAAAATACTATAATACAATTGATTGCCAAATAAACTGATAATAGAGATGAGTTGATCACCACTATTAGAGATTTGAATAACTTTATGTTCTCCTCGATTGCTCTTCATATTAAAAGACATGGCACTAACAATATTATAATTTTTATCAAATTCATAAATGCACACCGCTCCTTTTGTACCTCCTAAAATGAATCCTTTTTTAGTAGTTGATAGACATTAGAATTCCAATTATTGTTAAGTCATTATTGTTGTATTTTGAGTTAATTTAGTTTGATTATTCATTACAATTTACCCTACTTTATCTTTAATAACATCTTCAAGTGCAGAATTAATACCAATCACATCGTCATTATCTTCCGCATTGAAATCCTAGACAGGTGCATCAATGAAATTTAGATTTTGAGGATCAATGTCAATAGGTTTTTTGAAATGGTCATTAATTAGAATAAGAATCTTATTGCCAGCTGCTAATAAGACTAACAAAGCCTAATTTGCTGAGAGCATGACCCATCCATGATCTAAGAATTTGTTCTCCTTTTCTATTTTCAGTGGAATCAAAGTTTCGTGGGTTTCTTTGATTTGTTTTTCTTAGAATTGCATTTCCCATAATCTTAAATAATTATGACCAGATAACAAAATGTGTTTGTGTTTCAAGGGATGAAAACTAAATTTATCGAAAGGTGCTTTAACGAAGGCTGAAGCCAAGAGTCTTTCCTTTTCATAATTCCAAATTTAGATTTAATTTGATATTTGCAATCCGCAATATTACTTCTCTACATTCAATTGAATTAATGTGATAGCTCCTTTGCATTACAATGAGATAGTTCTTATTTTATCCTTTATTATAATAACTAAATTCGATGATTATTCTAAGTGTTCACCAACAGCAATCATTAAACCATCCTTTCTACTTGCAGCAGCAATTGCAGTCACATTTTTATATCTTCCTGGTATAAATTACTATTATCCTGTCTCTACATTCTGAACAATAATCATATTAGATGCATAAAACACAATTAGATCTACAAATTAATATAACTTCCAATACTTCCTTGTATGAATGTCAACTGATTGCTGATTGGTCTATCTGCTATTCCACAAACCTAATCCAAATAGAATTGAGGCAATGGAGTCTTGACAATTTTCTTATTTCTTTCATCAATGATGCTTTTCAGTGCTATTCTGTTCTTCTCATCCTCATATGTATTCATTTTATAATATAATTAAAAACTTAATAAATTTGTTATTTACTCTATCGTAATTCCTTACTCGTTACTAATATTCTTTGTATTCAACTAATAAATGTAATTATTGGATTGTGCAGATCTCACATAAGAGTCAGAGACCTTCGTTGATTAGGTCCAAATTGTATAATCATATTATATATATATTCGATAAAATCTTAATTAAATATATTTAATTAAAAATGGGAGCAGCTATTGCAGTAAGAAATCGACATTGGTGGTTCAGAGGATTGTATGATGATTATATTGGAAGAGAAACAAGACTTTCATTTGGTTTAGCAGCAGTTATTTGGATTCCTCATTATGTGTATGAATGATTATATCACATTTAGCTACGGAGTCTATTTGAATAGAACAATTGAAACAAATACATCCCATAAGATCTATTCAATGGAAGTGGGACCTTCTAGAAATAGGTTGACACATTCAATGATCTTTGAACAATTTGAAATGGTGTTGGAAAATTGGGAAGAACTCAATAAAGAGTATGCAGAGAAAGGGAAAAAGATGCTCTAAGAATGATAATGGCATTATTATATATTAATATAAATACAAAACAAAATATTGATATAATAATATAATAAATAATATTTGATAAGGAGAAAATAAAATTTTTATTTTTAGACAAAATAAGATTTATATGTTTTGTCTGTTTATCCAATCAATACCAATACCAGAGAATAGTGATCTGATCATAAAAACATTTTCATAGAAATACAAGAACATTACCATTTCCAATCAATTGAGCCAACAAATGATGAAATAAGGAATTTAACTCAAGATAAATTAATTACTAATATATATATATATATAACAATGAAACATAAAAAGCAAATAACATTACGATCAGCAAATCATTCTAGATAATCATCCATATCATCTCAGGGTTCAGAAAGCTCAAAGAATAAATTTAATGGATGCTACATACAAATATCGCCCAGATTTGATGCCAATAATGGTTTGGCTTTCAAAAATGAACTAAAAGAAGTGAAAATAACATCTCCCAAACACGAAGGCATCTCCACACATCAGGAAATTATACCCCATCATAGAAAATCCGTATAATCCATGAGAGAGGATCCTTTAAAAAAGAGCTAGTTTAGCAAAGTTGTCCACACAATCGATGAATTAAAGTGATTTTATACAATGTAGTATTATAATTAACTATTATATTTCACATTATTCTATGTTTGTAATTTTACAGACTAAAAAAATCTAAGTCTGTTGTAAAAGCTCGTCCCAAGACGCTTGTTGGCTATTTTACTTATTTTATAAAATGATCAGTTAAACTTTCTTAAAACTTAGGTTCTACATTTTCCAATAATTCGAACAAGCATTTTGGTCTAATTTATTTTTGATTATTTACATCGAAGTTTTCAATCCACTTGCTTTACGAGCACAACCAACAACTGAAACTGTCAATTCCGCTGGATCCTTATCCAAATAAGAACCATCCTTTAATACTGAAACACATAATCTTATTAACTATTCTTGAACCTTCTCATTTATCTATTTAGGTCCTGTAGTAGGCTATTTAAAGACTGTATCCAAATGTTCTTTGAATATATCTTATTTGATCTATTGATTGGTTTATTGCTAAAGAATATTGGTGCTTTTCTCTTTCAGGATGTTCTCTGATTGGGTCAATTCATCCTATTGATAGACTATTCCCAAAGAGATCACTGCCTCGGCCCAATCAATTAAAGTAGTGCATTGCAGATTCCAATTCAACTACTTAATGATTTGACACTCGCATTTTCTGAAATCCAAAGTTGCATAAGGTAAATACGTATATCTTCTTAGTTTACTTATGAAAGGGATTCTTTCATCTAATTCAATGGATTTGGCTAAAGTATTAAGACATGGATACCTGCCAACATAAGACATGTAGCACCATACAATCGGTATTAAACAGGGTCCACTTTCTTTTATGATACAAAATAATCTAAAAATTGGACTGCTAGAAATAAAGAATTCATTGAGAGTTTTAGTTTTTCACTCCATTCTATCATGTAATCTATTAGAGATAAGCGTTGCTATCAAATTTAAGTGATGAATACTTTTTAATATTCACTAGGCAATGATCCTATTGGAACTGCTCGATTCCATTATTTCTTAAGATTTTGTATTGGATTCAGATAACCTGGGAAACAAAAGTTCATAGCCTTGATTGCAACACTACCATCTTCTGGCATATGAATTCCGCATGATTTACAAAAGAACTTATTATTAAAAGGAATAAGATCAATATGCTGACACTGATTTTGTTAGTAATCCATTTAACGATTAAATTTTATTATTAAATTTATCATTCTATAAAATAATTTTCTTACAATAAGTACTAAATTCCTAGTATATATATTTTGTTCATAAATAATTGATTATAACAATATTATTGATATAAAATAAATTATGAATGAAATTTAAAGCAGATATGAATTAATAAGATTTTTGGGACATGGAAAAACCTGTATGTACTCAACATAAATAAATTTAAGGGTTGTTTTAGGAAAGTCAAAGATGGATAATAAAGAATATGCAATTAAGTTTTATAAACCGATTTACATAAATCAAAATAAAGTTGATGGTAAAACTTATTGTTTTGGGAATGAACTCAACTTTTTAAATTACATAGAATACAGAATATCAATGGGCGAATCGTCTATTTATGACTTTAAATATATCAATAGATATAAGTATTTTAAATGCATTAACCCTATAGGGATAGCCTCTCAATCTTGGAAAATAATGCTGTGATGCACGTCTTAGTTTTAGAGTTCGCTAGAAATGGTACATTATGAAAAATGAAATTAAATAGGTAGTTTAGACGATTTTATTTATAACAATAATTGCCTTCCAGATTTTCTAGGTTATATATACATCAAATAACTGGCCACAGGTAAAATATCGAAAACATAGTAGCAATTCAAACAGTACATGGTTTATAATATGCTCATAAGGACATAAAACCCGATAACGTACTTTTAGACGAAAACTTTAATCTAAAATTAGGTGACTTTGGCTTAACAGACAACAAAGCTGAAGCAAATGATGGAGTGGGAACTGTATCTTATATGGCACCAGAAGTAGGTACTGGGAAGTTTTATCTTACATAAAAGGCTGATATTTTTTCATTAGGATCCTCATTTATTGAGATTAAAACAGGTGTAAATCCATTTTCGAATGTATTAATTTTATATATATACAAGAACGATCGTGAATAAGTATATCAGGATCTCCTATAATAACCCGAAAAATTTTGGACTAATTTTGAGTAACATCTTAAAAAAGAAAAAAATTTAACATTACATATCGAGAAAGAATTTAAAATTCTAATACAAAATATGCTTAATGATGTTCCAGAAAAAAGACCAAGTATAGATTAGGTGTTGAGTAGCAGTTATTTGAATTTATATCAAACTACTGAAGACTAAATAATTACATATATGTAGCAACATTTGCAACTAAAGTAAATTATTAACATTAGATTTTAGGGCTCTTTATGAGATAGATTTAACTAAGGTTTAAGGGGCAAACGGCTAGGCTATTTCTGAAACAATGGAAATAGAATAAGTAGGTTTGAACGAGTTTAGGTTTAGAAATATTAATAAAGCTAAGAACTTCCAAAAGAATGTAACGAACTTCTTCAAAAAAATTATGATAGAAAGTGAGAACATAGTATTTGAGACAAATGAGACATTGGATGATGTTATGAAATCTAATATTGATATAAAAGAGCAACAAGGAAGATAGCTTAGCAAATTTTTGATTAGAGATTTAGACAAAACTTGTTAATTTGGAGTGATATTAGAATTAATGGTTGATGTAGTAAACCTATACATCATTGATGTTAAAGGAGCAAGAAAAAATTTGAATATTTCAAAAAAATATTTAAGGGATTCATTAAGGAAGAAGATGAAAAAAGTAGAAACACAAGATATTTGATCCAAATGTTATATTTATAATATATCAATAAATCTATCACTTTTATTCCTTATGACAATAAATAGCTATCATTTCTTATTAATTGATATTGCAAATTAGTTATGCCTCTGATACCCCTGGAGGAATAACATAAATTGTAAATGCTTCACTTTGAATCACACCAGCCCGTTACTAAATTGCAATTAATTAATACCTTATTTCTTAAGTATTGCACATATTCAGTGAATTTTGGAAAGTCAGTCTCTTGAGCAGGACTAAATATTAAAATGGCTGATTGTTCTTATCCTGCTCTCTGATAGGCATCTTAATAAGTGCATTTATAACTCATTTCTAAATTAGACGGCAAGTTGACTAAATAATTAATCAATAATACTCTTCTTGATATCCATGTTAGTTTTGTGCATCCTTGCATCAATTCCAACGCGGTGTTATTTGCCTCTATTCATATAACCGCACCAAAATGGCGAATTGATTTCGTCTTGCTTCATAGTCGGAGGAGGAATGATCATATCCATTGAGTATTGCTATGGTAAATAACTTTGAGTCTAAGTTTAAGGATTTAGCTATTAGTAATATTGTAATTGTGGAGGAGGCTGCTAAGTTTAAGGAACTGGTTGAGGTTATGGTCTGAATTGAGGTTGAACAGAAGTTTGAGCAGGAATTTAAAGTTATTGCTATTGATTTTTCATGAACATCATTTGCTATTAGTTTTGTTGTTATTAAGGATATAACATAGGTATTTAGTTGTAGTCATATATATTTTGTAGATTGGTAGGGGCTATATGTTATTGAGGTAGAGGTTAATTTTGAAATGGAGCCAACATCTATACTTATTATGGCATTTATCTAGATACCATCTATTGATGCATAGGTATTTATTAATTAACTTGCATGTAATCTGATTATAAAATAAACGGATTACCCATTGCATATGATTATTGCATGAACATATTATTTTGTCTTTTGGTTTATACATTAGCTGGATAATTGGATAAGATGGCCACATCACACTTTTTATCACCCAATATTTGTATTTTATATCTGCAGAATTTCCTTCTGGCTTTTTTGCAATCCTTTAAAAAGGAGAACTCTATTAAGACATAGGATCTCAATTAAGGAGAATCTGGTTGGAAATGTTGGATTCCTTTAACTTCACCTCCGAACTTCTCAGCCATTTTTTTCAAGAACTTTTCATCCAAAACATAATTTTAATTTGGAGGAAATCCAATGAACATAACTGGCCACATTTCTTCCTCCTTTATAGGTATTATTATATAAAATTACTCGTTCACTATCTTCAGCATTGCCTACAATCTGAACTCTTCGAAATGGATCAGACTAATAGATTTTGACTTGTCCTGCACTCTCCAATAGTTCTGCTATCAAGGATGAGTTTTGCATAGCTTAGAGGACTGATTCTAGTCTCTTGAATTTCACATAGGCATAATTGACCAATTGCTTTGGAACAATGTCAATCCTCTCTACAATGCCATAGGCAGAAAAGATCCTTTGTATGTCTGCAGAAATCTTGGATTGAGGTATTCCAGATATAAACAACTCTCTTACATACACATGATGAGTTATTTGATATTGCTACTATGGCTACTTTATTTTTTAGACATTAACATACTTATTAATAAATTAGATGAGACTACAAATCGCCACCTGAAAATACTATCTCTGCAATGTCCTTATTCTCAACCTTAACAAGAGCACTTCTAGGTGGCAATTTAGAAGAAGATGATTCAGATGAACTAGAATGTTTACGCTTTTTTTATTTTTTTTATTTTTTAGCAGATCTTGCTCTTGAAGAATCAGATGAGGACGATGATTCCGATTTCTTCTTCTTTTATTAATTAACAAATACAACTTTCTTTTTTGGTTTAGACTTATCCTTCTTTAATCTCTCCTTTGATTTCTCTTTCTTCTTCACCTTGTCATCCTTCTTCTTATCAGACTTCTAATGACCGGCACCAGCAGAATCCTTAAGAAAGAATACAAAAACGTAGAAGCATACATCATTTTTATCTTTACTAAAAGCAACTGTCCACGTGGTTCCCAAGGGACTGTTTTGTTTCAACTCCGTGACAGCATTTTAAGCTCCATCACCATCGCACATAAGAACAAACCCATAGCAGTAATCTTTTAGTGGTTACTTATTTAAATATATATAAAAAAGTAAACCCCTTAACTATTTTTGCGAATGATCTTAACTTCTTTAATTTAACCATATTTGGAGAACACACGATGCAATGTCTCTTCTGTAATCTACAGAGGAAGGTTTCCAATGTGCAATTTGCAATTTTTGTTCTTCTCCATATTCTTCTCGGGTGGTATAGAAGGCGTGAAGAATTGATTCCGAGGAAGATCTAAAAGAGGGAGATAAATCAAAAAAGAAAATTATTACCATCCTATTAATGTTAATTCCAAGCATATTCATCATTCGACGGATTCACTAAGAATAAAAAAATCAACACTTTGTAATATATGAGAGGGATGTGAGAGAAGAAGGAGGAGATATTACTTTTTCTAATGCTAGTTGGAGTTAGTTTAATAATTTAAATATTAAATATCTCAAATATTTTATCGATGAATTTATATATTAAAAATAAGCAAACATTTAATTATTCCTATAGAATACCATTTAAATCTACCCTTGATTTAGTAAAATACCAAACAAAGTCTCGTAAAATTATATCCAGCATTTTTGTAGGTTCTATATTTATCTCTCCATTTAAGTTTAAGTGGATCCCTTCATACCTAATCTAGAATTTGAAATTATTTCTTATACAGTCACACAGAATTTAGTCAAACATTATTCAACTAACATCTTTGAAGTAATTATCTGAATCCCTCAAGGAATTCTACTTATTTTTAATCTTATTAGCTATTATAAATAGGTTCATCTTACTTGATTTTTCATCATAGACATCATTATTTAAACCTTCTTCTAAGACATCTGTTAGTTCTCATAACATACTCTCCCCATTTGCCCTGGAACATTAACTTTATTTAGTATTTATTTTATCAGTTTGATAAAGAGAATCAGCTTTAATTTATTATAACCTCAATCTTCTTCTTCTGATGTAACTTCATATCGCTTTCTTTGGCAGAGTTTATCAATATATAGTTCTTGGTTAAACCTAAATTTCTTCCTCTGTTTCATAATTCAGTTTAACTTTGTTATTCAATTCAACTACTTCAGTTGTTTCAATACGATCTACTCCTATCATTTCAGTTTATTCTATCCTTTTTTTGGTTTACATAATAATGTTTCTCAGAACATATATTTAATTCAGTAAAGATTACTATTATTTAAGTGCTAATTTCTTATTCTGAACTCACAATTCGCTTCTTTTTTCATCTTCTCCCCCATTTCCTTCTTTTCTCCTAATGATTCATTCTATTATTCATTTCTTGTATTAGCTAATGAATTGAATTTTAATAATTAATTTCTATAGCACCATTTTATGAAATAGTATTCAATCAAATTTAGTTTGACAATCCATTCGATTTCAGATGGGAAAGGAAACTGATCATGTAGCTATAACTTAAAAGATAGTCATTAAAATTTAATAACTTTAACTTTAAGCATTTCTAAAGAAGAATTAAAATAAGGGAACAATTTATTATTGCATCATGTTTATCTTCCAATACCTACTAACCTCAAATTCTAATTAATTTAAGTAAATAGTTTAGCCAATTATAGTTTACTAATGACTTAATTTTCAATTTTTATGAATTTAAAAAAGGATATAAATAATTTTAGTTCTCCAATATATCCTGCAATTATAAAATGGAATCAGAGTAAGGCTTCTAACAGCCATTATAGGAAGTGTACATCATATCGTATTATTTCCTCTAAACTAATGGACAATGATACAATACTTATAAGATAACAATTATCTAAAATTATTTTATTATTATTAATAATTTGATGAATCATTAATCTGTCCACTTAATCCAGAAATATGCTAAGAATCCATGGCATCATGTACATTATGGTAATGATAGTCCAAAGTAAATATATCAATAACAATAGAATTGTCAATGCTATCATAGAAATCACAAAAGGCAGCAAAGCTAAATATGAATTGGATAAGGATAGTGGTCTTTTGAAATTGGATAGAGTCTTATTTTCATCTGTTCATTATCCTGCCAATTACGGTTTCATCCCATAAACTTATTGTGATGATAAAGATCCTTTGGATATATTAGTGTTATGTTAAGTTGAAATAGAACCAATGTGTTTAGTGGAGGCTCGAGTGATCGGAGTCATGCATATGGTTGATTAGGGAGAAATAGATGATAAGATAATTGCCGTAGCCAAAAATGATGCATCCTATTAGGGAATTAATGATTTAAAGGATATTCCTTTGCATACTACTCTAGAAATCCAAAGGTTCTTTGAAGATTACAAGAAACTTGAACATAAACATGTAGTTGTTGAAGAATTCAAAGGAAAAGAAGATGCCTACAAAATTATCGAAGAAAGCATTAAACTTTATGAAGAGAAGTTCTTGAAGAATTTATGATATTCTGAGTATCAATCATATATAAATAAAGTTGATATCATTATACATATATAATTAAGCCAACACAATCAATTTTTCAATAATCCATGCTTTTTCCATACTTGTCTGAAGAATTCAATATCCTCAGCGCTTCCAACAGCTATTTCACTCTTTTATTCATATCCACTAATCACTGTATCTAATACTGAAGACTACCCATTGAATGATTTCCCACCAGCCTTTTCGATTAAAAATGATAATGGAGCACATTCATATAAATATCTTAATTTACAAGGATTCTTGGCATCCCCAAAAAGAGAAAAAACCCCAATCTCTTTCAAGAATATTTAACAGATATCTGGAGCCATTCCACCTGTATATCTCAAAGTGTATCCATTATGAAAATAATACTCAAGCACTTCTCGATAAGCTTCATGATTAATTATACTTCTCAGATTCCCAGGACTAAAAATGTTTCCCTTCTATTTTATTTGTATGTTGCCTTTTGTCAATTCCCAATGTCCCTGTTTATCGCTGTCTAAACTTTTACTAAATTATTAATACCAAATAAAGTGTATTCCTAAACCTTATCTTCTTTTTGATTATAAATGATTACAGTTGTTCTACTCCCGTACAAACAACAACAAGCAGATACTATATCCCTTCCACTCTTCCCTATTAAAAGACTATCATCTGATTTCCAAATGGCCGCTATGGTACCAACTGTAAAATTGGTGCCAATTATTGAACTTCCATCCAATGGATCAAATGTGACAATATATCTACCTCCTTCACATTGTTGTTTCATCTACACTATAATCATTCTTCTTACTTCAGGACTCTCTTCATTTGCACTATGACTCACAAATCCTGATTTCTATAATTCCCTATTGATATTCACTTCACACTAGATGTCAGACTCTAATTGATGATCTCCAAAATTATTCTGCGTTTATGTTTAATTGCCTCCTCCTGAACAATGTCGCAATACTCGCGAATTCTCAGTGAATGCTTATAACAAAGCCGAACACACTCCTGATAGCTCTGGGTCATCACTTAATTATAATTTAATTGATTGCATTATCTATTTATAATATTCAATTCTATATTAATATTCTGAAAATTACATTACATTTCACTAAAAGTCAAATTATCCTTAATTTATAGCAAACCTTTAAGCAACAATTAATTCATAGTTAAATAATAAAAATAACCATGAAATCAAAGTTTTTGAAGAATTTACCCAAGAAGCTAATCTTCAATTTTTATTTATGCATTTAATTATATAGCAAAGTAGTCTACTAATTCCCTAGGAATTTTAATTTCTAATCATTATTTATTCATTTTAGGATCAATTGAGAGTTATCCTAAGAAAAACTTTTTAATTTTTCCTTTCTACAAATGATTTTAGAATTGTAGATGATAACAATTTAATATCATTTAAGGAATCAAATTACTTTTACTAATTTTATTCAATCTTATATCAATTTAATAAGTCAAATAATTAATATCATCCAATTATCAAATATTCATTTTAAATTTAATTAATATAAACCTGTAAATAATATATTGATTTCTAGGAGATAATTTATTATTCGCCTTATATATTTATATCATCCGAATCCATTTTGGAAGAAATAGTATTTTAAATAGATAAATATTCTTTTCATAATTTTACTTCCAAAAAATTCCTAATAAATAATTCTCTAAAATGATTTAATATCATTCAGCTGATGATTTATTTAAATAATCTATTCAAAATATCATCATCATTTAGACTCTTATCAAACCTACAAACAGTTATCTCAAGATCTTTAAATTTGAATGATATTTCAAAGTGTCTTGCAAATAGATATATAAATTAATGTCTCATTTGCCAATTTAATTTCTAATAAAGAAGATAGGTCTTTCATAACTATGATTTGATCTCTTAATAATCATCGATGATGGAATACACCCTTATGTTGCTGCAATAATTTGAATTTAAATTAACTACATATATATATAATATTAATTAAAAATACAATGTAAAATTTAACATATAATACACTCCATTTGCCGTCAAGTCCACAAACTCCTTCCACTCCCACCTTTGACTAGTTAGATTAAGAACAAAGTTCTAAACATACTTCGCGTAGAACTCTTTTCGATTTAGAAGAAGAATACATCATTCACAAGAACCCTATCTTTAAAAGAAGGTTGAAGAGTAAACAGAATACTTAGATCGACTATACTACCTTTTTAGGCCGTAATTTATTAGAAAACGAATTTGAATCAATGTGATTGTACATCGATCATAAATGATATATAATTACACTTCCTACTCAAAATATAAATCAAATATCTTAATTATTATTAAATTTAGTATTACCTACCCATATAAATATATATTTATTAAAACAATTATTATTTTTATCTTAGATACCTATGATATTTAATAACCAATTGGCAATTAATAGAGAACTGAAGGAAACACCAATATTTTACAAAAACTGATTTTATCAAAATTTTTCTCCTTTTTATTTATTTATTAAAAACCAAATAAATTCTAAATCATTATTTTTTAGTTTATTTTAATGCTCCTTTCTTTGGAGGCTTTTTAAATGCCCAATCAACTTGAACTTTCTTACCACATATACCCTCTGATTTATTGATCCCATTAATTGCATCAGAAGCATGAGTGTATTCATTAAATTTCAACTAATGCATAACTATAACTTTTAATTAGGTATTGTACCCTTTCACAAATCCAGTTCTTCTGTCTAGATTCAAATGTAGATTTTTTATTGGTCCATATTTACTGAATGCATCAAATACATCATCTTCTTGGGCCTCTTCATGTATGCCTTTCACAATGACGATCCAACCTTCAATAGCTAGAAATTAGATTTTGGTGATTACATTTCATTGGTCCTGGACCATCGTCACTTTCTAAAGATTGAAAATTGCCAGCATCGCCTTTGTATCTATCTGCATTATCATTGGTTTATTTTTTAGACATTAATTAAAATAATAACAGAAAAAGAATGGTACTCAGTGTATATTCGATAGTGCCAGTGACTAAACTATCCCTTGAATATAATTTTAGCAAAGGCTACTTAAGAGTGTTCAAAAATCCCAAGTCAGCCAAATTCTTATTGTTAATTGAATAATTAGCAATATGGAAGTAAATTTTAATGCTGACTGAGATTTATGAATATTTAGAAAAAAATCCATTTCATAATAAAGAAACCCTTAAGATCTATTATTTTCGTCATACCGTATATTAATTAAGATGTTTGATTTTTAAATTAAAAGCAGGTCTAAGTCCTCACATGGCAATGTAGATATTTTATAAGAAAACATCAATTTGTTTGGAGGGGTTTGCATTAGCTTACAAACAACTCGGTAAGAAGATGTTAATAGTGAAGGCAGGGTTTAGATTTGTAAGAATGAATTATAAAAAAAATTATTATCCAAAAGAAATTGGAAAAGGATCTAAAGAATTAGTTTATATTGTAGAAGAGCATTAATAGTATGGATTCATCAATTATTCTGGCGAAGTACAATATGGAGAATTGGATATTTAAATAACATTAAAGGCATGCTCTGTTTGTTTAATAGCAAAAGTAGATTTAGCCAACAATATATTTTGTAGACATAGATATTGTGAACATTGTCTAAAGATTTATTTTAGAAATAAGTACTCTATAGTCTGTCCAGTATTCGGATGCAATGCAAAATTAATCAGAAGATTGATTACTTTGAAAAATCAAACTTAAAAGTTCAGACCTTCATCAGCAGAAAGAGAGAAAAAGTAGCCTAAAATCTAAGATGCAGAACCAAATGCAGCCACTTTATTAATGGATCCAAACTGGCCTCCTAAATTTGTTGGTTCTAATCAACCTAATTATTTGGAATCTTAATTTATTTAATTAAGAAAAATTATCGAGTATCAATGCGGCGAAAAACAATTTACTCAAGATGACATTAAAAACAACAATAATTTGTGTTCTCAATGTTTAATGACATTATAAGATGCCCAAGTTAAGGCTAGATGTAATAGACACTATGTCTGCATACAATGCACATTGAACGCTTAATAGACATGTTTACTTTGTTGATTGATAATTCATAACTATTATTATTATTATATACTAATAATTTGATTATCATCTCCTGGATGGGTTCTTTGTTTGATCCTATTTGATTTTTTTAAGTATCAAACTGTAAGTATCAGTATCTTGAAATTACAAAAGATAGGCAACTTCTCTCTTGAGATTTTTAGCTGGAAAAGACTTATAATTCTATAATATCTAATTTATTGATTGTTATTTCTATTTTTTCTATTTTGAATTAGATTTTATATTCATTTTCTATTTCGATTTAGTTATCTACTGTTCCTTCTCAATTTAGTTTAGATTTTCACCAGATTCATATTCGCTACTTTATAAATACTCGCTACTGCTAGAATAGGGTGATGGTGAAAATTCTTAGTCAATCTCCTATCTTATTTGATATGAAGAGTATTTACTTCTTAATTTTCTTTGTGATCTACTTAGTTTTCGATTACAGTTTGCTATTCTTTTGAATATTCTTTTGATTCTTGCTTTAATTTGATTTGATGTACTCATTCCACATAAGAATATCTTATTCTAATATTTTCCATTTCATTTTCTCCCTCCTCAATATCGAAGAGCACAACAATCTAAGATTTTCAAAATCAAGCCTTATAGTTTACATATCTCTAAAGTTGCTTAATTGTTATTTGACTATTGATTAACCAGTTCTCTAAAAGATAAAAAGAGAATCTACTTATAATTAACTTGGCTTCCGTTTATATATCTACTCCTCAGTCAAAGGTCTAACATATTTCTCAAAAATTGAATCTTTGGTTAATTACTCAAGATCTCCACCACAAATTGTAAATAAATCTTTCAACTTGATCATAATATCATTCCTCTGGCATCTCGAACAAAAACAAATTGCCTATTTATTTTGATTATTGGGATATACTTAACAAAAGGGACATACCCAATCCGTCTTCTAAGCAACCTCTTCGATTTTAATATCATAGTTCTACTTCAAGCACATTCTACAGAACTTCCTTTGACATATTAATTCGCCATCTAATTATTTGATAGATTGATACTTTTCTTTGAATAAATACTATAGGCTGTTTTCTTTCTATTTGGTACTTATCTTCGACTTGCTATCCCTTCATCATCAACTTAAATTATTATCGAAACTGATACTCTATGAAAATATATATGAATCAGTTATTGATGAATTTATGATTGGCAATCCCATAGTTCCACTTCGATAATTACAAGATATTAAGTATTCTTCCCTAAATAGCATTTTGCAATGATGACATGCTTCATAACGAGATAAGTTGGTATCATTCTCATTTTAAGATGTTATTTTAATCTCTTTTGTAAGGTTTTTATTTATTAAAGGATTTATTTTCTATCTATTATGTTACACTTAGTTAATCCCAATGAACTTTAATATATATTTGTAATTACATTTTAAGCGATGTGAGAATACTTAGTCTTTTGAGGAATATTGTAAAACTTAAATAAAGATGTATCTCTTAATTTATCCAATTCATACATTATGTCTTCCTCAATATTCACATTATTTGAATTTAAGGATGATTCAAATGCAACGCAAAATGTGAACCCATTAGCTGAATGAGTCGAACCAACCACTTTAACGATGGATTCAGCAGTTTATATATAATCCAATTATTCTAAACTCTTTCTTAGATAGATGAGCAAAGCTTCGTTGTTGTAAATAATTTAGCTTTTACTTAACCCATTGTTATTACGTGGTTACTTATAAATATGAACCTAAGTGCCAAAGACGTTTAATGGTTAGTCTGACTTAATTTTTTAATTTAAATTTTATAAATCTTTTTTATTTTATTTGTTGATTAGCTATAATTCTGAAGAATACTCTTAAAGCTATTGAAATATTTCATCCTTTTAATCAGTTCTTAATTCTATTTATTCATTCAACTTATCCAATAATTTGTCTAATTAAGCATTTTCTTAAATTAACGAACTTTTATTAATAAATTAATACCTAATGTTTTATTATTATTTAAATTTGACCATGGATTTCTATTTCATATAATATATTTTATCAATCTGAGGTATTTTTAAATCTTTGGCTTTGTGAATAAGTCCACTTAATCTAATATGCTTTAAAATATTTTCATTATAAGTAGAATTTTCTGATTTCAATTGCTACTTATTTAAGATTTGCCTGGCTTAATAAAACTTATAATCTGTATATTTCACAGGAAATTCAGTATATAAGACGTCTTCATTTATAGCCTTGAGATACTCAAGTCGCTCTTATTCTGGTTCATCAATTTTCTTGAAGTATACTTAATTGATGTGTCTCCAAAAATAACATAAAATGTATTCATTTTAATATGAACTGTTGATGTGTGAATTATTCTAAGAGGTTCTAATTTTCAGTTTCCGTCTATTTGTAATGAAAATTGAACATACTTAGAATACTTATCATAAATATCAAAATTCCCATTCTTTTTATCTAACTTTATAATTTTCTCGAGATTATTTCTGTTTTAGTTTTTATCATCATTCAATTAATTTTCTTCGCTCATTCCTAAAGTAATATAAAGGAATTGATAAAATATAAAAGTATAATGAATAATATTAAGTGATATTCTTGCAATGAAACCATACCTTCCTCTAAATTCTTCACTCCAAAAAAGAGTGTTATTTAATAAATAAAATAATGAATTCTTTAGTAATTTATATTAATCAATAATATTTACACATACACAATCAAAGTATTCCTTCCCCTCCATGAACACAATTTAGTTATAATACAGATTTATATATATTCATTATTAACTACCAAACTTTTTAAATATTAACTTCACCTAAAGTTCGAAACTCGCTCTAACCTTTGGTGTTAGTCATAATAAATAAGTTTTATTAATTGTCGAATCAGCACTATTATTGTTATCAAAATCAATAACAGTTTGTCTTTTCGTTGAATTAAAATTATCAACTACATTGACTTTCCACGTTCGACTTATATTCTAATAATAAAATGAAATTTATACTATGATCATAAAAAAAACTTCAACTCAGTTTCAATTCCTAAGGTTAAATTGTTCTATAAGTATCTTTGAGAATATACTATTAGCCTATTTAAACAGAAATTTTGAACTTCAAAATTAATAATTAAATTTTATATAAATTATCAAATGGCAAAGACAACTTGTGCAAAAGCTCTTTAAAACTGGGAACAAGAACATCCAGGTGAACAACCATCTGAAGCAGAAGATATTAGATTGATATTCTAAAATCCACCTCTTGACAAATTAGATCCTCCAGTTTTAAATACATTGGCTAAAGTAAAACGCTTGTCCCTTTCTTCAAATGCAATAGAAAAGATGGTCAATCTGCCTGGTTTAAGGCAAATAGAAATACTGTCACTATCAAGAAACAATATAAAGAAAATAGCAGGATTGGAAGAAATAGGATAAACTTTAAAAGAACTTTGGTTAAGTTATAATTACATTGAAAGACTTGATGGTCTACAACCATGCGTAAAATTACATACACTTTATATTGGTAATAACAGAATCAAGGTCTGGGATGAAGTTGATAAATTGAAAGATCTCCCAGAAATAGCCAATGTACTCTTTGTAGGTAATTCTTTTAAATTATTCAAAAGGAAACCCTATTTATGATGGTTAGAAAGATGACCCTAAATTGCTTGTTCTCAAAAGGATTAATACCTTAAAAAATGTAGATGGTACTGTTGTAGATGACTCATTATTGGAAAAGGTTAAAGCTTTAGGAGATGGAGTCCCTACAACCACTGTCAAATGACAATTATTAATCATATAAACGATATAAATATATTAAGATAACTCCTTTGTGATCAACATATTCTGATTTGTGATTTTATATAAGAACCACTTTTAATTAAGAATTGAAGTTGAAGGCTCTAAAAAATGATTTTCTTTATTAAACTACATCCTTCTGCTTAAGCTGAGTAAAAATTCAATTTTAATAAACAATATCTTTGGTATAAGTATTCAAGTATGCTAGAAAATCATTTGATATAAAAAAATAATTCATGTTATAGAAGAGCTAGCTTATTCTTATATATAAAACAGAAATAATTTCTATTTTCATATGTTTTTTTATGAGGTTGATAGAAATAAGGGGAGCAAAAATTTGAAAGGAATGTTAAAACCAACTGAGAGTTCTTTAGTATGAAGAAGAATAAAATTTGAAAAGTTAGGAATAAGAAATTAATTAATATAATATTAAATATATAAACAACATTTAAATGGATGATAGAAAAAGAAAAATAGTAATAAAAGGCGCGAATCTAACTAGATCTACAAAATTGTTTAGCAAAATGGTACTATTTATATTTGTGATGATTAGAATCCATTTGTAAAAATAATCACCCAAAAATAATAATATCGTTCATCGATTAGTAAAGCTGCCGAAAAGAACCCTATATGGAATGACACAGAATTAATTGAAGTTGACACTGGAGAGAATATAAAATTATAAATACTAGATGTATAAATTTATATATACTACAAGTTTAATTCAAGAGTAGAACCAGAATTAATAGCTGAAACAACTCTAACTAGCGAAGAATTGTTAGGATGTGTTCTAAAGAAAGATGTTTTTTATTAGCAATAAGTTGTTGGTCAAATAGAATTAGAAATATAAAAAACAATAAGATAAGATGCCAATTATGTATAAAATAGAGTACAAGAATTTATAAATACTGTTTAATAACAAAGCTTAGCTCCTTAATTCTAGTATCCATGATAAATTTATAGTTAATTATATTCATATGCTTTATAGACTTTCATTTTGAGCAAACTCATCCTCTAAATAATCATCATTAACATTATTATCATCATCTAATAAAAAGAAAAGAATACCTGGTAAGAATTCAATATTTTGATTTTCACAATTTTTTTCTTGATTTAACTTGTAGGCTTCATTCAAGAAGGCTGGAACATCCTCAATTTCATAAAGATCTACAACTATGCAATCCTTCAAGATTTAAATAATGATTACTTTCTTTTAATGAATCATTTCAGAACAAGCTCTGCAACAAGTGACTTTATGTTTCATGCAAAAGAAATGTTTTACCCTGTCATTATGAAATTCACAGTATTCAAGTCCTGAATCAGGGTCAATCTAAGGATATTGGTTTTGTTGTTGTTATCTTATTTTCTATGCTTAGACTGCTGATTATTAAAATTATGTGAATAAATATTATTATGGATCTATCACATCAGTTCCTCCATGAAATCTACTCTTCTTATTAATCTCTTCAGCCATCTTTGTAAAGATTGTATGATTAATCTATTTTAATACTAAATTTATACAGGTAATCTATCTATTGAATCAAGATGTTTAACTAATTTCAAACAGAGTGGACATCGAACTCTTTTGTTTCTATTCATAGATATATTGAACTAACCTATAAAAATTACCTAGACATTATGTGCATATAGTGTGCCCACAATGAATAAGTATTCTAGGTAATCTATCTTTGATGTTATAGTCCTATTTGCATAATAGACACTATTTTTGATTTATCAATTTTCCGATGAAGGCATTAATCTTATTGAGATATTCATCTGGTGGATTATTAGACTATTCAAAAAAATACTAAGTTGGATTTTGAATCACTTTCATCTTTATATTATGTTAAAAATTTGAATTTTATTATTAATAATCAAAATATAAAAATTCAATTTTCCACCCTCAAGTAGGCAAAATAAAAATTTTTTAGATTAAATAAAAAATCACTAACTATTTCTCAAAGGCTTATCTTCGTATATTAAAATATGTCAAGATTATAAATTATTCTTCTTAAATTTGGATCTTATTTAAAATTTTAATATAATTTTAAATGTATTAAACTTATGATGGAGTCAGGGATGAATTTGTTTTTTCTTTTGTGAATTTCAATTAAATAGGATTGTAGAAGGGAATACTAATGCTGAAATTAGTAATACTGACACTGCTGATAAGCAATGGAAATCGACAAAAGAGGTATATGAGAGTTTTTTTGATAACCCCTACATCTAAAATAATAGTAGTATATTAGTAAAATAATAGATTGGATTGGCATAAGTGAAACTACCCCTTATCAGTATGGAATTAATGCTTGTGGATCTTCAAACATTTTTTATATTGATAATTTTGGCACACAATACAATGTTTTAGTTCAAAAATCGTTTGGTTTAGGTCCTCATGAAAAAGTTTCGATTGAGTTTAAACATTGGAAGTATTATTTAATTAATTTTAGAATTGATAACTGGAATAGCAATACTTTTCTAATTTATGTAGATAATGAAATCATTTATAATCAAATTTTATCTTGTTCTTCAAGTGCAACAGATATTTGCGGTACTTCATAAAATGACGAAGTTACTTTCATATCAAAGACTATTGTGCATGATCGCCCTTCTATATAAATAGTAATGTTAGCCGAAAATGGAAGATGGGGAATTTCAGAATTTATTTTAAAGATAGAAGAAGTCAATACTAATACCAAGATTCAATTTTTTGATTTTAATGGTTTGTTGGATTAGTGGCTGTTTAAGGAATCATTCACTTCAATTTACTTGGGGTCGTTAGATATTTCAGATTAATGGAAATATTCAGGAACAGCTTCAACTGTCTTAGATTTTTGCCATGGTAAATTAATCAAATAAAATAGACCTCTACTACCATCAATCTTAGGGATCATCATTTGAAAAATCAATTTCCTTACCAAACCATGTTGCTATTAGTTTGAAATTAAAAATTATGATTTTCAATTCTGGTTCGACCACCATTACTCTTAAAATAGATGACATTATTGTACAAAACTGGTCATATACATAGTAATGGGTAGGTTATGATAACCCTGCTACAGTTTATGATGGATTCTGGTATCATTACACACAAAAAAATGCTAATATTATCAAGTATGCTCATACCAATCCTTCAATTAAAATCACAATATTGACTACAACGAGTTCAGTTTATACCCCTTGGGCTCCATGGTTTGGAATTCGAGATTTTCAACTTTTTGTTAGATAACCTTCTTTCCATATTTGTGATGATCAAAACATATACCCTTTTGATGGATGCTTTTCTTTCAATTATGATTGTGTTGAAGGTTGTATAAATTGTATAAATGGAGTTTGTATTAATTGTTAAAACGGATGGCATTATGATAATGGGAACTGCTCTCCAATTTGTGGAGATCGTATTTTGATATCGTAAGAGGAATGTGATGATGGAAACTAGATTCCTTATGATGGATGTAATAATTGCAAATTTTCATGTCCATTAGATTGTGATATATGCTAATTTGGATTATGCCTTCAATAAGGCCAATCAAAATAATAAGAATTATAAAATGTAAGCTTTTCATTCTATTTAGGTGTTTCAAAACTGCAAACCAAATCTTATTTTATAAAATGACGAATGTGTAATGGCTTGTTATGATTCAGAAGTAGGCAGAATTATTGAAAATTTTGGTTGTTATTTATAAAGAACTACTTTAGCCTAAGAATTAATATATTAAAAGGTTTTTATTGAATAATTAGTTGCATAATAAATTTATGAAACTTTTATCGAAAATATAATTTATTTAATAAATTAAATAAATTTTAATTAGATTGATCAATGTAATTAAATTGATTAAGAAATTTGTTTATAATGCGAAAATGGATATGCATTGGGCATAAATCATAAATAATGTGTCCCAAACTGTGGTGATGGAATTGTTTAAAATTTAGAAATTTGTGACGATTCGAACAATATACAATAAGATGGATGTTATAAATGTTAATAAAGTTGTTAATTAGAATGTTTTAATTGTGTAAATGGAATATGCTTAATTTGTCTTGATGGATGGTTATTAATCAATAACAGTTGTTAACAAATATGCGGTGATGGTTTAATAGCAATTTAGTCAAGTGAATAATGCGATGACGGTAATTAAATTGATGGAGATGGTTGTTTTTTATGTTTATTTGAATGCAGTCCATATTGTCTTTATTGTATCGATCAAAATGAGTGTCTATATTGTTAGGATCACTTTGAACTCATACAAAAAGGATGTAGACCTATATGTGGAGATTTATATATAGTTGAAGGGTTGGAGGAGTGTGATGATGGAAATCAAATTTCTAATGATGGATGCTATGATTGCTAATTTCAGTGTGAAATTAATTGTTAAAAATGTATAAAAGGAAAATGCTTTGAGTACATAAAACCATAAGAACCGATAATAAATGATACTACAATAATAATAGAATAATTAGATTAAATTTGTAGTTAGGGATGTTTAATTTGTTTAGAAGGGAAATGTTAATCTTGTGATAAATTCTCAACACTTAAGGATGAGTAATGTATTCAATATGGTAATGGAATAATATAAAAAGGTGAATTTTGTGATGATGGAAACTCTTTAAATAATGATGGATGTTCAGAAAACTACAATATTGAATAAGGTTGGGATTGCCATATTCCAAACGATCAATTTAGTCAATGTTATAAAATAACGTAGTTATCTCTAAATTTCCTCAATCAATCATATAATACTGAATATCTAAGTTTAACATATTCAAAAAAAGTTAAGTTGAATCAATCTAATCAAATTTTCATTGATTAAGCTTCTATATTTATCTAAGATTTGAATTCAGATTAATATAATCTAAGTATTGAACCTGTAACTGAAATCATTTTTGACTTAGTAAGAGATATTAACTATATTATTAAAATCACTTTTCTTGAAAAGTTAGAAAATACACCTACGCTGACAGTCTCTATAAGTACTGTATTATTGGATGAGAACGATATCCTAGTTCCTTCAAGTTCTTCTGATATTGCACTCAGAATACCTTAAGTTATGGGTGTAGTATAAATGCTAAATACAGAAAAACTTACTCTTTTTGGTTAGAGCATCATGATGGGACTAACTGGATTTGGAGTATTTTTATTAATATTTGGATAATTAGCATAATTCTTAGAAATTCTTGATATTTTATAATATCAATCTTACCTTAAGTTCATAAATGTGGAATTTCCTTAAAATCTGTATATTTATTTTTAATCATCAGATTTTGTACAATTATAAAATATTATGATAAATTTTAGAATAGTAGAAACATTAAATTTATTTATTTATGAAGAAAAGGTTCAAAGTCACGGCAAATTTTATCAATATTAACTCAATGCCGATTTATTGAGCAATATTTATGGATAGGTAGCCTAAATTTTAGCGATTTTCTTTGGCTATTGGTTAGTGATGTTTTATATTTCTTTAACAAACAATAATTGTTTTACAGCTAGATCCTTTTATAATCTTGGAATTATAAATTGCAAAATAGTAGATTAAATGGCAATTAAATTTTATTATTTATACAGAAGCATTCATAAATTAGTTCGGATAAAATTAAGTTAACAATTCATTTTTTTTTTTCAAAGCAATAGTTTTGACCTAATTTTCAAAATTCTTCTTTTTTTAGACTCAAATGTATAATTTAACATGAGATCAGAAATATCATTTGGAATTTGTTTAATGTTTTTTATGATAGTGATAAACTGTATATTTAAATTATTTTAAAGGGAAACAAAATTAATAAGAATTAAAAATATTAAGGAATAATAGCTTGAGTCGATTATATTATTAAAAAAGTTTGTATTTCTATTAATATTAATCAAGGTTCAAGTCTAACCACTGCTTTAGTGTTTATTATTATCCTTTTCCTAATTACTATTTATTGAAATTATATGGTTTTTTTAATTAGCTAATTCAAAATTTGAATTTATAATTATCTTTTTGAATGAATTTCCAATAATGCTGTTTACTTTCATGATTGCAGCATTTTCCTTGGACTTTTCATAGTATTTAAATCAAAATACAAAACTATCAATAGGCTTTTTTTTAATTGGAATTTTACTTATTAGTATATTTGGACCAATTCTAAAACAACTAAGGCATGTTTATAATAAAATTGAAAACTATTTAAGGGAAAGAAAAGAGGAGATGAAAAAAATAAATATTTAGTCTCTCTTTTATACTTTCAAAATAAATTGAAATGAACAATAGTATTTTATATTTAAAATTAACATATATACTCTTAAAATAAAAAGTTTTAGAAAAGTCTTAGAAAAGTCTTAGCAATAAAATTAATACATTTTATATCTTACAATCTTTTAATTAGTATATATTTCTAATGAATTAGAGCTATGATATTTAATTAATTTTTTATTTGAAATTCATCCTTCTTATGATAAAAATTCAACAAATAATAGCTGTCCTATAAAACTGATCTTTTGATATATATATAAATATTTTTTGTCGATTAAGAAAATTTGTGATAATAATAACTATAACCGATTTTTATTTACTATTTAATTTAAATTGAGAAATCGATATTTAATATTAAGATTTCTCATACTCTCTTTATGTTATTCAGGTTGCTCTTCCACACCAATCAAATGAGGAGTTTCTTAATCCTACGCTAAGGAATTACAATTTAATTTTGTCAAACTAAATATCTTTGTTTCAATGAAAATTTTAAATCATATAATTTCTAAATTCTAGAAATTAATTAAACATCAGTAACTGTTGACAGGTAAGGAAATTATGCAAATATTTCTTAATTAGGCTATAAAAGAATATGGGATAAAGGAGGCCTTTATTATT